GGTAGCAGCAAGAAAAGCAATTGAAGATACAAGACATTCATATGCATTCAACTAACACATGCCGAATATGGATCAACAAGTAGCCTATTTGGAATTGATAATATATATATATATATATATTTTTTTTTTTCTGAATGATAGAAAAGATTTTATTCATGTAAATCAATTACAAAGGAATTGATAAAATTGAGTTCTGTTATAATAAAAAATTGAAGTTCTTTTTCAGGCATTGAAATATGTGAGAGGCTCTCAACAATGGGAATAGCAGTGAACCTCGTAACATACCTGGGCCGAACTATGCACCTTACAAGTGCTGCTTCTGCCAATGTTGTAACAGACTTCATGGGTACCTCATTTCTGCTGTGTTTACTGGGCGGCTTCCTTGCCGATTCTTATTTAGGCAGATACAGAACAATAGCAATATTCGCCTCAGTTCAGACCATTGTAAGTTCAAAAGTCACTCAATTTCCCACTCATGTAGCCGTAGTTAAATTCAGTTTTAACTAAAACGTTTATATTTTCCCCTTCAGTTTCTAAATGCCTAATGACATGATACTGGTGAATCAGGGGACTTTCCTGTTATCTGTATCTACAAGACTCCCACAATTGCGGCCACCTCCTTGCCAGGCTACTGAAGTTACACAATGCAAACAGGCTAGTAACTTTCAAATGGGAACTCTGTATCTTTCTTTGTATCTAATAGCATTAGGGACCGGTGGCTTAAAATCCAGTGTATCAGGATTTGGAACTGACCAGTTTGATGAGAAAGATGAAAAAGAGAAGGCCCAGATGGCTTTTTTTTTCAACAGGTTTTTCTTTGTTATTAGCACAGGGACATTGATGGCTGTCACAGTGCTTGTTTACATCCAAGATGAAGTGGGTCGAAGTTGGGGTTATGGAATTTGTTCTGCTTCAATGTTTGTTGCAATCCTGGTATTCTTATCGGGAACTAAAAGATACAGATACAAGAAATGCTTGGGAAGCCCCGTAGTTCAAATTTTCCAAGTTGTTGCCGCGGCCATTGGGAAGAAGAATGTCAAAGTACCTTCTGACATTGCCTTATTATATGAGAATCTCCCTGAGGCTTTACAAATCCATCACACAGATCAGTTCCCGTGAGCTATTTGTGAATTGTGATATAAAACCAGTGAATTTATTTAGCTGTATTATCTTTCTTTTCTTCAATAGTTCAATGTATTGTTAACTCCTGTTTTTTACCTCTAAATTGAGTATGTATGCAGAAAAACAGGATAATTGTCTTATATATGTCCATAACTGCTATCTTTTGTTCTTTTCATTCTTAGTTTCCTGGACAAGGCATCTGTTGTGACAGAAGATGATTATGGAGACAATGGTTCCTTCAGGGTGAACCCTTGGAAGCTTTGTCCAGTTACAAGGGTAGAGGAGGTGAAGAAGATGATCAGGCTACTTCCAATATGGGCGACAACAATTATATTTTGGACAACATATGCACAGTTGATCACTTTCTCAGTGGAACAAGCAACCACCATGGAGAGAACAATAGGACATTTCCAAATTCCAGCCGGTTCACTTACAGTCTTCTTTGTGGGAGCCATATTGGTCACTTTGGCTGTATATGATCGTTTGATTATGCCACTTTGGAAAAAATGGAAAGGAAAACCAGGTAAGAGCCAGGTAAGAGAAACTGCTTCCCTGGAAAGTTTGATATTTTTTGTCATGTATCTTATCAGTGTCATATATTTTGAATAAATAACTTGAATTATTCTCATAATTGAGGTGAAATATGACATCTACCAGCATGATTTGACAAAAAATAAAGTGATAGTTTGATCAATATCTGCCGCAGGATTTACCAATCTGCAAAGGATAGCCATAGGTCTCTTCCTGTCAGTGGTGGGAATGGCAGCTGCGGCAGTAGCAGAGGTGAAACGGCTATCAGTGGCAAAAAAATTCAGTGAAACAACCACCCTGCCGATAACCGTTTTCCTTCTGATTCCACAATTCTTCTTGGTGGGTTCAGGAGAAGCATTTATATACACTGGTCAGCTGGATTTCTTCATCACTCAATCCCCAAAAGGAATGAAAACAATGAGCACCGGCCTCTTCCTCACGACTCTTGCACTTGGCTTCTTTTTTAGCAGCTTGCTAGTTTCCATTTTGAAGGCTGTGACTGGAAGCAGCCGTAAACAAGGATGGGTTGGAGAGAACATAAATAAAGGAAGACTCGATTGCTTCTATGGACTTCTAGCTGCATTAAGCTTTATCAACTTTGGATTATTCCTTATTTCTGCAGCATGGTACGGGAAAAAAACAGTCAAACGTGCTCCTGAAGTGGAGATCATAGTTGAAGAATCTTCATTTGAAGAGAAATGCTAGTTTCCATACTGGAAAATATGTTACTTGAGTCTTCTTTAATCACCAAAGTATACAAAAAGTAGTACTACATGTATAGTTAGCCAATTTTCTCCATTTGAATGGAGGGTTGAAGTTCTTGTCTGCACCATGGTTGCCTGGTTAGTTTAAGGCACAAGAGAAATAAAGCAGTTCACTACAATGTTATTGAAATCCTTGTTTGAATATCGTACTTTGTGAATTAATGTTTGTTAAAAAATATATAGAATATCATACTTTGGTAATGTGGAAAAAATAGATAGAGTATGTAATTCTATAATGGACATGGGTGGAAAATATTAATGCATGCAGCCATTTTTCCACTCTGCACGGAATGAAGGTTTTTAAACCAAAATTTAAGTCATTTGGCCCAAAAGCCGGCCTCAAATCAGACTTCTAAGTACTTGTTAGTGAATGCTGACCAAATTCCTGAGGTTGAAGGTATGGTACTAGCAATTAAAGACATTGAAGGCTTGAAATGCTGCCATAAATTTCTTGGCTTATCAGCCAAATTTGTTAAATACATAATCTGTCTTCGTGGAGAATACCCAATGGGCATTGACAATGCCATTAAAGCGCCGTCCTCTAACAATCACATGAGATAAAATAGATTGATAGCTCGGGACATGGAACCTTATTGCAGCATGAGGTTATGCACATTCAAGAACTAGCCAATCAACTGGAGGAGATGTGAATGTGAACTTGTTAAAAACTTAAAAAGTTTGTTACTCACTGAAGCAATTCATTAAATCAATCTCAGATGTTGATTTTTGCAAAAGATTTTGGATGTTTTTCAACGAAGGGTATAAATGATTATGTGAACTTAAAAATCTTTATTCAAACCTCCCCTCTCTCTTACCATTTGAACCGAACTTTGGTGACTTGTTAACCGCAAATTGTCGCAGGGTGCTAATGCCATAGGTTGTTTTCCAAACCAGCAGAAAGGCTGCAATCATGATCAAAATCACTCGCAATCGGGCACCTCTTAGATTGCCAACGTCTCTTTTGTTCTTTTTGCGGAAAAAGAATCGATGCAGCCAGTGCCAACAACTACAAGGAATCCCTTGGAGCCTTCTTCCTTTAATTGTCTTGTCCCATTTGATTCTCCATTAGTAATAGAGTGGAAAATGCAACAGCCGATGGACAGTTTGTTTGATTTGGAATATGGACATATACCATTACTTGTTTCTGCAATAGGTAAAATCGTTTTCATTCACCAATAACAAAGTTTATGCGGCATCAACTCTAGTCCTTTCCCATTTGCCCCCGATCAAGTGGTAAGTGCAGTGCAAAATTATTTAGTTCGTGATAAATTTTGATCTAAGAAGCCCACTTTAACTACCCAACTCCATCTTATCGAATTTGGGATGACTCAGCCGCTAGTGCCATCATCAGGAAAAGGAATGGTTTTTGAGTATCTGATGCCCCTTTTGCCTTCTTGAATTTGAGATTGGTTTCCTCAATGACAAGACTAAGAATTGTCTAATGTGAGTCACAATCTTTATTGAGGTGAGGACATACGATTAGATTATCGAAGCAACCACATGTACTGAGGAAAATAACGTAATAGATCCCGAATGGATGAATTGGGAAAAAAAACCTTGGACCGTAAATTACAAAGGCAACCTAGAAAGCTACCAGAGGAAGAAAGTCTTTAGACTTTGTAACAGGAGTAAAGCCGATTTCCCAGTCAGCCAGATCTTATCACCAATTACAGGAGAAATAGATGATTACTCCCCCAGATAGTTTTCCTAGGGGAGGGTTGACGAGATAAAAGCAGTAAAAAATTCAGACAACAGAAGGTCTTGACATGGAAATTATGATGGTAATATCATCCACTGAACTAGATTAAAAAAAATGGTAAGTTGACAATAGCATCTAAAATTCTAATATCCTACAAAACCATGTTTGAATCTTTCAACAAGGATCAAATTCTAGGAATTGAGAAACCAACCAATACCATAAGTTATAAGGGATACAAATAGCTAATCATCCAAGAGTAGAACTCGCTAAGTTAACCAAAAAAAAAAAGAATCATCCAAGAGTAGACCTGGCTAAGTTAGAAAAAAAAAATGAATCATATACAGTTATCTTTAGTTAGATCCAGCATATTTTATCTTATCATAATTAGATCAACAAAGCTGTTGACTAGGCCTTCTTCACTTTTTGGCACAAGAGGGACTATATTCAAAACTGAGCAATTTCAACATTTGATTGAGCACGTCGCATCTTTGGATTGATTTCAAGGTAATCTAATAGTTATAGTAGACTATGGTAATCTAATAGTTATACTAGACTACGTCATGCGCAACCTTGCTTACAGAATCAAGGAATCAGTATGCAAGCCCCTATGAGACACACCACAAACCCATAGCTTAACTTCAAATTAACAACCTCAGCATCAACCTCATGCCAACAAAATTCACTCCAGCCTCAAGGGTCAGCTAGTGATCATACTTTCAAAACAATGGTATATAGGACTATGTCGCTAATAGCACTGATATGCGCAAAAACAGAGTATTCCAGTACCATTGACAAAACTTTCTTTTACTCCCTCAATTATGCTTCAGAATCCTTATCACTCGTACTCTCCCAAGACTCCAATTCTACAAACTAAACTTCAAAGTAACGTAAAAAAAACAAATCACAAAGAGAGTCTGCAATCAGAATCAAAGCATCATATTAATCCAGCTGCAAGAGAAACATGCCAAAATCACATTGCAATAAGGCATAAGCAAAAAAAAATGAAACCAGACAAGAACAAAGAAGCGTATGTGAATAAATAAGCACTAATACTCCATCAATGGAAGAAGTACCTACAGAAACATCTGTCAACATCCCAAAAGGAAGAGACAAAAAAATAAAATGAAAAACGGCAAACAAAAGCACAGGCCATTTGAGATTCTTCTTCCTCTACTAACATACATTAATCGGTGCAATAAGCAACAGATGTGACTCCCAACCCCCTGACATTACTAAGAAATGGCCATAATAACTAGATTATGGAACGGAAACCTAAGACAACATACCAAAACCCAAATGCAGCCAAAAGAGCAAAAGAAATCTGACTCATTTCCTTTTGCCCTTGAATGCAAACCCTTTGGATAATCATCCAAACCTCACTCCCTTTAGCCCTTATTAGCAACCTCTCTTTCCATATTTCATATCCTAAAATCAACCACCGATCTGAACTAATTTTGAGATTCATTCTTCTTGCCAGTTCCCTCACCATCCCTCTCGTCCAACAACCTCCCAGCTTCCTCGTCAGCCTGTGCAGTCTTCTTCTGTGCTTCTTTCGCTTTCAAAGCCTGTAACTTGGAATGATTATAGTAAGCAACACCCAAAAACGCCAGCCCATACCCAAACAAGTTGATTGGTGTCACGGTATCCTTAATAACAGACCAAGAGAATGCAATCAACAACCAGTCCTTGACAACCCCAGCTACATTCATGGTCAAAGCAGAAGTCTTTCCAACAAGTAAGAACACAGCTAGATTCAGAGCAAAAGCACAGAAAGAATTGGTCCCAAAAATGACGAAATCGAAATGGAAACTTGATGTCTCTTTCAAAACTGGTAACTCAACAAAAATCCATGGCACCAACAAGAAAACAAAACAGCATGGCGCAACATAATACAGAGAAGTAATGGGATTCAAGGTGATCCCTTTAGAAGTAAGCAAGATTTGGATCATAACCAATCTGGTAGCCTCAAAAGCAACGGCTCCCAACTGCAAAATCACTCCCCAGGTATCAAATCTAGCTTCCCCATAAGCTGCAATGGCGACCCCGAAAGAGATGGACAACATATTGACCATTGTAGCAGTCTTAAAGCCCTCTTTTTTAAAAAGAACCCCAATGGAATAAACAGCAACAGGCATCAGGGCTTTAAGCATCTGAATAAAGGAAACAGACAAGTAGATGTAAGCGGAATTGGAAAGCCATAGGCTGAGAGAGTAAAGAGCACCGATGGGGACAACGGAAGAGAAATAAAGCTCTCGAGACATGGAAACAGGTTCGACAACTTTGAAGACTTTGATGAGGAGGAAAGCGAGAGTGGCGCAAAAGGACATGTGGATCATGGTTAGAGAGATAGGGAAAGGCCAATTGTACATCTTCTTGTCGAGGATATATTTGTTGTAGACGATGACGGTGAAGCTGAGGAAGATCCAAATTGCTACATAGGTGTAAGAGAGAAGGATCTTCTTGATGACGCTGTCGCTCAAAGACCCACCCTTGCCCATTGTTTCTTTTGGTTTTTGGGAGACACCCTGATGGGGAAAATGGTGGAGGTAATGGGGAGGGGATGAAGGGGTCAGAGCCGATTGTGGGGGAAGAGTTGGTATGACTGTGTGTGAGCGAAGAGGAGAAGACAGATTTGGTTTTTAACGATGGGATGGATCGGTAGCTTCGATTGGCTTTGTCTCCGTTCTTGTTGGTGGAATGGGCCTCTTCTTGGGCTTTTCTAATGTTTCCTTTCATTCGACATAAATGCATGCATCAAATCCTAATCCAATGTTTAGGAGCTAAGAGATTTTTTTTTTTTTGAATAATAGATGTTAAGGGTTAATTTCATATTATTGTTGCGTTTTAATAAAAATTGACTTAGAAATTAAAAGTTATGATAAATTTTTTAATTATTTAATATTAGTATGAAAAATATTATGAATAATTAAAATATTTTAAAAAATACATATAATAATAAAATATTTAAAATATAAGATTAATATTATGATTTTTTTTATTTTAAACACATTTTCTTATATAAGTATAAAGTTTTTTATTTGAGTTTGGAAATAAAATTTTTAAACAAAAAAGTAATATTTTTTTTGTTGCATATGGAGACCTAAATCTATCTATTTTAATCTTGCATTTTAGCTGTCATTTGCCATTTTCAAATCAATAATTATCAAAACTTTAATGCTTTAATTAAATATCTTACCCTATTTGAATATCTAATAGGGATGAGGATTTTGGATAAGTAAGTGATAACTAGATTTTACATTCCATATTGAAAAGAAAGGCTTAAGTTCAGAGATTTTTTTGTAGCAATTTAACTTTAGTTGACAACACAGAAAAAAGTTCACATGCACTAAGTCTTGATTAAAACTTTAAGCTTATTTTTTAACAAATGAAAAAAGAAAAAAAATTCTATTTGACTCATTATTTTTGTTTTCATTCTTATATTTTAATATATAATTAATAGCGTGATTGTAATATTTTATTTATAAACTAATGTTTTACTCATGATCAATTGATAAATATCAGGCTTGAATTTAACTAATAATTATATACATATATCATGTTAGAAAATATAAAAATTTGAAGAATTATTAAATTTAGCAAAAAGGAAAAAAAAAAAAAAAAGATGCTGCATTTATGGAGTTATTAAATATTTTGGGCTTTAGTAAATGGAATTGAAGCGGAGAAATAAGCCCCGAGCTGAGATTCGGAGACAACAACGCCCGGGCGTCCAATGAGATTAGTCACGTGGGGCTGCAAGCGCTTACGCTGCGCCTTGTTGACTGTCTTTGCCACGTGATCTTCGCGTGTCTCATACTCGTTACTTTCCGCATTTTTTTTCTTTTCAATTATTTTTTTTTATAAAATAATTTTTTAAAATTTAATAATTATTTAAATCTCGATATTTTATTATAATTAATCAAATTTTATAATTTTTACTTCAAATTAAATTTTTATTTTTTTTTTATTTAATTAAATAATCAAACGAAACAAATAATTATTTTTCTTTAACAAAAACTTAATTAATAAAAATAAATATTTAAAAATTTAATTAATTAAAAAATAATAATAATTTAAATTATTATTAAATTTTAATTCAGAATTTTTTTAATTTTTTATTTTAATTGAGTGTGATTTTTCACATGCAATGCAAAATCGGCATCCAAATCAAGCATTAAAGGCAGAACACGCGTAGGGTGAAAGCATTTTTTTGACTTTAGACAATAAAATAAAATAAAGAGAGACTTTTCCATTGAGTAATGAAGGGGTTTTGCAAAGGAAATTGCTCGCTATTTTCGAGACTTTACAAAATTGATTTCTATGTTGAGAGTTCGAAACCCAACCAAAAAAAAAAAAATGGAGATAATAATACGGAGAATAATGAATAGGCTAAAGTGAAACTATATAATTTTTTCTTTCGTTTTGATAATTATGGTTTTCATATATTAAATTTGATCACCTTTAATATTCTTTCAATATAACATGACATTGTCGGCAAAAAAAAATTATATGTTGGAATTAAATAAATGAAAAAATCATCCTATTGGATTATAATTAAATTATAAATCAATGCAACTGGTTTTATCAGATATACTTAATGGTATGTTATCGCGTGAACTGCATCATTACGCTTGGAAGACGCTGAAGCATGTATTTGGAATATGACTTGTTCTTTTAGACACGGGAGATGTGTACGATACAATAATCTGTCTCTTTCCAGAAAAAAAATTATTTTTATTAGTTAGGATTAAGAAGAAATGTTCTTGCTTTTTAATTAAAAAACACTTTTGATGTCAGAGTATTAATTTAAATGATATGTATGTTAATTAAAAAATCACGGATTTAAAAAGATTTAAGTGTATAATATGATTGAATTAAATAAATTAAAATGCTTTCTTTATCTTAAAATAATAAAGAAAAATGGGTAATTGTTTGTCTTATTGAGAAAAATATTTGTGGGGGAAAGGATAATGGTTGGCAATGCATATAAAATCGAAGTCTTGAATAATCAATGGGCCATGTTTCAGTTTACCTGTCACTTTCGATTTGAATTATTCTATATTTAAGAAAGTAATGAAGCAGACATCTTGAATGCGTACCAAACGGCAGAGTCTGAGTTAGATCATTTTTTTATTATTTTTTGCTGATTGACATGATCATTTCTCTATTATTGGTTACCAAATCCAATCTCTTCCTTTTCCATCCCTTTGCTGCAATTGGGTGTCAAATTTTTTTTTTTCAAATGTATTCAATGAAGCTGCTGACATATAGCCCTTTCTTATAATTGTTGTTTTTATCTTTTTTATCCTTCATATTTACTAGGTTTTTCTATTTAACAAATAAAATCCATGCTAGCATGTGAAATTGGTTTCATGTAGATAATATATCATATTGATAGAAAGTTTATTACTATTAATGTAAAATTAAAACTTTGGAAAAAAATAATGTAAGCTTTAGCTCATTTTTATATATCAAATAAATTATTTAATGAAAGTTTTTTTAATGGATGTAGATTTTTGAATTGGATAAATTTTATTATATTATAATAAAATTTTATTTTAAAATAATAATTTAGAAATATAATGAACATAAACATTTATTTTCGTCAATTCAAAATTTTTCCACATCCCTACTTTATATATATTATTATAATTTCATTGGTCATCATGAAAAAATTTCTATATAATGATAGTAATTTCTCATATATATATATATATATATATATATTACCCGAATATAAAAGAAATCCATAAGAATGCAAATATAATAGCTTAATTTAAAAGGTAAAAGATATGTATTAAAATTAAGTCATTTTTCAATGGCGGATGCAAAGTGTTGATCCGGGATGTCCGTACATCTCCAAAGTTGGAAAATAAAAAAATGTGAAGGTATATTTTTCTTCACATTTTTTTTTCTGGATGCTTTTAAAATTTTCTCTCAAACACTTCCAAAATTTTTTATTTTTTGTTGAATGATTGTTTGTTACATATATTGAGAAGCATGTATTTGATAATATTAATAATGATGTAACTATATATTTTTTTAAGATATGCGAATTTGGTATGGATAATTATAATAATTTAGTAATATATTATTTCAATTTTTTATTTATTATTTTTTAATATATTATAAGTGAATATCCAAAAAAATTATAGATTCGCCACTTTTTTTTTTTTAATTTTCGCTATTTATCAACAATATGCATGTAATATGTTGATTTTACATCTAAAATGTAATATGTCTTACTCCCCAAAAAAATTCAAATGAAATTAAATCACTAATCTATATTTGAAAAAACTCATAGGAGGTTCATTAATAAAGGTATAAAAAAACAGAACTTTCAATGGATTATTCATGAATATATTAGGTTTTTATTCATTTATCAAGCTTAACAAACGAACTTGAATAATATTTTAATATTTATTTAATAAATAAATTGAATAAAAATAATGATTTGTTTTATTCATTTATATTTAAGAATAAATTTATTTAATATTCGTGAATAAATTTAATAAATAATTATTTTATATTTTATTTTATTCCTTTTAAATATGACTACTTTATGATTAAATATATTTTAATCAGATTTTAATCATAATTTAGTATTAATACATTGAAAATTACACCTAACATATATTGAAAATCTTTTATAATATTTAAAATATTATTATTGTATAATTTTTTATCGTCTAAAATGAACAATAAACAAATTATAAATGAGATTTTTTGTTTAGTCTTTCTATCCCACATAACTTGGAAAACCTGTAAGGAAAGAAACTCATTATAAGTACGCAGGTCTCATTCATTCTTGGGAGTTCATTGTAGCAATTCAAATTTCATAAGAATTTTGGTTGAATTTTTTATAAAAATATTAGTTAGTTACTATTTGATGGGAAAGAAAACTTGAAAGAGAAAATTCTAAAACAGAAAAAAAAAATTCTTAATGGAAATAGATTTTTGATAAATAAGTTAATATGCTTATAAACAATAAGAGTTTCAATAAAATTAGATATAAGATAAATATATAAAGGAGTTATAAAGTTTTATTAAGTAAACACTCCATAGGATTAGAAAAAATTGAGAGAGTCGTTATAGATATGTATATTTTAATGGACGAGAAGAGAATGAAAAAATCTACATAAGTATGATAATTATTGTTTTTTAGGATAAACTAGAGGGATTGAGATAATTCACATAAGTATGTGTTTGTTTGAATTAATAATATTCTTATAACTATAGAAAGATGTCCATAATTATTTATTATGAGTAATTGATTGATATAATATGTTTGTAATTCTTTACAACTAATATATCTTTTATTTCATCCGTTGACGTAAATTATTTTGGGTTGGGTTGAATTATATTAAATTAGTATCTTTTTTGTAGAATCTTATGATTTAATTTTGCTTTTGCTAGCTTGGATGCTCAAATTGATTAGGGACTTTGACTTAATAATTAAAATCAAAACTATCATGATCTTAACAACTTGTATCAAAGCCTAAGTTTTGAGATATGAAAAGAGACAAATCCATGTGAGCTTGATTAAAAAGAGGATTTTGAGTTTATTTTTTAAAAATCAATTTGCATAAGTGTGAAGACGCATAAAAGAAGATTATTACGAGACTTATATTGTAGACAGAACTAAATATATATAGCATAAAGATGATTTGATAGAAGTTAAAGTAGAGATTGTTAAAATTAACTATTGCTTGACGGAAAATAAGATTTGCAAAAGAAAAAATTTTAAAAAAAAAAGAGATTCTTAATAGACAAGACCAATTTCTTAATTATTAGTTTATGGATGTTTATATTTTCATGAACATATTCGTTTAATATTTATGAACAAATTTGTTTAACTTAAATAAACCAAACCTAACATTTTGATATCTAAGCAAACCGAGTTTGAATATAATATAAAAATTTCTTATCAAATATGAATAATCCTAAAAATAAATGAACAGATCACAAATATAACAATATTTTTTTATATTCAATTAATTTACATCCCTATCATCAAATATGTGAATTTCGATCATCCATGCCAATATTGTGCACATGGTTTCACTATTAAATTAGAAAATAATGTGAAGAAGAGATGAATATGCCACCAGCTCTCTTGTTGGTCATGACTATTAATGCATATTCTTTTTAAATTATGCTCAATTATAAGCATAATAGTAATTATATATTTGTTGCATGAGACATGGTCATGTTATGTTGTCTTATTTCAAATTAATTGCCCATACGGATTCTCTAAATATATTGATAAAGTTTTGTTGCTACAGAAGTAGGGTTAAGCAAAGACTAATCAATAATCATAATTAGAGATAATTAATGTTTATTTAATAAGAGTCTTAACTTGGTTGTATTTTATGAAAAACTCTTTACTTACATTATCTTCATATTTTAAGTACCATTAAAGTAAGTAAATATCTATTCTGCTTTGGTCAAGTAGGTTTTATCTAATTGTACACAACACAACCAAAAGCAACAAAAAGAAAGACGTCAAACAGAAAAACACCAAAAATGGGTTTAAGCCTTTAAGGCACTTTTTGGGTGTAGGATGGTTTTTGGAGAGAGTGCAAACAAGAATTGCCGTTTGGCTAAAGGAGAAACGAAAATGGTGCTTTAAATAATTGGTAACTTGTTTCTGAAATCTGAGATAATGGTACCCTGCCATCAAATGGGTTGTAATTTCATTATATGGCTGAGCAGCCTGCCCTGCCAAGGTATCCCGAATGGCTTCTTTCTTTAAAATGTGAAATTTCAGCAGTTGTTATCCATTTCTTGAAGTTTATTGAAGATTGACACTCATTTCTTCTTCCAACTTCGTGTGATGTTTAGATTCATTCAGACAATGTCAGCAAAATGGTTGTAATGTGAAACTCAATACTAATATCTATGAGGTAGTAATGATTTTTATCGTACCAACCTGTAAAAACAGTTTCCTTTACGTTGGTTACTTTTACTGTATTCTCTTCTGTCTTTACTTGCTGTTTTGTCTTTTTTTCTTTTTTTTTTTTTAATTTCAAAAGATATCTCATTTCTTAGCCTTTGGTTATTTTATTTGTAATGGATGACATTCTGACAATGGCTTTGGTCGTATCTATCTAAAGCGTTTTCACTCGCTCCAAAACGGGGCTGGAGGGTTGTGGAATTTGCGTTTTACAGTTGCAGCTGCAAGTTGCATCTTCATTGCTTCACAATTTTTCATAAAATTTCTTCAATAATTCTAGGTGTCCTAAAAGTTTCATTTTGTGTATTTTTTACAATGTGACACGAATTGGCTCGGGAGTCTCATGTCTGATATGTAATCCAACTGGGAGAGCCATTCTCACGTCAGACTTGTTATCTCCTAGCTGAAAATCTGACAAGAGAAACGACATGGAAACAATTCTCTCTTGGAAGCGTTTCATATAGAAGAAATTTATTTGTGGAGTTGCGCTTCAGGAAGTTTACGTCCAATGAAATTTATGGGATGGTTCAGACTTTCATGTGATATTATATGACTATTATCTATATATGAGCAACTGGAATGACAGGAACATTAAATTTTCGAAAAAGTCGAACATTTGGTTAATACAAGCTGGAAAATTCAGTATCCTGCTGATATTTAATTTACTTGGTTGACTATTTCTAATTCTATTGCTTTTACCTTTTCTTGATTTTCATGGGATTTGGAATCAGCTGCCAAACTTCTATTCCAACCTCTATTTTTGGGGTGCTTGTATGTATCTGTTACTGTTCTGTATGCCGTATAGCAGTCTCATGGCATTTTCCCAGAAAGAATTCTGTTTGGTTTCCAATTGCTTGGTATTCCCAAAGAGTCCGGTAAATATGAGGAATATGAGCCAGAGAGGCGCGAACCGACAATTCTCAGGATTCTGTTTGAGTGCATGGTTGTTTCTCCCACTCCTCAGAGCTCACAAAAATGTGTGACAGGCGGAACACAACTTCTGACATGTCCGGACGCTGGTTCCAGTTATCACCCACACAATCCTTGGACAATAATGCCATCTTAGCAAAAGTTAAAACAAGATGAATTAGGTTAAAGCTCTAGTGAGACCAAATCAACAACCAAAATAAGGGAAGTTACATGGAAACCAAACAGTTTAAAGCAGGATTATTCCTAAACCCTAATTAAGAGCATTTCTATTCCAGCAAGTCTGGGGCCACAACCACCTAGCAAGAAGGGGGGCCAGGGGGGGTGGGTCCCTGGCCAGCATAGGATCCAGCCAAGATCCAGTGCTGTGATTAACAGACCACACCAATACAAACCATGTCATATCTAATAATAGAAATATAGAGGCAAGTCAATGTCGTGACAAGTAACACATGCTACTTCCAAATTAGCAGCTGTCATATCTCCATCCCTCCCTCATGAATGATCTAATAACAGAAATCCAATGTTAATTGTTATTTGACGTCCACAGATGCAGACACTGATCTCAAGGACATATAATACATTTGAGAGGAGTCATCATCTTTTACCAAGCAACACATGATCTTCCTTGGCACAAGAAAACCTCTATTATAAACCAAAACAGAAAACACTAACAAGAAAGACCTGTAATGATGCATCAATATCAAAGAAATTGGAGAAAAAAATGAAATGAATGCTGTATACCTCTAAAACAGAGTCTTTGTGGTAGTGGGTAAGGTTTGGATCAATGCATTTGGCAAGCTCAATCATGGGCTTTTGGGTATCATTTAATGCTGATAACATCTGGACACAGTGCAATTCATAAAAAGTTCAATACCACTTAAATATATCTATAGTCAGTATGATAATGGACATTCGCTAGCTATCAATATCTCAGTACTTTCAGTATTGCCCTGTGATTGTAACTTTTCAAAAACTGACATTTTTTTAGCAATTATCATGCTTGCAATAGTCAAGCAGTAAGCAATTCATATGATGCAAACTCACATAATCCACCACTGTCCTATGTTCACTGTAGTTATTATTTCCAGGGTTTGCATCTCTGCTTAGAGCCTGTTGGCCAGTTAGTAGTTCCATAAGGACAACTCCAAAGGCATAAACGTCAGTCTTTGTTGTCACACGTCCATCTCGAACGTACCTTGTGATTAAAATATACAAGTGCAAGAATGGGACATTATAGTTAGAACTTCAAACATTTCTATAAGTACTATAGGAGACTGCTAATAGATCAGCTTATACTCGATACTTAAAAGCAAAAAAAAAAAAAAAAGGCGCTTCTACTGAATAATGTAAATCACCGACATTGAACATACTCAGGGGAAAGATAACCAAATGTGCCAACAATTCTTGACGCTGCAGCACCAACTTCTGGAGAATGCTCCAATAGTTTTACCAGCCCAAAATCCGCAATCTGCTTGAAAGAAACTGAATCTTGAGAAGCATGAAAAGCAGAAAACTAACACAAATTATTATCTATCAATTCCTTCTCAGCATAAAAACATCAATAATGATATCAAAAATTGAGAAGATTCACATGTGAGAAACTATGAAGCACATTTAAACTCACCTTTGCACGAAAATTGGAATCTAAGAGAATATTGCTTGTTTTCACATCTCGATGAACATAATATGGTTTTGTGTGCTTATGTATGTACTCAAGACCTTTTGCTGCATCTAGAGCAATCTGAACACGCATAGTCCAATCAAGTGGCTTATAACCTGTGAATTGTCAGATCTTAGAATGTTTAATTAAGATCACAGTTTATGTGCGTGTGCTTGTTAAAGACAGAGAGAGGAAGTTTAACAAAAGCTCGCTCTCCTGGCAAATAGAAGTCAGACTCAAAATAGATAACCTATCCATACTAGGAGAAAACTAGTCCGGTAACCGCAGAGTATTGCCTGATTAACCCATACTTAATAATAGGAAGTCTGAAGGAGTCACAAATTTCTTCAAAGGCATATAACAAGGTTATATAACTTATAGCAGGGACCAAAAAGTAAAAGATAAAGAAAATGCCATCGGATCTTCAGGATTTTGCTTCATCTTAGATAAGAAAAACAAATAGTTTCTTCACCTCTTGCTTAAGACTGTAATTGCATGTTTTACACTCCATACTTTCAAAATTAAAGTTGGTTAAATTTTGCTAATTAAAATAAAATTGCTCAGAAACTCACTGACCGGTCAGTAAATCCATACCCCTATCACTGGAGACATGCAGATGATCACTTAATGCACCATTTTGGGCAAATTCATAAACAAGATACAAGGAGTCTCCACCAGCAGCATACCCGATAAGCTCAATCTAATTGAAATTCACACAAGAAAGGGAAATAGGAGTTCAGAGATAAAATGAACAAAAGAAAAAAAACTAGCACATAAAAAGGATCCATGCTAAAACAACTCATACCAAATTTGAATGTTGAACTTTACAAAGAATATTTATCTCCGATAAGAACTCTTTTGATTTTGTGTTTTTCATCTGCTTGATGGCCACATCCTATATGCATAGAGGATGGAAAGATATTATCCCTTAATGCACTCTTCCACAGATTTTTCTAATTAAATCCTTCATAATTTGAAGGACAATTAATGAACATGTACACAGGATTCCTTTAGCTTACAGTTCCTCTTAATTTTCCGAGGTAAACAGATCCATATGAGCCTTGGCCAATCTTTAAAGACATACTAAAGTTAGAAGTTGCTACACGAACTTCATGATAAGGAAACAAAATAGCTTTACTGGAATTGAACGATGAAACAATGCTTTCTACAGATTCTGTAAAGAAATTATTCAAGAATCAAGTCAGAGGCAAGAATGCAGGTAGTCTCCAGCAGGTGACACTGCAGTGATAAACTCCTGTTATTTTAAAGAAAAGAGGAAAGGAAAACAAGGCATCTAAAATTTCAGAAGGTCCCCTACTTGTGAGAAAAGTGCGTGAATCAAAATATGAATGCAAGTGATCCATCTTTCTTGAATAGAAAATTGGTACTTGACTTCCCTTCTTTTTACAGTTCTTCCAAGAAACAAATATTACTGTCAAGAGAATAATAGCAAAAGCAGCTGAAATGGCTCCAACCACGGCATTGATTCGAGATTTTGATGCCTTTTTGGTACTTGAATCTGCAAGAAAGAAAATGCACAAGAACAAACTTATTCCCCGTCTTAAAAGAGGCATTAAAAAATTATAAGAGCACCATTCCAAAATGTTCAAATGACTACTTTCACCAAATATAAAATATTTGGCAGTTTCAAGTGATAGGTACATTCAGATGCATACAGACACACACACACACACACACACATACACATTTATCAACATCATAAATGAAATGGGGAAAAAATGAACGGGTGAAATTTCTCACAGACCTTTGTTGTCAAGCACGATAAGGTTTGGAAGGCCCTCTGTCAATAAATGCCCATACAAAATAAGAGAAAAATGATTAGACGCTAAACTTTTTTTAAATATTAAAGAGAACTGCAATGACTGAATTTTTAAACAGGAGTCATTAAACTAGTTTCTATATTCTACCAAAACCTTATTCTTGGCAATCATCAAAACGTTAGGTAAAGCTATATTGCAATAAGATTACAGGAATAAGTTTTAAATTTAAAATAACTTTCTTGAGGAAACTATGAAACTTCTTGAAGTATACATAGTATGATATAAGGCATGCATCTACTAAGATGTTTTATGTTCCCCAGCTCATCAAGGCTCATGTCTTGACATATAAGCCTGAAAAGTTTTATAAATATAATGAAAAAAAAAAAAAACCAAACAACCCAATAGAAAATCAATAGTGCAATCATGCAAGTAAGAAACGAAAAAGTTGATCTTAGATTGGTCATCAAATATTAGAAGTGAAATTTCCTTGCCTGGTTCAGGAATAAAGATCACATCTCCGTTATGAATAAACTCTGCATTCTCAATCCTATTCAACTTGACAGTCTTATTTAGATCTGCACCGAATCGTGAACAGATTGTATAGAGTGTATCTCCCTTTGTGACCTTGTACGTGACAGTATCTGCACTCCCAGAACAGCCACATAAAGTATCTAAAGTCACAATTTGTGATGGAATCAGTTTCCTTTCAGGATATTCCACAACAAATGACCCAAATTTTGATGAAATGACATCCCATGTATCCTCAGGTTGGACTTCATACTCCACATGCCAAGTAAACTCATCATGGCCAGCTAGGCAGCTGCAATTTATTGCAATCAAGAAACCCTCAGTGGTTCTATTAATCGCATTTAAGTTTACATGGAATAGAGCAGCTGTTTCTTCCAGGCTTTTCCTGGTTCTTGGAACATAATATAGTGAAGCAGGACAAGATTCAGCTAATGACACATTGCAAGGAAGACTATGGCTACTGCATGAAAGCCAAGTCAATACGATAAAACCCACCAACTTTTCGAAATTCCCCAAATCCTCAAAGCACATTTTTCCAGAATAAAGTAGAAGTTACTGCTGGATACTTGTAATGAAACACACAATTTCAAAATTAAATTATGTTGGTTCTTTCTCCTACGTTGCTCAAGCAACCAAGCAAAGCTCAGTAGCTCATAAAAAAACGTATCTTTCCATCATGAAAATCCCAAAAAATATTTATAAATTCTCAATGCAAAGTACCCTCCACTTAAAAGCTAGTAAAATTTGCAAAGCTAAAGAACAAAATGGGAAACTTTGAGAAGCAAAGGATCTGACTTTAGAAAGGAATGCAAACTGAGAACATTAAAAACCAAGAAATGGAACAAATAACATTAGTGAGACCTGGTGGGGTTATTGCGGATTCATTCAACTTGACGTTTACGTGTAAGAAGACGACATGAGAGAACAAACAAAAAACTTTCGGTTCTGGGATTTTGATTAGATTCTTAAAAATACGCGGTTTTGACCATTGTTCTGCCATTTGGAGTTTATGCTGCAAAGTATATCAGCAAGTCGAAAAGTTTGTTTCGATTCCGCGGTTGAAACATTACAGCCGGCTATGTCATTTGATATTTGACGATGACAAACCAGGACACAAATGAATGATTAAGTTTATAAAAACTAGTAGACTGCTACGGGCAGCATTTGTAGTCCAAGGGTTAGGATAATTGCCTTCCAAATAATTGACCCGGTTGGACTCGCGGCAAAAGCATAAATTAAATATTTATTATATATAGCATTTTTTAAATCCCCAAACAATCAAGGAAACTTGTGCTGCTGTCAGTGGTCACATTGAATAACTATCTCATCTGGCTGATGAGATTCTGGTGATGACTCGGTTGGAAGCAACTCCGGGGCACTCTTGGACCCAAAAGTGGTTGTGGTGGAAGCAGTGGAAGAAACTGACACATAAACTGCACTGGGGCGTGATTCTGGCAAGTCCATTAATGGCTCATCAGAGTTCAAGAGAATTTGGACAACTTTTCTTATCTTAGGGCGTTGTGTAGAATCAGGATGCAGGCAAGCAAGACCAACTATTAACGTTCTTTTCACTTGTTCTTCGCCAAATTTGCCTTCTAGCTTTCGGTCCACACATTCTAGCAGTTCATTTTGTCCGTATGAGTTCCATACACAATCCACTAAGCTATTTTCGTCCATAATACCCTTCGATCTTCTCCCACAAACGACTTCAATTACTACCATACCGAAGCTGTAAACATCAGATTCAGGTGTTGACTTTCCTGTGAAGCCTACTTCTGGGGCCAAATATCCTGGAGTTCCTGCTAACATGGTTGTCACTGAGGCATCGTTCTGGAGCAATCTTGCTAGCCCGAAATCACCTAGATGAGCATTGAAATCCTCGTCCAACATAATATTGTTGGGCTTAACGTCTCGGTGAACAACAGGGTTACCACTGTCTTCATGGAGATAAAGTAATGCTGATGCCAACCCTGTTAATATCTTGAATCTAGTCTCCCAGTCAAGAGAACACTTGCCAATGTAACGATCGAGGCTACCGTTGGGCATATATTCGTAGACTAAGAGGAGATGTTCACCCTCGTGGCACCACCCTTGAAGTTGCACTATGTTTTTGTGCCTTAGGCGCCCTATGGTACATATTTCAGCGAAGTACTCTTTTTCACCTGTTTGAGTAAGGCAAGTAAACTCTTAGAGCACGTTAAGAAAAGATGAAAACAAAGATTTGTTTGTAAAATGTAGCCTAAGTTAGGAATAATTTGACAACTAATAAAATAATAAACCATGATCTAAAAGACTCAAAATATTTAATGACTTCTGATTTATTCTTCCCAAGCAATGCAAAGTAAGTAGAGCAGACCTTCTTTCGAGGTTGCTGAAATTTTTTTGACAGCTACAGTTGTAGGAGGATCCTGTAAGGTGCCTTTGTAAACAATTCCAAACCCACCAGTACCCAACAGATTTTCCTTACTGAAGTTATGAGTAGCCTTCGCAAGTAGCTTGTGGGTAAACATTTTCGGTACGTTTGCTGCAGTCCTCGATCGAATTTCTATATCAACCTTCTGCTTAACCGTGTCTTTTCTCTTTCTTAGAACTTTTTGAAATGATGGAAGAAAGCATATTACCACAATCAATAATCCCATGATGATAGGAATGACAATCAACAAAATAGTTTTAATCTTATCATGTTTGGAGACAGGGCTGTTAAGATATGGCAATGGAATTGTTGTGAAAGTCCAGTCATGGACCTGATGGCTCTCTGGTACTTTGCCAGTTGCAGCTGTGAAACCGATAAAAACAGAGCTTGGAACCGTGTCTGCCATCTCAATAGATTGGTTGAGTACGCTAACTAGTTTTTCCCCGGAGTATGCCATAGATATTTCAAGCTTCTTTTTCCAACCAAGGTAATCGATTTTGACCTTAATTTTTCTTCCACTTTTCAGGTCAATACCAGTACTGTTAAGACTTTTAGCTGCCACTGGATTAATTATACTTATTGTATCAATACCAACATGGTTTCCATCTGGATCCCATTCGTTCTTGTAAGTATCCAACTCCACAGCTAACTGATGAACTACGCCATCTGAATTTTGGTACCGTAGAAATAAATATTCATTAAGTATAAGATTTTTTTTAATGGAAAGGAAGAGAGATGTTTTTATTGTACAGCAAAACATACAAAGGAATTAAATAAAACTTTTTAAAGGAGATTTTTGCCTACCTTGAGTTGATGGATCCATGATACCAAGATATGATCCCATGCTAGAAGGTGGTGAACTTCTGCTATCTTGTGCAAAAATGAAAGCCATACCATCTCCAGATACATTAGAATTTGGGAAGGGAGAAATCCTGACGGTGAAGGTGGTAGAGATGGACGCTGGCCAGGCTAGCACAGGATGGTGGAAAAAAACCCGACCAACCTGCTCTAGTGCTGAACCTGATAAAGTTGAATTGTTATTTGGCTCTGGTGTCAGGCTTAGGTATCCATTGCCTCCGGTCACCGAGCCCATGCAGATTAGGCTGCCATTAGTGCAACTGCTAGGATCAAAGGAGGGGAAAGAGAAAGTGAGTGGCTCAATGATGGACGTTAAAGAAGCTTGGTCCAGGAAGGTAAAGAGGAATAGCAGCACGAACATGGTTGCAAATGGGAGCTACAGTATAAAACAAAAGGCTACATTCCATTCCAATGAACATATATAGGAAGCAGAAACGTTGACGAGTAATTGACGTTAATGTTATTCCTAACATTTGTTTTCATTCGGAAAATGGAATGTTTCAAAGAAGTTTCAAAGAAATTATCACCAAAAAAATAATGGTTTAGAGAAGTTTCCCATAATCAGGCAATCAAAATTCATTCTTCTGTACGCATATGAAAGCTGTTCCCCGTAGCGTTTGACTCACAAACAAGAAATGCAACTGCTTGTCTTTTTAGCATAGTTCTAACTTAAAAAAAAAAAAACAATAGACAAAAGAGCATTCAAAAGAACCATCAACCATACACCAAAGACTTTCTTTCTAACAGAAATAGAATATCCAGGCCAAAAAAATCAGAAATTCTCTGTGATGATAATTAAAATGTATACATTGAATAACTGAAGAATATATTGCAGAGTATTGTCAAGCGCCAATGGATCAAGAGACCTGTGGTGAGAACCAAAAGGTTATTTCTAAATGAACACAGTAAGATATGGACTTTGATGGATGCTATGTTTGCAACAGACAACAAATACAGCTATAAGATTAAGGATCAACTCAGCATGTACTTTTACATAGAAGTCTGAAATGTTCATTTTAGGAAAAACAACATTGATAGAATATACTTGTTTGGAATCACATAAAGTAATACATATTTGGCCTAATATTTATGGATAAGTGCATAGAAGGACTATAGGTAAGGTTGTAATTTTCCTTATATAAAGGTTACATACATGACATCGGTATAAATTCTGACATCAGACTTTCTTGGTTTATCACTCTCTGCGCTCATACTTCCGTGCCCATATATGTTTACCATTGATCCGGAACTTAGCAATGCGTCTCCCATTCAAAATTTGATCAACATTTGCGACAGAATATAGAACCATTCTAGCAAACAAGGGTTGTTCATCACAGGGGACATTTTCTTGCATATGTACACTATCAACACAAACACCGCATATATTTGTGAAGAGTTCCCTTATTTCATCTTCTGAAACTGGAAAACCCCGTGAGAAAGTCAGAAACAAGGTCCTGTCATCCTCAGAAACATTGTTAGAGGGGTGCCATCCCCATAAACCTCCTATAGGAAAATTATGGTCCATGGCTCTTGGCACTATGATGACATTGCCAAATAATGAGTGAGGAAAACCAGGGATAACAAGAGGCTGATTAGGAATCACCTGTGATGTGCTCCCCACCACATGTTGCAGGATATCAGTAAAAATGCGAGAACAAACAGTGTTAAGAAAATTTTTTATCCCACTGATTGTACTGAATTTGTTTTGGTAGAACATTTGCAAAGAAATATCTTTCTCCATAATTCTTGCAGTAAGAGGCAAAACACCTTTTGGTGGAATGATAGGATTATTGGATCCAAGACAATTCAAACATGAAACTGCTTCACCAGCTAGTGCTTCCAGCAGAGGATCTGATAGGTTCACCATTTTCGCTATTATATTGGGATAACCCTTCTCTTCTAGCCATAGCCATATGGCCATAACTAATAGAGATTCAGCTGGATCCCTCCTAAGAGTTATTACCAGTCGAGAGAATATCTCCCGATCAATGGCATGATAAGCATGGAGCTCCTCAAGAGTGATTGACGCCATATGAAATATGATTCTGTATGCTGTGTGGAAAAAGAATGGAATCAGGGAGCAAACTTGAAAAGATTTCACATAATGCCACATTATATATTACAAGGATTTTTGAAGTATGGCAAGTTGTGCGCACTGATTTTATCAGTTATTGGCCCAAATGTAAGGGAATCTGCTGGTCGTGTGGAAGATACCTTAGACCTGGACGTCAAGAAAAAATAACACTTCATTAGGAAGACTTGTTTTTCCCGTGATTGGCATATGTGATTTCCTGGAATTTTCTCTAAGTGGCTTGAGAACTATGATCCCTTCTAGTTGTGGCCTCCACTGCTAAAATTAGAAGTAAGACTAATGACAAGTGGCAACATATATTGCTGGCGCTGATATAAGCTTCCCTTGTATTCTTTCTTCCCCATCATGTTTCTTTGAATGTCATAATTGCTCAAAGCTGGACATATGAACTTGATATTTAATAAGAATTAATGGCCTTGGGGCTCACTCTTTATAACAAAAGGTCCTGCATAGCCCTTCAGTGCAATTCAACTTAAACCTTGCTAGATGATTATGGGGCTTCGTCCAGGAACTAGTGATGAACAGATGATGTTGATCCTCTCAAGTAGCATTATTCTGGCCACAGCATCAAAGTTAATACAAAGTAATTATCAACATATTTTTTATTCATTACTAGGCTTATTTCAGAAATAACAATATGCAAGACAGAACAGAAGAGTGCTATAACTTAATAATATAAGGGAGGGCATTCATATTACTTTTCCATTTCAAGTCCTTAAAAATAACATCAGGGTTTATGGACAAGAGCAGAAAAAAACTGGAATTGCATGCTTTTCTTAGTTGCATATGAGGGGCCTTTTACGGTTTCCGATAATTGTCCCCCGAGCAGTACAGTCTCAAACTTAGAGTACTTCTAACTTGTACTATACTCCCTACCCCACTGCATTTCATTACAGCTGCAGAAGGACAAATTTTGAGTTGTTTAATTAATGACAACTTAGACAATATAAATGCTCAAAAGAGTTTTAAGACTTCATGGAAAGTTCATCCCCAGGCATTATAAGCAGTTAATACTTTGTTTTACTTTATCTTAATTGTGCCATAAGCTTATGACCACAGTCTCATTGCCAACTCCATACCTGAGTTTCGGCTCTTGCTGTTTCTCATCTCTTTTATGTTTCTCATACAGAGAATCGGGGATTTAAGCCATTTAACTTTAACCAATTCTTGGAAGGAACTGCCGTCTACTTCTATATGAGGAAAAGACATCACATTGCAGTAAATTTGAAAGTAGACAATACAAACAATAATAATTTATTTATAACTTTGTTTACCTCATCCATCACTTTTGATTTGAATCAACTTAGCAAAAGCTATATTGCATGAAACAATAAGTTATGAACTATACTGCATCCGGGTAATGATGATCGTTGCCATTGCAATAATGTCGGTCTATGGCTATCCGGTTTCCTGATGCGATTACTGTAACATGTTAAAAAAGAAATTTCCTAGGCAAACCCAGATCCTCCCTGTAAAACAAAGGGGTTCAAGGAAAGTGATTGTATGATAATCTGTATGGTATTTTTCTTCTAAGCTTTATCAATTCCACATAAAATTTTGGTTTCCTTTGGCAAACATGCCAATACATTTACTGGCATCGTCTTGATTCTTGCTCCATCCTGGGTCGCATTGAAAGTACAATCTGTCGCATGCACCTGCTCCACCTGGTCATTAGCTACTCTTAGATTTCCATCCAATGCTACAAGTATTTGCAACAGGTGAACAAGAAACTAGTCATCTATAACATTCAAACAACAATTTTTTTTCTTTTTTCTTTATTTTCAGATATTCACTTGCTTATCCTAAGTATATAAACCTATGAATCTTATTTCATAGAACTAAAAAAATTCTCAAAAACCAATTGGTCCACATGTAACTTTATTAACACTGATGGTGTTAGAAGAGCCACCTTTTATAGCAATGCAGTCATTACCTGTAATCAATTTAAGAGAGTGCATGCAAATTAGTTAAGTAACAAATTCAATTCCAAATCAAAAGAGAAGGGCCAAGATTAAGATTTCAATCAACATACCAGTTCCTATAAAAGAGTCAGATATAAGAACTTGGGTTGATAACGAAATGTCAATTCCATTATTAGGACCGTTGGCAGGTGCAGTTATGTGAAGATTCGATATAGATAACTCACTGCAGTTGTGTAAAATGACGTAATTGTTTTAGGTGAGTGAGTCCACATAGTTTGTCACAGTTTTGGAAGTGCAGAGCCTGAAACATTAGCAATCAATAAGAATAGTTGAATGTGGAGATTTTGAGAAATGCTACTACCAAGGCATTTGTCTTTTCTCTCGGTCAAAAGAGGACAGTCACCGTAGGTCTGTTTGCAGCTCGAAAGGCTGAAAATAGAATAGAAATCTCGTCAGTCATATCGAAGTCGAGTATATATGTTATTTTCTTTCATGTATCCCCAAAACCTGGTAAAATAGAATACTCCATATATTAGCTGAGTCATTTTTCTGGGTCAATAGAGTTTAATTTTGCCATTTATTACTCCAATTAACAGTGTGGTAGCTAATCTTTTCAACTAAATTAAAAAAAAAAAAAAAACATTATGGTAGCAAATAGTCAAAGAAATTAAGCAGCAGTCATTATAGAAGTATTAAATACCTTGCTCTTTTTTTTTTTTTTTTTGAGTGCTTAGTTATGATCTTGGTCACCATTAAACTAAGAATCCAAAACTAAAAATCTGGCAATCTAAAAATACTGAACTAATAATCTATCAATGCTTGGCTTGATTACCTTACTTCTTTTTATCAAAACATTGAATGAAAACGCCTTAATAATTAATCATAAAAATATAGTGTGATGGGTAATATATGATTAAATGTGAGGCCGTAAAGATTAAAATGATCCTTCACGAATAAGATAATGAATAAAATAAAATTACAATTATTTTATATTACATTTAAATTATATCTAAAGATAAAAATAAAATTACAAACAAAATTACCATCACCTTAATATAAAATGATTTAAACTTTCCAAAATAAAAAAAAAAATTTATTTTTAATCTTAACCTATTCGATATTATTAAATTTAATCATATTCGTAATATCATTTTATATTACCTTTTCATAATATTATATATTAAATATATCTTAAATATATTATTGTAATTAACAAAAACAAGAAACCCAATATCATTGAACTGATAAATGTCTGTTAGGCTATAGAAATAAATAACCGGACGGTTGCTTAATACACAGATAAAGAAATGAAATTATTTTAAGGCAAATATTAAGAAAATAGAATGAACCCTACTCCAAAATAAACCACCTACAAACATGATAAGGTATAGCAAGAAAAACTACCACAAAATTAAAATAATTTAAAACCTGAGCCACAGGGTAGATCGCAACTAAAAATCATATCCAAAAATCAGAATTAAGAGGTTACGCTCCAAATTAAAACCAATGATAATATAACATGCAACTCTGTAGAATAGCGGAAAAAAAATGTCCTAGAAAGGGGAAATTCCCCTACAAATAGCCACCAAATCCGAATTGAGTTCTTAAAAAAGGCTACAATACTCTTAAGAAAGCAGTCCAAAACCACATGGGGGTGCATCTACTGCTTCTCCTAAGCATTTCCACACTAGTTTTAAGAACAAATACACATTGGCCTCCAGCAACCACAACTTGATTCATGATTTAGGCCCGATCCTCTCTGCTTTTGTTGACTGAATCCTTTATTATGATGGCACTACATAAAAACAAAATTTAAAAGCCTTATAAAATTTGGTTACCAACAAAAGTATAGGAGGACAAGAACAAATAGAGGCCACATATCAAACACGTGAAAGGAAAATAAATGGAAGCAAGATGAAATAATGTTCCAAGGCAACTATACAATGAAATTAGGCCGACCAAAAACTGATGGCCACAATAAGTACAGCAAAACAAACACCTTCCACAAAAAGAATAAACCAAACCAGGAAGGAATCAAGCAATCTAACAATGCCTTCAAATCATTGACAAGAATACAAATATGTTATACTAGTATATCAAAAGCAGAAGGAAGACGTAAAAAGAAGCATACTGTAAGTAGATGTATCAATCTGCTCAGGAAGCTCCTTTATATCCACCTCAAACCTCTCCTGGACCTGCAATGGATTGAACCAAATTGATTAGAGGCAGACATATCAAGGGACAAACAATGTTCAGAAGTTCTAAAATCAAACCTGATTTAGCACATCAGAATCTGAAGCAGATGACACAAATGTAATTGCAAGACCCTTGGTGCCAAACCTACCAGCTCTACCAACCTATCAATCAACCAAGAAACAACATCAGTCGGATAGCTTATATGCATAAAACAGAAGCAAGACTAGTATAATAATGCAGTTGAAACAAAACCTACCCTGTGTAGATATGTATCAGCAGAATCTGGCATGTCGTAGTTGATGACAATGTTAACCCGTTCAATGTCAATTCCCCTTCCAACCAAATCTGTAGCCACAAGAATTCTTTTATGCCCCTCCTTGAAACCCTTGTAGCGAGTCAACCTACAAAGCATCAATTAGCATTAAAACCAAGGGTTAGATTGGCTACATATATTATCTACCAAGGCCAATTGGTAAACGCCAAACCACATCATATTTAAGGAAGAAACATTACCCTACTGGAACAGAAAAAGAAACCTGAACTTCTAACAGACAGCAAGTAAACAATTACTAAAAGTAGGCATAAGACACACGGGCCAAACCCTAAAACAGTATATTTAAGATCACAAGAAAAAAAAAAAAATAGCACTCAGTAAACTTAAAAATCACAGATCAAGTAAAAAAAAAAAAAGACACTATTTCCTCTTCAAATCCGTTTTGCAACACTCTTTAAGAAGAAAAAATAAAAGAAAAACAAATAAAATAAAACAACAAATAACCATGTTGAATAACCCAATTTGACCAAATCATGTCAATAAATATTCCAAGGCTCCAACTAAAGAAAACACAGCATCCAGGGCAGCAAAATACACAATAGCAACTGAACCACCATAACTGGTAATTAAAAAAAAAAGACAGCCACAAAAAACTTTGATAGGGATCCTTATGCACGTTAAAGATCCTTAAGTCATTTATTTTACCAGAATATAAGTACAATAAAGCCTTTCTAAAGAAAAAAAAGTATAATGTAGCAAGAATGAAAGATGCATGATATTTACAAACCTTTCTTCCTGGGACATGCCAGAGTGGATGCATATAGAGGGGAAATTACACTCAACGAGTAACTTATTCAACTCAGCAGCCCGGTTCACACTTTTGACAAAGATAACAACTTGGTTGAAGTCCAATGCATCAAGAAGGTCATTCAACTTGCGGTTTTTCTCCAGCTCACTCAATTTGATGTAGTGCTATCATTGGAATCATTGCGGTGATTAGATCTTAAATAATATTTAAAACAAAAAATGAGGGTTGTACCAGCTTCTTGGAACATACCTGCACAAGACCATGAAGGGTCAACTTGGCTTCATCGTCAACATAAATTTCCATTGGCTGAAAGGAACAAATGTCACAGTAAATCATATTAGGTAGCTTCCACAAGCAAATGGAATCCAGTAGGAAATGAATTAGAGATGCACATCCCTTGAATTCAGATTCTGGTCCATCAGCCTTGCCTCCTTGCAGATTCATTACTAAGTCACAGCAAGCAAGTGCTGTTCTCCCTCACAAACAAAGATTCTATTACACGACAGACACAGCACCCCCAACAAGGAAATGCCCAACCCTTCTTATTACCCCACTCCAATCCCACACCTATAGCCTAAATAGAGAACTAAAAAGTTTAAGATAAAATAAAAATTAGCTCAGAGAGATCCACTTCTTCAAAAACCTAAACACTGCAAACCTATAAATTCACCACTAACCTTCCCCATTCAGTCGGCATAACCCAGAAATGACTAGCTGACATCACTGCACCCAAGCAACACCAATGGCACATATACAGTGATGGAGCCACCAGATGTTAAATTTTACAAAACTCTCGGAGAAAGCTGGGGATTAATTAAAAGATACTTCTAAATTCAAGTAGTATTGGCCATGGAACATTACATCTTGCATAAATTTCTTGCAAACCGGGCGAATTTCTTTGCTGAGTGTGGCAGAGAACATCATAACTTGCTTATCATGAGGGGTCATCTTGAAAATCTCCTGGACATCTCTCCTCATGTCTGCAGAAGACAAGTAGAATAAATACCAGAAGGAATAGCATAAGTAAATGAAACATTAAAATCCTTGTATGCTTATCCAACTTCAGGTAAAAAAGACCATACCAAGTGATTCAAGCATCTTGTCACATTCATCAAGAATGAAATGCCTCACATTCTTCAAAGAGAGGTCCTTGTCCCTTGCAAGAGCCAATATCCTTCCAGGTGTTCCAACAACAATGTGGGGGCATTCATTTTTAAGTAGATCTTTGTGAATTTTGATGTTGACACCACCATAGAAGACAGCAACCTTGATATCAGGCAGGTAAGTACTGAACCTCTCAAACTCATGACAGATCTACAAGTCAAGGGAAAAACTAAAATGAGATGACATATATCATATAACTTCAAGAATACAAAGGGAAATTCTATGCCCAGAAAGCTTCCAACAAAAGATGCAGAACTTGTTCTTACCTGATAAGCTAACTCCCTCGTATGGCATAAAACAAGGGCAATAACTTGTCCTGGACTTGGTTCAATTTGCTGTAATGCTGATAGAACAAAAACTGCAGTCTTCCCCATCCCTGATTTAGCTTGACAAATGACATCCATACCCAATATAGCTTGGGGAATGCATTCATGTTGCACTGATGAAGAACCAAAGAAAATTGTATCGAAGGAATCCCTGGTAAGTAAAATATAAACTCCGTGATCCTTTTAATTGAAACTTTATGATAATGGTATATTACCTGCAAAAACAATGCATCAAACAAAAATTTTAGACCAAACAAAAAGTTCACATTAAACATTCAAAAAAGAGGGTATACATGAAAATCAAACATTTTGCATACACGCATGGCAAAGAATGACGGCATAATAAACTGCCAAAGAACAAACCATCTATGAAATTTAATTTGAAATTACTGCTTTTAGGAAGTGAACTGATTAAATAGGATAACAAAAATAAAAAGGAAAAGAGAGTCTGAAAATTTACCTTCGGAAGGGTGCTCAAATCCAGAGTCCACAATGGCCCGAAGAAGCTCTGGCTTCAAAAGGAAGTCTCTGAATCCTGAGCTGTGAATCCCGACATAGCCCCTACATAGACAAAGAGAAGACAAAATTAGAATGAAAACCGTTTCCCATGGAATATTTACCGTCATATACAACAGCAAAACAAACTCTTTGAAACCAAAAAAAAAAAAAAAAAAAACAAAAACAAAACTGCTACAACTAATAACTATTCTAAACAAAATTTATCTTTTTATCCAAAGTTTCACCAAAATTAACACCAATTCAAAAAATAAGACATACTTTAATAAAAAAAGGTCAAGGGAATTATAGAAAGTCAAACTCACTTCTTGGCGGCCTCGCCATTGACTTTAGCAGTGACAGAGTCGGGGGCTTTCTCTTCTTCTTCCTCATAGTCGAGAAGCTCTTCCTCGTAAGCATCGTTTTCCCTTGTTTCTCCCATTTTTTTCTACAAAATCCCGACCAAATAATAAAGGTTAGGGTTTTAGCAAAAAACTAGATCGAAGAGTAACTAAAAAATAAATGAGGGTTTCAAAGAGAAATAGATTTGGGAGATTTACCTGAGAAAGTAACTGAAAGATGGAGAATATTGGGGAGGATTCTAGGGTTAGGGTTTGGATAGTGTCTGCAAAGGAAAAAGGTTAGCTCTTAAAAAATATACATGCGATTCGAGAGTGTATAGATAGAGAGAGAGAAAGACAGGGCTTGTGAGGTCGAGGGACAGGTTTTTATAAACAGTGGAAAATTTACTTATTTCCACAAATGCCCTAGGTACTTGTCCTTAATTACCATCTTATGCGGCTCTGCCCTTTGGATCCTGCTGGCTGTGAAAAGAGACTGACACCCTGCCCTCAACCCAGCCCATTTTGAATCCAAATATGTTTTCGTTCCAAATATAATAATTATAAAATTATAAAATTAATAAAATGACACATAGTTTATAATATAATAAAAATAAAAAATTTATTTAATATAAAAAATAAACTTACCAATTTTTTAATTTTGTTTGTAAAATTTAAAATTTTCACTGGTAAGACAAAAAATTATGCAAAAATAAGCTAAAGCCACATGTCAACTGTCTAACATTATTAAAAATTAAATTAAATTTTAAAAAAATAGGATTATGTTAAAAATTTAGCCCTTTTTAGGTCTTTTAAAATGCTCTTCATTTTTTTTTTCTGATTTATTATTGTTGTGTTGGTAAATAATGTAAAAACAGCACTGAGAGTGACCTATAATATGCCCATTCTAATTAGCAAACCCAAATATCTGGTGGACTGGGCTGTGGAAAAGTTAACTTGGACAGTTACAATTTAAATATCTAATCCGCTTTGTCCTCAATTGCCAACCATTGCAGCACAAAGCTAGTTCCAGTGCTTGTCAGAATTGAACTCGAATCTCTCTTCCAATGGCCTCTGGTTCATGCTCAGCACCGCATTTACTTGCCGTTATTCCTCCACAAAAGCCACGTACTTCCCTTTTCATCTCTATCATTTTACGTACTTCTAACTGATATTTAGTTTAACATCTTTCGCTGTAACATGATTGCGGGGGCAATATTCAATGCTACTACTCACGATCGAAAGGCTTTTCCTAACCATGGTGGGTTTCATGACTGCTTCAATGCCAAACTTCGCCCTGTGAAAGCCAAGGTCAGAATTTACCACTGTGCATAAATGTATTGCTGACTTTGATTCAGTTTTCTGATCAGCTTTATTCTGTAGTTGCATATATATGTTTGTTTCCACGCATCTGATTGCTTCTCTTTATGCTAAGCGGCTGCCCCAAGTAATCAAAACACCAAAGCAAATAGTGGTGATCCGTGCTGGTTGCAATGGAAATGGTAAGCTGATGGTTGGCTAAAAGTTCAAATCTGATGGTTGGCTATAATTTTTTCCATCTAATAATATTTGTTATATATGTGAGCAAATCATCTAGATAAGATAAAAGTTATGCCATGCACCCAAGTCTTTTTTTTTTTCTCCCCTTTGAAATAGCATCAAGGCAATGTAGTTAAAATGTATATTTCTGTTTAATTTGGCAGGTGCAGTTCTTTGCTCTCAATGCAAAGGCAATGGAGTGAACTCTGTTAATTTCTTCGATGGGCAACTCAAAGCCGGTGACTGCTGTTGGCTTCGCGGGTAATAAACCTAAAGCTATGTACTCATGCATTTACATTCGTGTAGAAAACAGTCACATATTAGACTTAACTCTCCATCTTAATTTGAACCAAATGAGAGAAGTGTAAAGGAAAAACTAAGCGGTCTTTCACCTTTCCATATTGAGCTTTTGGCATCCTTAAATCACTTCCTAGTGTATGTTTTTTGGCAGGGGGAAAAAAGAGATGTTGTGCAGAAATTGCAATGCTGCTGGCTTCATTGGGGGTTTTGTGAGCACTGATGATGAGTAGGATTGCCTTGATCATGCTGAAGCTTGAAAATGAATGCCAAATTCAAAAGTTAGCAGAGGCCCTAGACTACCCTCAGAGGTTTAGATTGAGATGTTTTCATGTATATACTTAGAAAGTCATGTCATGGGACCCGGCGAGCTGTATATGAACCACCAAACGTTAAATTGACTAAGTTCAATATTTGCAGAATTTGATGTTTGCTCAACCCTTCTCATGAGTCATGACCATTTATTAAGCTTTGATGTAGGCAAGGCTGTCTCCTTTTATGAGCATCATCATTCTATAATGACGTCACTGAATTCCATACATAGTGGAATACTTATGCTTCAGTTTGATCTATTCAGAAGCTACCAGCATTAATCTGCCTGCAATAGGCACCAGCGAGCCTAGAGGTTAATTGTCCTCCATGAACTAGCTCATCTGTCGTCGGAGCAAATGAGTTGCCTGAGATTTAGGATAAAACACATGAAAGACATGAGACTTCCTCTCTCTTTCCACAATTTTCATCTTTTTCACTTGTTTCCTTTGCAAAAAATGCAGCGTACATCACTCCCCTTTCCTTCAAGAATTCCAAGCCAGCCACATAGACCACCACTACGGGAAACTCTCTCCATTCAGCTTCATACACCTCTTGTTTCTCAAAGTTACATCAAAATTAATCACGATTTGGCCAATAAGGTATACTTAGTCTCCAAAGCATGTCATTCATTGCCACATAGCCAGCTGCACCATCATGCTCCTTCTCAGTCTTTTCTTCACTGCCAAAAAAAGGATGTATCAACACTAATCCTTTGATCTTAACATTTAAAGTGTTGTTCCTCATTGCTTTAATAACAACCAGATGCACAATATTCCCTCCAGCACTGTCTCCACAGAGAAACACATGGGAAAGAACAGCTTGATTGAACCATGGTTCACTAGTAGCTTGGCTACATAGCCATTCCAGGGAGCTATAACAATCATCATAAGCTATTGGGAGGCAGTGTTCTGGTGCCAAAGGGTAGTCGATGGGAAGGACAATGGATTGTGACTCAACAGAGAAATCTCCAAGGAAATGATGGTAGCCAAGCCATGTGGTTGAGCCAATGCAAAACTCACCACCATGAAAATAAACAGGAACTGGAAGCAGGGTGCAGGATCCTGGGATATCAGGAAGGAAAATTCTCCCAGTTATTGGTGTTGATGGGTCGATAATCACACGTGGTGTAGTAGATTGAAGCCTTGGGACTTTCAAAAAAATTTTATGGGGTTTTAAAGTTACACGTGTACGTTCAAAGGTCACAGGCTCACAACAAACTTTCATGCGTAACTTAAAAATGGATTTCTGAATGTTATGTCATTTATGTAAGGTGCGTTGGACATACTTTGGATCCTTAATAATTGAGGGCTACTTTGTTCCCAGAGCAATTGGTAGTTCACCACAAGGAAATTATAAGAAAAAAAAATCAAGAAAGAAGAAACTCATGGGGTATCTGCTTTAAGCTTACGAGGTTAGGTAGGGAGACAAACTAGTAGATGAGAGGAAGGAACTATTGTTTCTGAAGATTCTGAACACATCTCTCTGGTGAAATCACACAATTTACATACATACCTAAAGTGATAATTCAGGTGTGAAGATGCCCACAGCCCAGTGTAGCTTATGTAATCATAGTCAAAGTCATCATATTAGAAAATTTAAGAACTATATTAGCAAACAAAATATCACTACTTACCGTAAAGCCAAGCAAGCCCAGTACATAGTGCTGAGGGCTTACAAGAACCAGTACAGGGTAATGTGCAAAGAGTAGATAAATGAGGAACTTGAGTGCTTTTAAAGTAATAACTGCAACCAAACATGTGTAATACTAAAATATTATCAGTATACAAGAAAGATCAAAACCAAATGTGCCGGTATTTAAAATTTCCTACAGGAAAAGTTCATACAAGTTCAAATGAGAATTGGATTTAAGGATATAAAAGCTTGGCTTGTATCCAGCAGCAGTATACGTATGAAAAACAAGAAGAAGGGGGGAAAAAAAACAGCAATGAAAATGTAAGGGAAAGGAAAAGAGGGAGAAACAGTGTTCCACATCCAAACTCCATCGTTGCAAGTTGAAAACCTATTTGGCTGTCTGTTCTAACACAGGAATTCTCTTCCAATCCTCTAATGCATGATTTTGCAAAGGTGGCAGTGAGAACATGCTCACAGTTGAGCTGCCACTCCGGATCACTTTCAAGACATATAGTGCTGACAATGTTAGCTTCATATACATGTTCTTAATATTCTTAATTTCAGCAAGTTCTTTCGGAGCTTTGAGCAGCCTTTGATTACTTGAGCTAGAAGTTTCAGATTCACATTCTTTCTCATTGGTTAGTATCTCATCAGTTGTTTCAGGTGAGGCTGATGGTTCATTCATGGAGAAAAGATGATCAAGCACCATCTCACACTCCTTCACAAGCTTGTTAAGAACATCAGTCCTGTAGAATGGTTGTTGCAAGACCTTTTGAATGAAGGGCAAGCGAACAAGAGCACCGCTTCGCTTGTCATATTTCTTTATTATCTTCACTAGTCCTGTGTACATCATATAGGGTAAAAAATTTTCACACAACCCAAAAGAATGCAGTCTATTGACAACTTTGCAATATCAACCCCTCTCCTCCTGGTTGTTAAATATTGTTAAGGAGCTTGCAAAACTAAGTAGTATAATTACTAATATTCCAAATCTTTGAAAGGTCAAGGCATGACAAAAGCATTCAAATTGAATTGAATGAATTTCATGAAGAGTTCTTTTAAACAAAACTTTCCACTTTCCAATTAAAGTAATTTGTTCATCATATGAACATTTAAGCTATCACGTCACCCAATGGAGAAATTAACTGAACACAACAGAGAGCCACTATATCAACCTAGCCACAAGAACATCATATCTTTTATTAGACCACAAAATGTATCAAGTCTTTCTATTTGTAAAACCACATAGCTAACATTAGCATAGCACAAAAACTGCTAATTGTTGCAAAGGCTTCGACAATGTCTCAAATAACATTCTCAAAATTTGTGAATAACATAAAATCTTACTGAGATTAGAACATAAATTAGTTCTGGCTAAGCTATTTTCAGTCACTTATTAATAAAATGGGCTTACAAAAAATCATGGAAAACAGATTAGTACCTGTATAGTTAAGGGCACTGTAATTCTCCAACAAAACCATCTCTCCATGAAAATCTACTATCTCCCTCCCCACTTTCATTAACTCCCCGTTTGATACTTTGGCCTTTGCTGCTCTATCTTGCAGCTCCTGCATACCAGTCACAACGAAAAGGCATATCAATTAAGAGTAACAAAAATGTTGCACAACAAGTAAACAAAAGAAAAGAAGGAAAAAACTCAAAGAAGATAGTTGAAAACTTTCAAAAGAACATGCCACAACACAAGTCCAAAAGGTGTGGACCTCAGAGACTCAAACATCAATGAACTCCAGTGCGTGAGGGAATCTTAAACGGTTGGAGACTCAAAAACAACATCCCAAAAGAACCAAAAACAGATTTGTCTTTCACCCATTGTTTTCTTTTAGGATTAAGAAAACTGCCAACTTTTTTGAATGGTAAATTGATATCATCTTGAAAGAGGCAGTTCAGCAGAGGATTCCATAAATAAAGCTCTCTGGCTTCGGAATAAAGGAAATAGCAGCAACAAAAAGATCCATTTTTTTCTTCAAAAACTTAAAAAAAAAAAAAAAACCCGTCACAGATTTGATTTCACCACAAAGTTTCAATTTAATCCTCTATAAACAGCATAAGAATAAAAAAGCCAAACCCTTTTGTTAACCAACAATTTAATCCCATAATAACTCTCGAAAATTTTCAAAATTTTAATAAAAAAAAAACTTTTGCATATAATAAAAATTAAGGGAAAAATAAAATTACCCTCCATTTGATAACATAATCCTCTTCTTTTTCAATAAAAAAAGCATTAAACTTCTCCATCTCATCTTCCAACAACAAAACGAAATCCATCATCTCCTTAGAAACCTCGCTCTCCTCTTTACACCCACCATCCCCACCGTCCGCTGAAACCAATATGGGCCGTTTATTAGGCTGCTTCTCTCCCTCATCTTTGGGGTATATCAACTTCAACTGCTTCTTCAAATCCTTGTACGACAAAAACTTGTCACTCCAATCAGGCAACGCTTCTTCGATCAATATGCTTAAACTCTTCCAAAACTTCATGCTCCTCTACTCACCTGATCACGATTACCCTTTCCTCTTCTTTTCTATATATAGAATATATTCTGGTTACTGAGATTATTACAGAGAAGACAATAGAGAAGAGAGAAACCAATGAAGAAGAAAACTGGAATACACTATCTGTTTCTTGGAGGATGTCTTTCGGTTTTTATTCTTTTTTGCCTCTGTTTTTTTCCTTTTCTCGGTTGGACCGTTGCTCTTTGGCTCGTTTTACCGTTAATGTTAAAATTACAAAAGATAATAATAATAATAAGAAAGTTTATAATTATCAATTATGGGTTCATTTTTATTTGTTTTATATTTTAAATTTAATAAATAATTGTGAATAATATTTTAAAATTAATTTATTAAGCATAGGAAAAAGTTATCCACAAATTATTTTTTGTGATCACATCAATATGCTTTTATTTTATAATAATAAAGTCAAATACGCACTTTGGGTTTTAGAATACTTATCCAAATATTAAATTGATGACAATTGCTTGTCATTTTCAATGTTGTCATGAAAATTATGTGTCATTGGATTTTGTAACGTGCATATGTTACTGTCCGAGATTTAAATTTTAAATTCGTGTTATTTCAAGATTCAAATATATACTCATTTAATTATGAATTTTGTGTGCATATATTACAGATCGAGATTTAAGTTTCGAACTCATATGATTTCAAGATTCAAGTATCTGTTCATCTGACGTTTCAGATCAACTTAACTATCATGATTCACATTCTTATGAGATATACGATTTTATCTTACAAAAAATACCTCACAAAAAAAAATAATGTAACTTTTTATACTCTAGTGATCCTATTATGTTCGATGTGAAATTTAAAACTAATGATTGGCTATATCTACAAAGATTTTGGATTTACGATTTGCTCATAATGATCAAATTATGATCAAATTATATTTGTTCTTGCTTGTACCCTTCCAGTCATTCTAGATACAATTTTTAAATATTCGATCTCTTATTATGTTCGATGTGAGATTTATGATTTTTTTAGGTTCGTGAGATTCTTCTCCACCTATTATGTTCGATGTGTCGATGTAAGATTTATGACACTTTCTAAGGTAGTGACTAGTGTGAATCCTTTTATACCATAGGTAGTGACTCTTTCTTAGATCCGTGACATTTTTTTCCACCAAACTTCGTGACGAGGACACTTCCTTAGGTAGTGACTAGTGTGAACCCTTTTATACCATAGGTAGTGACTATTTCTTAGATCCGTGATATTCTTCTACACCCAATCTCGTGACGCCCTCGTCACGAAAGTTAGTCACTCTGCGACCTTGCCTACCTCTATCGAAGGGCTTGGCGTGGGTCGAACGGTTTAGAGCTTGTTCTAATACCATTTGTCACAGGTCAAGACTTAAGTTTCAAACACGCGTGGCTTCAAGATCCAAGTATCCACTTATCCGACGTTTTAGATCAACATAATCGTCATAGTTTACACTCTTGTAAGTTATTATTCGCTTTGATCTCTTTATCTTATAGTTTTATCCTGTGAACTTTTTTATACCTTAATAATCCTCTTATTATATTCGATATGAAATTTAAGACTCTTCTTTAAGTTTTAAACATATATGCTTGGATATAGATATCAAAGTTTTACACGTACTTATTTGGACGAACTATTGGAAACAATGATTACCTGCCAATTAAGTTTTTTTTTTTTAGAAAGTTAAGACTTTAAAAAAATGAAAATTTATAAATAGGGGAGACTGAACTAAATTTTATTGAAGTACAACTCATAAAAAAATAACCATTTAAAATTAAGATTGAATTAAACGTAGCCCAAGCCCATGAACTTTCATATATTTTTGGGCCAATTCGACAACAACGCATCAGGTCAACATTGAGTTCCATTAAAATTAAAATTTTAATCAAGTAATCACTTGAACAAAAAGTAGAGTGGCACCCAATTTTTTTGTTCTAGAAAAACATTGTACAATAAGATTACTCTATTGACAAGAAGTTTTAGTTATCCAACTCCTTCACCCACAATCCAACCATTTTCCCTTTTTTTTTCATTTTTTATTTTTTTATGTAAAATAGATAAATAGGTGAGATTTAATATCGACTAATCTATGTCAAAACAAAGTTATATATTTTAATATTTAGTGTAATTTTATTTATAATCTTTCAAAATTATTATTTTAGTATTCATTTATTTTTATCTAAATTATTTGCTTTTAAAAAATTTTTTTGTTGACAAATTATGAGAAAATATTTTTTTATAAATTTATTAAGTTTGACGTAAATAAACATTGATAAAAAAAATGCTGGATAAAATTTAAAAACCTCTTATCATTAAATAAAATTTTTTTTAATAATATGTGATTAAATGTTGAATTTTAACTATAACAAATGAAAAAATAATGGAAATGATGGGTTACAGTTGATAGAAAAATGAAGGAGAATGGAATGCTAGAAGTGGTAAAACATTTAGGGTGTTTATCGATTTAATTAATTTCGAATTAAATTATTTAAAATTAAATTAAATTAATTATATTATATTATTTTTATTAATTAAATTAATTTTTTTATTTAAAAATTTTATCGATCGAAATTAATTTGATAAGTTGATTATTTTTTTCGATTAATTAAATAATAAAATATATTAAGTTAAATTATATTTTAAATTTTTATTTTTTCATATGTGAAATAAATTGAATAAAATCACTCAATAAAAATATTTTAATATTAAATTAAAAATTATAATAAATTAAAATAAAATAGATAATTTCATATATTTTTTAGTTATATATATGTTTTATAAAAATTCAAACTAATTCGATTTTTAAATAAAATTAATTAAAAATAAAAAAATTTTAAAATTATGTTTAATAATTGATAGAAATTAATTTAATAATTAATGAATCAATTAAATTAAATCGATTAAATCAATTAATTTAATTAAAATCGAATTATTTATGTCCCTAGAAACATCCATCAAAACGACCATCATTAGGAGAAAAAAATTAAGAAACGAAACAACACAAAAGAAAAAAAAAAAAAAAAGGTCAAAGCGGGAAAAGGAAACAACTTCTCCAACAAGAACCGAAGAATTTCTCTATCCTAAATTACTTCTTCGTGAAGTACAAAAAAAAAAAAAAAGGAAAAACACACACACACAACAAAAGCACACTTGTTCTATTTAAATGGGTCGATCTCTCTTATACTCTCAATTCTCTCCCTATACTCACAAAAACCTTGCTTTCTCTTACTCTGCAAACGCGTTAAAAGTAGCTTCTTTTGTAGCCTCTCAGCAAAACTCTCAAGGTTAGCAGCTTTTTCCTACAAGCCATTTTTCTTTTCTTTTCTTTTTTTTTTTAAGATTAATTTCGTTTGGTTTCTTACCTGCCATGATCGCATTTTGTTAAAAGATTCTGTTTGAAAGAAAAAAAAAATGGGAAACGGGTTTGGATTATATATTATGTTAATTTTGGAGATTTTTCTTTTTGATTTCTCTTCGTTTGCTGAATGATTGATTGGCTGTTATTATTTGATTTTTTTTTTAAAATATAATGCGGTTTAGTGGAAGATAAACAGATTGAATGTTCATTTTCTGATTGATTGAAATAGGGCTGGCAATGAAGCAGAGATATTGTGTTGTTTGTTTTGAGTTATGGTCTCTTTAACGATTCAAGCTCTCTTTACCGATTCAAGCTCTCTTTACCAAAAAAATGAAAGAAGATTCTTGCTTTCTATTGGTATTGCTGTGCTGAATATCATACTACAAGTGATAATTGAAATGAATTCTGTTTTACATCAATTGGGTATATTTTGTAAAGTTAAATTTTGTATCCTTGACCAATATGTGGAATTCAACCATAAGAGCAGAAGATGAGGTCTATACAGTATGCATATTAAATAGAATAAGGATGAAGTTGTTCATTTTCTTTTCTAATTTCCGACTAGAGAATAAGAATAAAGTTAAATAATTGTTCTTCTTCTTATTGGTTCTTCAAATTGTTCTGAAAACGTGAAGATGATACTCTTTAAGGTTTTAATCGTTATGTTTTATTCTATTTCTGCCGTTCTGGATGCACAAAGCTTTAAACTGTGAGCCAAATGCTGTGCTTAGTTTGTTGGTCAGTCCAATTTGATAGTAATGCATATAAAAGATACTATGGTTTGAATTTTGAAACCCCACTTTCCCTTCTTTTAGTTCCTTTATTCGAGTACCGATTATGAGGCATGTGAATGGATTTAATTCCGTGGTTGTTAATAGCAAATTGATGTCTGCAATTTTCCCCTGGATAAAATGCTTTTGAGAAGAGAATGCAGGGTAGTATTTATACTAATTAGTAATCTTTTTTCACAATTACTTTTTCAACTGGCATGTAGTCATAAAGTAAACCATAACATAAAAGAAATTTACCATGTATTGTTGCTGAGTATGCCAATGATTTTTTGCCTAGTTGTTGAGAAGGTGTAAAAGATAACTAAATTGTGTTTTTAATTAATAAATATGGCTGAAGTTGCAAATGTATAACTTTTTGTTCTTTTTCATATAATCATATTTTTCATGAATTCAGGTTTTGTTTCAGGAATTTGCTTGATATTAATCCTAAGTGGTTAATTTTCTGAAATACATGGAGTCAGAAGGAAGTGAAAGGGACACTGTGGTGACACAAGTTAGTGTTGGTGGATTTGACAGACATGTCAAAGCCAAAGATCTGATGGACTACTTGGAGAATGAAGTTGGACTTGTATGGAGGTGTAGATTGAAGACTTCATGGACACCACCAGAGTCATATCCCAACTTTGAGATTCCTGACACTACAGTTATCCCAACAACAGATGACTATAACAAGGTGGTGCCCCATGCGTTTGTTCATTTTGCCTCCCCTCTAACAGTAAATTGGGCTGTGGATGCTGCTGGTCGTACTGAGTTGGTTTTCAACAATCAGCTATTGAAGGTTAGTTTGGGGCCTGAAAATCCTTATTACTTGAATCGTCGGAGGAGGACTACGACACCCTTTAATTTACCTGATGTCTCCCTGGAGATTGGAACCCTGGCTAGCAAAGATGAGTTCTTTGTTGGCTGGAAAGGACCTCTTTCTGGGGTTGATTTTCTTGTGGATCCTTTTGATGGTACCTGCAAATTTCGTTTCTCTAGAGATACAGCCTTCTCTTTCAAAGGCACAACGGAGCATGCAGTTATTAAATGTGACTTTAAGGTGGAGTTCTTGGTAAGGGAGATTAACGAGATTAAGCAGTACCCTGATCCATCATGCTTAGTAGTGCTCTTGCAACTGGCTTCTTCACCTTGGGTCTGGTATAGAACTGCTGATGATGAGATTGAAGAATCAGTTCCTTTTGATCTTTTGGATGATGATGATCAGTGGATCCGGACCACAGATTTTACCCCTAGTGGAGCTATTGGTCGGTGTAATACATATAGAGTCATAATCCGTCCTCGTCATGGTCTAAAGCTGAGGAAGGCCATGGATTATCTCAAAGAACGAAGAGTGCCAGTGGACTACCTCAGATTGCCACTTCGGATCGGTAATGAACCTGATTTTGGGAGGTCCATGTCAGATCCCTTCTATTATATTGATTACAAGGAAGGGATTCCCTTTGACATAATGTTTTTGGTGAATGCTGTAATGCACAAAGGCATATTCATTCAGCATCGGTTGTCAGAGGACTTCTTTAACCTACTGAGAGACCAATCAAGGGAGGTCAATGTGGCAGCTTTAAAGCACATCTATTCCTATAGACGTCCAGTGTATGATGCTTATAAGAGGCTGAAAGTTGTCCATGATTGGCTGCTGAGGAATCCTAAGCTTTTTAAGAACCCTAAAAGGCTGGATGATCTTGTTGAAATCAGAAGATTGGTTATTACTCCAACCAAAGCTTATTGCCTTCTTCCGGAAGTTGAGCTTTCTAATAGGGTTCTCAGGAAATACAAAGAAGTTGCTGATCGGTTTTTAAGGGTCACATTTATGGATGAAGGCATGCAGACAATGAATGCAAATGTGCTCACGTACTATGCTGCTTCAATTGTAAGGGATGTGACATCTACTTCTTTTTCTCAGAAAACGGGAGTGTTCAAAAGGGTAAAGTCTATTCTAACAGATGGATTTTACTTGTGTGGTCGCAAATACTCTTTCCTTGCTTTCTCAGCCAATCAATTGAGAGACCGTTCTGCATGGTTTTTTGCTGAAGATGGGAATATAAGTGTGCTTAATATTATAAGTTGGATGGGGAAGTTTCAAAACCGAAATATTGCTAAATGTGCTGCCAGGATGGGTCAGTGCTTCTCTTCAACGTATGCGACAGTGGAAGTTCCTTCAACAGAGGTCAACCCAGACCTTACAGATATAGAGAGGAATAACTATGTGTTCTCTGATGGGATTGGCAAGATCACTCCTGATCTTGCAATGGAAGTTGCTCAGAAACTGAAGTTGGACCTAAATCCTCCTTGTGCTTATCAAATTAGATATGCTGGTTGTAAAGGGGTTGTGGCTTGTTGGCCAGGAGAAGGTGACGGGATCCGCCTTTCTTTACGGCCCAGTATGAATAAGTTCCATTCTAACCACACAACATTGGAAATCTGTTCTTGGACAAGATTTCAGCCTGGCTTCCTGAATAGACAAATTATCACTTTGCTTTCAACACTAGGTGTGCCAGATGAAGTATTTTGGGGAATGCAAAAGACCATGGTTTCTAAATTAAACAAAATCCTTGTGGACACTGATGCAGCATTTGAAGTTATCACTTCATCATGTGCTGAGCAAGGGCATACTCCAGCAATAATGCTGAGTGCAGGTTTCAAGCCTCAAATAGAACCTCATTTAAGAGGAATGTTGACTTGTGTAAGAGCATCTCAGCTTTGGGGTCTTAGGGAGAAAGCTAGGATTTTTGTTCATTCAGGAAGGTGGTTAATGGGTGTTTTGGATGAACTAGGAGTACTTGAACAAGGTCAGTGCTTTATCCAAGTGTCCAATCCATCTATAGAAAACTGCTTCCTGAAACATGGTTCTAGGTTTGCTGAAACAAAGAAAAATTTTGAAGTAATTAAAGGGCTGGTGGTTATAGCTAAGAATCCTTGTCTTCACCCTGGAGATATAAGGATTCTTGAAGCAGTTGATGCCCCTGGTTTACACCATTTGTATGACTGTCTGGTATTCCCTCAAAAGGGTGAGAGACCCCATACAGATGAAGCTTCTGGAAGTGATCTTGATGGGGACCTTTATTTTGTCACATGGGAAGAACTTCTTATCCCCCCTAGCAGGCAGAGCTGGCCACCCATGCAGTATGACCCTGGTGAGCCTAAGTTATTGCAACGCCCAGTCAATCATAAGGTAACTGTTTGTTGTGTTCGGTTATTATCACTGAACTTTTATGAACCTCTGATTTTCCAGAATTGTTTTTCTTTTATTTCCTTTTATTCAAATGCATTATACAAAATTCTAGTATTCCTGAATAAAATCCTCTTTTTGTTACTACAAACAATATTGTTTTCTAGTATGCTGCTTGAAAGCTGGTATCAAAAGGAATGTTGCAATTGAAGACATACATGGTTGAGCACATAACTATATGTTTCTTTGTTATTATTCTTTTATGGTTTTACAACCAGCTCAGTTTTTATTGTTTAAATGCACCATGTTGTTTGGCATCGATCTAGTAGGAATGGACTGACGGTTTTTGAAATGGTTTTCTTGTCACTTGTAAATCTTTTGTTACTGTAATTTCCATAGAGCGAAATGAGCAAAAATGTGGCAATAAAACTAGTAAATTCTTGAGTATAATATATTAATAAAGCAGGAAACTGATTTTTGGATTTGTATCATGATGAATACCTTATTTTGAATTCCTAATGTCTAAAAGGAAAAATCTTCAAATGGGAGAAACTGGAGCAAAATTGCGGGAATAAAGTGGATATATTCTTGATTAAAATATATCAAATTGCAGGGCTAGTCAGTTTTTATTCTGATGAATGAACTATTTTAAATTCCAAGTAGGTTAAAGAAATAATCTACTGACTGTTTTGTTTCACATTTACTCTACAGGATTTAATAGAGTTTTTTTCAAAAAACATGGTGAACGAGAGCCTGGGAACTATTTGCAATGCACATGTGGTTCATGCTGACCTTAGTGAACATGGTGCTTTAGATGAGAAATGTGTATATCTTGCAGAGTTAGCGGCTACAGCTGTTGATTTTCCTAAAACTGGGAAGATTGTGTCAATGCCTGCTCAATTAAAACCAAAACATTACCCAGATTTTATGGGTAAAGAGGATTACCAATCTTACAAATCAAACAAAATTTTGGGAAGACTATATCGTGATATCAAAGGCGCGAATGATGACGATATCTCTGAATCTTCTGAGCTCAATTTTGATGCTAGTGACATCAATTATGATGCAGATCTTGAGGTTACAGGATCTGCTGACTACATTGCTGACGCATGGGTTAAAAAGTGCTCCTATGATGGGCAGCTGATTGGACTTCTTGGACAGTACAAAGTTAAGAGGGAAGAAGAGGTTGTAACTGGGCACATCTGGTCCATGCCTAAATACACCAGTAGGAAGTTAGGGGATTTGAAGGAGAAGCTAGGTCATTCTTATGGTGCCCTGAGGAAAGAATTCAGGCAACATTTTGAGAATATGGACTTGGACTTTGAGCAGCTCAATGAGGATGAGAAGAACGAATTGTATGAAAGAAAGGCATCAGCATGGTACCAGGTCACTTACCATCCTAAATGGGTAAAGGAGACAGTAGAGTTGCAGAAGTCTGATGGTGCTGAAGGTACAGTAATGTTAAGCTTTGCTTGGATTGCAGCTGATTACCTTGCTCGAATAAAAGTTAGGCACCAGGGGACTGGAAATGTTGACTTTGCTAAGCCTATCAACTCTCTAGTACGGTACCTAGCTGATCGAATATGACCAGCATTTGACTGTTTTGGCAGCAAATTCTTTTGCTGGATCAGACTTCTAGGTGACAAGGCCACTCTGCCATTGCCGAAAATAAGTTGTAATGTGGATTTCTTATGTAGTACATTTCTGCCGAATGACCTGTTACCTATCATTGCTATGACCTATTTTGATTGTTGAAAGATGATTTCCATGCGTCGTTTGGAAGTTTGCTCATGTGATTATGTTATCGAATTTTCTTGCTTTGCTCATGTAATAGTGGAATTGATTCAGTAAGTGGAATAGCATGTGATATTGGATGGTTCAAATTGTTTTAAGGCAGGCTGGAGCACTGCTAACTTGCTGGAGCTTGGATCATATTATTATGGTCCCAAAATTTTCCCTTTATTTCTGTATTATGCATGGTAGAGATGTTTGGCCTTTCAACTCATTTAAATTGATTTTTCTTGTGAGTGCATTTATTGCATATATCTATGGACTATGGTCCTCCAGATGATTCATAATCAAGGAATTTTATCAAATTCATCATTTTAGATGAGTTCTTGAGTCTGGACATAGATGGTCCAATTGGTTGAGCAGTTCAGAATCTTTTCCCATATGGTCCTTGAAGGCTATTCTCTATTTTCTTGACCAAGCTAACTACACAGGCATTTGGTGGTGACCTAGATTTAAACTTACTATGTAGCTCGCTTGTACATAACATAGAAAGGTATTTAATATTTTGAGGTCTTTCAAGGGCTATGAATGAAGAGGCTGCCTTTCTGTTGGCTTCGGTTGCATTTGTACAAGCTTATTACCTTGGACACTTCAAAAGATGTTTGTCCCACCCTACCCCTGGTATTCTCTAGCATTGCATTGCTGCGACTCTGCCTATTGAAGAAGACTCAATGGCTTACTGCTTAGCCTTTACATTTAAGAAAACTGAAACTATAAGCAACAAATCTAGTCAATTGACTCATGATCGTCGGCCTTGGTTCCCTTGAATATGGAAAGTGCTCTGACCATGACCGATATAAGTGAAATTAACTACTACTATTATTGTCGGACGACTGTTATTTACTGTTCAGAATAAATATACTTTACTGCTATTACCAAGTTTAATTATAGAGGATAATTACTGTTAGATCAAACTTGAGTTGTTTATATATGCTTTTGCAATGTTCATAGACAGTCTTAACATATTCTTTCCTCCATTAAAAGGATGCCATAGCCCATAGGTGGCAACTTTTACCTGAAAGTATAGTCTTTATACAAAAACCAAAAGTTGGTTTTCAAATAAATTTCACAAAATCTGTTGAATTAATTTGATCCAAACAAGCTTTTGACAAATGGAAGATTAATGCATTCTATTTCCCATCGCATGTAGGAGATTATTGTTCCATCTACTAATGGTGGGATGGCAGGAAGGGCACTCTTCAGCGGTGGCAGAGTTCAAATCTCTGTTGGAGGCTTTTGATTCTATCTTTCTCTGTGTTTTCCAGAATTCCCTTGACGAATGAAACATGTTCAGATCAAGATTTGGAATAACTAAGGTTTAAAAAGAAACAAAACAAAAAAGATTGTTCACTTCAAAACCTTCCAAAACAATTTCATTGAGACAAAAAGATCTTTCCATACTTGCTAGAAACAAGCGTTCACTCGGAGATTTCCGACAAGCATCCTTAATCGAAGAGGTTACTCCAACAAGATTCAAAAACTAGAATTTAGGCCTCAAGGCTAATAAACGAGATTCAAAACAAGAAAAGAAATCAAACTTAGCTGGGATGTCATTCTTAGTTATCAGTTTCATTTTCTTAATCAAATATTCAGTTGAATTAATCCCATTTTTTTGGTCTTGCAACAGAATTACGTGCACCAAGAGAACAAAAACCTTACAAGCAAGTTCATCATACTCATCCTTGCCGACAATGTATATGCAGACACCTCCCAGCACTGTGTAAACATTGTAAACTGACCTGATAAGTCAAACCATTGAGAAAAGTCGATGAATATCAGAAAGGTTTTATTATCCATAATGACATCCCAACATTGATACATATATCCCAAACAATATTAAAAATAAACGAACAATGATGAACAATCTTGCCTTAGAAATAAAAAAAAAAATCATGAACAGAATCCACTCGTTTACAGCCCTAAAATCCTTTAACTTTTAAGTCTAATTTTTTTTTTTTAATTTTTTCTAGTAATTGAAGTTCTAGGCCTTTATAGTTAAATTAGGTAGGGAGTAAAAAATTAGATGGCACGGAAGTCTTGCATTGGAAAATTGTTCAAAAAAGAACAAACAAATTAATGGGTATGCCAACTAAACCTTTGTCACCTAGTTTCCATTGAAAGAGTTTCCAAGTCAGCAAAAGTAGATACATATTATTGAACTTCAAAAAATTGCAGGACCAGTGCATTTGCCACCCACCACTTCGGTTTTTCCCTTGGCTATTATCTATCCCTGTCTCACTTTCTCATTAATGTGACAACACATCTCTTCAATTTCATGATTTTAAAATGTTTAATTTAAACTATCTTATATATAGATAAATTTTTTAAATAAATCGTTAGTTTTTTTTAATATTTGAAATTATCAAACTCAAATAATTAAACTAAAACTCTAATATTTTATTACCGTAATCTTGACAAATTTTGATCCTTTTTTAGAATGTAAGATTAAGTTATCATAATGAAATTAATGCAGCGAAATGATGGAAATGAATTAACTTTACGTACTTGTGTGAAGCAACAAAAAGCTCTTCATTTTTGCACCTTTGAGATTATCTGCTCCCAGTTTAACTAAGAAAGTTCTCCAAAGTATTCGTTCCTCAGATGGAACTCCATTGAACCTATTCATGTAAATGACGATTGCATGGACGAATTCAGAGCCCAAAATTTTTTAAAAATTTAATGTGAATTCTCAAAGTTTTCTTATAATTTCCACTAGAAACAGTGCCAAACTTAATTTCAACAGTAAAGAAAGCAAAATTCACCAAGCAACATGGAAATATTAAAAGAAAAATAAAGAGAAAAAGATAATTGGACAAAGAAATTTTATTTGAGGATGAATGCAAATACATGCACAAAGTTTTGCAATACATATACACATTGATGAACTGATAGCACTCTATATTATCATGTTGTGTGTATGTGTGCGAGCATGTATGCGAATAAATTTTTTTTATTATTATCAATGTTTTATGTGGGATTAAAGAGATAGTTAGGTGATGATAATGGTAGGTCTTTTTTGATATGCCTAGAGAACCACCTCAACAAAAATGGGTTTACTAATCATCACCATCAGCTAATTAACCCTGACAACATTATCCTTTTAATTAGGCAATTTAGGAAATTGGAAAAATGTGAGGAAAACATACAATGTCCTAAGTTGATTGTTTGGAGCTAATCTCTGGGTCAGTGTTAGACTTATAATTCAAAGAGATTCATTCAATCCTTAGTCTTGTCCTAAGGAAAGGTCCTACAAAATTTTTGTGGTTATTGAAAAGACTGGTTTTGCTTGGATAAAGTCCAAATGTACATTAAAAACTGTCACAACTAATTATTATTGTTTCACACTTAGGGTTGATTAATAATCTAAGGTAGTGTGCACCAAAAATCAAGTTCTAAGGCATAGTATATAGATTAGATATTGTAATTTTGTTTAATTAAAAACAAAGAGCATAAAATTGGTTGTGCTTAGCTCCACGTTGGTGATTCTGTCTCTTCTTTTAAGTGCTATACATCTATAGCAAAGTTGCAGTTTCTGCAATGGTAGGCTGCCGAGGTGAAAGGATTGGAAGGGACAAGTTAGATTGGAAGTGGGCCAAATTGTATACTTTGATAATAATTCATCAACCTACCGATTAATTATTACTATATCAACAGTTCAATCTTATGTTTTTTATTTTAAAAATTTTTTTATTAATAAAATGGAGTTTAGATATTGTAGAAAAGTTTATTTTCAAAAAATAAAAGGCATTACAGAAAATTAAACTTTTTGCAACATTTTTTTTAATTGTTTAGTGACATTCATAAAATCGTTAAATTTTAAATTTTAGCGAGATTTGCAAACATCGCTAAATTAAATTCTAAAAAATTACCCATGATAAGTTTTAGTTAATTTATTCCATTTATATTATTTCATGGAACTTGTTTAAACTTTAATACAATGAGAAACGAGTCTAACAGTGAATAATAACATGCTGCAAGGACTAAGAAATAAGAACACACATAAAAGTTACATCTCATGCCATCAATCAGCATTTATTTTAAACAGGTAAACTCGAACTTTCACTCTATGAAAAACAAGCAATTACTTTGCATACTACTATTAAGCTACCTTCATTCTCAAAAATCTATACAAAACGCTTTTAAAATAAAGCATATATTGTATATACATCAATTCATAGATTTAAAAACAAGAAGTTGTTGAGGCCCCGGTGAGCGAAGCAATGACAAAAGACCCACGCCTAGCTTTGACCTTATACAGATCAGTTTCTCAAGACATGTTTAAATTAAGAACAATTGATCAATTATTTCAATCGCCATGCATGCAGGCGTGCAGGCTAGCCAACGCCAAGGGTCCATCCCTTTACTACAACCTCATATCGACAGAAATTGTTAAAGCATCGTTATCGATCGATCACTTAAAAACTTCAACAAATTGAAAACAATGGAAACAAACAAAGATATCAACATCACATGCTGAAAAGCAATGCAACTAATTAACCAATACGTTGAAACCCTCTCTCTATTTCTTATTAATAACATCACAACATTTCTCACTCCCGTTGTACGAAGTGCATTAACCCTCGTCCAACTGCTTTGAGAGCTAACCTTCCTTCCTTTATCTCAAACATTTTTTTTTTCATTTTTTATAGTGTGGTGAGTATAGTACATTTTGATTTATTAGATATTATAATTTTAGTTTTAGTGTTCTTATCTTATACTAACAAAAGTTTCTCTTTTTTTTTAATAATTTGATGTTTCACTATTGTTTTTTAATTAGAATGCAGTGGTAAATAATTTATAATTTTATTGATTTAGGGAATAAAATACTCAAACCCTGTTTTTTATGCAAAAAAATCTTGAATTAATTATTAAACCAAATGTTCGAGAGTATTGTCTTTAACTTAATAGTTAAAAAATTATAATTGATGAGCAAACATTTAATTTAGACTAAAATATTAAAAACCATAAACTATTTTATTTTTCTTAAATAAGCTTTTATATTTTTATTGTATCTAAATAAGTCTTTTTTTTTTTATTTGTAATCACATAAACTTTTATTTCAAATGAAAGATTGATCTTATATCAAGAGTTTATTTAAATAAATATTAAAGGTTAAAAATTTATTTGAATACAAATTAAAAGTTAATAACTTATTTAGATGTAATAAAAATATAAAGACTGATTTAAAATAAAGGTTAAAATTCATGATATTTTTATTATTTTAACCTTTAATTCATATTTTTTTATATTTTTTATTGGATACTAATTTATATATATATTTTTTTATTATTATTTAGATGTAATAAATATATAAGTATTTGTCTTGAGTACTCTTTATCAAATTGATCCATCTTCCCACAAACATTTATTTTGTCTGAGGGATTAAAAGCCATGAAATTCAACAGTTGTTATTGCACTTTCCATTGCCTTTACGATCCGTTTTCTTGTTCAGACATGCATTCTGATAGCCATAGGAAAAGAAAAGGAGAGTTTAACTCTTAAAACATCATTCTCAATTGAAAGAGAAACACAATCACTAAGACAAAATCACAATTAATTAGTTTATTACTTGTATATATATATACGTAGCTTTCAACAATATCCCCATTCAATAATTGTACAAGTTTTGTGTTAAAAGTGTTCAGAACAATAAAAAATCTGCATTGGTTTTTGGGTGTCTTCAAGGACCAATGTCTCGTTTGGATGTACATATAAAAGAACTCTGAAATTACTTTGGCAACTATGAACTTAAACTTATGTTGATATTTTGTAATAAAGTGAGCTTGGAATCTTATGTGAAAGATACGAAGCTCTGATTCATCTGCTCATAAAGCATCAAATCACACATTCTCACGCTTTATACTCGTCTGTGACACAAATTTCATACTTGTAATTATTGATATGTACGTACGTACGTATTTATACATGATTCATGCAAACTATAGCATTTCCCAATGGAAGCCAGTAAACAGTTGTATATAGGTGCTGACCTACATTTGTTTTCATATGGCAAATTTCATAATTACCGGGAAAGATACTGAATATTTCACCACTTTTACATGTGACGATGGTAGATGAATGATTTATGACCAGGAAAGGCAAAATGAAAAGGACTTGAGTGGTTTTTGCAGAGGATGTACATGCTATTCTAAGGATGTCTTTTCTAAACTCCACCTGAAGTTGAAGTCATAGGACAATTCCAATTGAGTAATTCTTCAATCATCTGCATTGCAATCCTGTCCTCTTCTCCCATCACACTTCCAGTTTCAATCTCATCAGCCATAGGCGACAACCCTGATGACAATGCTGATCCATCTTCCAATGCTGGTGGAATAATTTTCTTATTCCCGAGCTCAACCCTCATGACCCAATTGGAGCTTGAACGAGTGCCAGCACGTTTTTGCCAGACCCCAATATGAGCATTATCAGTGTCAAGCCTGAGGCAAGTCAGAGAAGGAGATTGGTCTTTGCAACACTTCCTGAGCTTTGCATTCAGAAGCTCAGATAAAGCCTTGGGAGGCAATGGAGAGTCATCATCATGAGCATTCGTGTCACCGGGGTGAGTCTTTGCTACAGGAAAATTGGTCTTGGCATTTTGTCCATTCATCAAAATAGCAGCCTGGTCATATGCTCTTGCCGCAGCCTCAGCTGTCTCAAATGTCCCGAGCCATACCCTTCTTTTCCTGTACATCAAACACAATTAAAATCAAAGTATGCGACCAGGCTGATATTATATATATGTATATAGGTAATTATAAGAAGAGGTGTTATAATGTGAGTGGGTGGACTTACAGTAAAGGATGGCGAATTTCAGATACCCAAGAGCCCCACTGACGCTGCCGGACACCCCTGAATTTCTTTGCTTGTACCATGTTTCCTGGGGAGAGAAGACTTAAAAAGAAGTGCAGAGATCATAAATATGGAAACAGTGAGGTGCAGTTTTAAGAGGGGAAATATGGAAGTGTGGGCTTTGTGCTGCGTAAGAAAGAATTTATACAAGCTGTCGGTGGATTGAACGGAAAGTCCAACATAACAATTATTACTTGCTGCAATAAAGATTTCACCTACACAGCCATGATAGAACTAGGTTCGCAACAACAAAGAATAAATAAATAACATGTTGACAATCCTCATCACTTCTCAATAAAAAGGTAGTAAGTAATAATGTTCAGTACCTAGGTCTTCCACTTAATTGGAATTGAAAAGAGAAGAAAAGAAACAACAGTGACATCAACAACAATTCATTAAAAAAAAGTCAGTGTTTTTCTTTGAAAAATGGAAAGTTTCTAGACCTTTGACATGAGTTTGTAGTAGTTAAAAGTTCTTATCAACTTGTCGATAGAATGATGAATTCTTAGTTTCACTTTTAAATTTTCAAGTATAAAAAATGCATATTTCTCTCTCTATTTTTTACTTGACAAATTGTTTTTTTTTTTGTCTATTTTTCTTCATGCTTCAATTAAGCTTTTCATACGCATAGATTTTCTGTCATATATATATATATATATTCTGCTTTGCTTCGAGTCCAAGAATTTTTTGAAAGAGATGGAACATTGTGTAATTTGCAGTTAAAGATTAGTTCAGTAGGAGGAAGATGTGAATCAAAGAAGCAGGGTTGTGAACATGTTAAATTATTTTACGCAGGCCAAGCTTTGAGGTCAGCCAGACAATTAATTATTAGGTTTGCTGCTCAACTGTTGCATTGGCACGAGAATTTCCAACCAATGGGTTGGCATATTAATAGGAATCCGATATGGTAGTTGATTACCCAGCCGACTGTGTGATTTGTGGCCAATAAGTCATTTCCCCTTAATGGTAAAGATTGAAAAAAACACTAGCTTAGCTGCTATCTTTTTAGTTTCCTGGCTGGCTTTTACTTTTACAACCGGCTGCAAAGCCAAAGCTTGGTCATTGAGGGTCTTGGGTCACTCTAGCTTTCTCAACGAAACAGATCTGTCAGACGCACAGTTGAATCTCATAATTAACTATCACTCGTACAAATCTTTAACTATTGGAGGGATATCATGAGAGCGCAGTAGCTCAAAACAGACTCAGAGTGGTTAACAAGTATGAATCAAAGCTACACAATAATCATCTTGAATAGAATATGAATCAAAGCTACACAATAATCATCTTGAATAGAAACTCTATCTGATCTCTGTGTTACCTGATGTTTTTTGCCGACCAAATAAATTAAAGTTTAATTTCAAATGCATAAAATTAGATTCTAACCAATTCGTACAAAACTTGGCGTATGACAATTGACAAATTGCTAGATTATTATAATTATATAATTCGAACGATTAATTTCAGTTCTAATTGAATTGACCGTGAATTGATTGAAAAGTGAGGATCGAACTCACATGGTGAATAATTGATGATTTAAAAATATCATTTCAATATTAATTTTAATTAGTTATTCAATTCCTTTAGACAGTAGACCATTAATTATACTATCATCAACCTATCTAACATGTAGGGTCTAGAACGTTTCCATTGGTGGAATTTACAAAAGGGATATGGCTTCGAACTTATTAAAACTAGCCTTTGAATGTGAATAATGAAGGGAAAAAAATGAGTTAATGTTATCCAATTATGCTAGACTGTGGCAGCAAAGCAGTTAAAGTTGTAAAACTTGGAATTAGGCATTGTTTTGATTTAGAGGGTAGGTAGGTTAATTGCTAATCCAAGATCAAGATCCCATCGCCCATGGGTGAATAGGTGAAGGGGATGCATCTTAATTATTAGTGGGGTTGATTTTCGATTAGCAGCCGCTTGTTAGCTCTTCGGGTACAGCAAATTTATTTATGGCGAAACTAATTTGGTGGTCGATTATTTTGGCTGACGTCTCTAAAATTTCAGCCAAAACTTTGCAATAACTTGGTCACAAACTGGTCTTTGGATGAAGAATTATTTAAAGATCTATATGTTTCGATCAAATAACTGGCTTTTCATACTCACATAGCATAGAAAATGTTAGGAAAAGAAAGTAAAGAAAACAGAAAAAAAAAAAGTTTTGTTTTGTTATGCTAGATAGAAAAGTGAGAGGGTGGAAAAAAAAAAGAAAGATGAGCAATATTTTTCACTTTTATTAAAAAAAAAAAAAGTCTTTCTGAATTGAAATATAAGAGGAAAAAATAAAAGAGATATGAAGATTAATATTGCATATTTATAAAATTATCTATCATTAATTTTACTTTTTTATCTTAACTTACAATTTTCTTTTTTTTTTTTAATTTTATCAAACAATGAATAAAAATAAAATTACCTTTTCTCATTCTTTTCATTTTTATTAAAGGCGGTAATAAAAAAACAATTTCATCTTTCCACCTCATTCTTTCTCCACTATTCTATATATATCTTTTTATCTATTGTACAAAGTAAAGCCTAAGTGAAGAATTATGCTTGTTGTCAATTTGGTTTTGTTTGAGCAAGATCCTATATCATAGCTGTAATTGGTTGATATAAGTCCTTTAGCTTGCCTATGTTTGGTACACGGTGCTCAAATTATGAGTACTCGAGGTTTCTTTGGGATTATTTCTTTCTTGTGTTTAAACAATTGTGCAAAAGTTGTTTTTAAGGAAACATTTCAATGTTTCATTTGAAACTAACATTTTAAAGGTTTCATTTTTTTTTTTTCAATTTTAAGAAGAAACGGGGTTTTCATGTAATGGACATGACTTACTCTTTTGTATATACCAAAACCCTAAAAAGGAAAGAGATTGATAACATCTACTTATTTTTTTCTTAAAATAAAATAAGGGTAAAATATACCATTACTCAATTAATTATGATCTTATTTTTAAAATAATCGTCTAACTAATAAAATTTTTTATTGCATCACTAAATTTTGGATAAGTATTTTTTATCATTTAGTTGTTAGTTTCTAATGGCATACTAATATGATAGTATCACTTTAGCTATTAGGTATCACATGGCATTACCAATGCCATGTTATCTAAATCACATGGTATTATTAACGTGGTACTATAAATTTTGCTAACGTAACAATGTCACTTGGTGTTTTATCAATCAATACAATATTGTCACATCAACACATTATTAGAGATTAATGATTATATGATAAAAAAAACATTAACTCAAATTTTGATGACTAAATTAAAAATTTTAATAATTTAGTAATCACTTTAAGATGCGATTATAATTAAATGACTAATGATATAATTTACCCATAAAATAATCCATTTTTAGGTCACTTTTATTCTAAGTTAAGATTATCAAATCTTGTCTCTTTTTTATTCCTTATCTTCGATTCACATGTATCAATATTCAAGAAAAGAATCACTTTAATGCATTGTTATAAACTCTGTCATAACCTTTAGATCTAAGGATCTATCGTTAGACATTGATTTAAAAAGTTACCATTAATTTTTTTTTGTTTAGGTGCGATTGATCACATAAAAAATCTATCATTTCAAGAAACACCTAAGCTTAAGAGTCCCTAAAAGAATATGTTCAGGTCTATTAATCAGAACATGGTTCGAGAGTACGGTTACGTGTGAGGAAGGTTATAGCACCCTCACAACGTTCATCGAAGGATAGTACCAACTTGATTTCGTATTAACCATTAAGTCTAAAAAATTTATCAAATAATTAATTATTAAAAACTATTCTTAATTGACTCTAATACTTTTAACAAAAATTAAAAAAATTTCTTCACTTCAAAAGTATACAAAAAAATTATTATTTTACTTGCAGAGACTTTATCATTGGATTATTTAACATTAAAAAATTTTCAAAAAAAAATAAAATAAAAAAGAGGAATAATGATTCAACTTTTGATATAAATCATTTTCTTTAAAAAAAAAAAACTCATTGTTTTTTTACAAGAAAAATTAATACTTTCAATTTTTTTTAAAGCATTTGAAGTTTTTATTTTAAAAAAAAATTGATACTTTCAACTTTTTCTTAAAATGTTTTTCTTGATTATTTTTATTTTTAAGAAAAATTGGTACTTCCAACTTTTCCTTAAAATATTTTTTTCCTGAAATTTTAATTTTGAGAAAAATTAATACTTTTAATTTTTTCTCAAAATGTTTTGTTTTTTTGAAATTTTAATTTCAAGAAAAATTGATACTTTCAACTTTTTCCTAAAAATATATTTTTTAATCTTTTTATTTTTTTAAAAAAATTGATACATTCAACTTTCTTTCAAAAATATATATTTTTAAAATTTTATTTTCAAGAAAAATTAATACTTTCAACTTTTCTTCAAAAATATATTTTTTAAAAATTTTATTTTAGAACAATCATTAAAAAGAAAATTAAAATTAAATTTTTAAAAAAAATTAAGGAATACCAAATAATTTTAATTTAGAAATAATAATAACAACAACAACAACAATAATAATAATAAATAAATAAATAAATAATTTTTTGAAAAAAATATTGAAACGGCTCGGCTCGGCTTGGATTCAGCTCGGCTCGACTCCAAAAAAAAAAAAAAAAGCTAAAAAACACGGCTTGAGAATGTGTAGCTCGACTTGGCTCGGCTCCAAAAATCGGCTGGCACTTGGATCAGACGCGGGTCAAAAGTAGATTGACGCTCGGATCGAGTTACCCGATGGTAATACGTAGGGATCCTCTAAGATTAATAAGGCCAAAATAACATCGTTTTCTGAAGGTATAAAAGGCAAAAAGCTTTTAATTTTCTTTAGACGCCTTATTTCCTTCTCTCTCTCTTCCCTTTTTTTCTCTCATCTCTCTTTAGAAAAATTCAGATTTCGGTTGAATGTTCTATCAGAATCTGAAACAGCCCATCGAAAACTGAAAAATTTGGTCGAAAAATTCAAAGTTGGTTGAAAAATTCAACGAAAAATTGGTCAGATTTTGGATTTTCCAAAAAAATTTCAGAAAAATAATTGCCAAAAAATTTGAAAAAAATTCTAAAAAAATCTAAAACTGTTTCTATTACCCATAACCCCCTTTTTTACTTTTGATTTCTTCTGTCTCATGTCACTGTGTCCTCTTTTCGTTCTGTGTGATCAGTGATTTATAGGACCCGATCAGAAGAATTTTTTATCAGATAGAAGTCCTATTTCGACTAGATTTTCATATTATCAAAAACTTAAGACTCATTCCACTTCAGATTAAAACCCACGGGAACTTTACAACCACCAATTCACGATCAAATACATATTTTTTATTTTTTATTTTTTATTTTTAAATATGTTAAACTAATGATAAATCTAATAAAAAAAATAGGTAAATCAACTAAAAAAAATTTCAAAGATAGATAAAAAAACCATAAAATAATAAAATAAACATAAACATATAAGTCAATTAAACCTTCTAATTGGATCCTAAATCAAATTCAATGAATTTAAGCTTAAATCCTATTGGATAAGATCCAATGATCTTGGACCCAGATCAAATAGGGTATCTATAAATTCTTTTTGTGGAATAACATTGCTTTTTGCAGTATTTTGAATTTAGTCACGAATCAGGGGCAATACCTTTTGTGACTTTCATATTTTGGTCAACTTATAAAGATCAGGCAAAATATATAAGATCAGGCACAATATATAAGTAGAAAATTTCAATATTTGATTTAATAGTTTCCCAATTAGATTACGTATAAAAACCAAGCTCTTAGCCCCTAAGCGTGTAAATGTTCTAAATATTTTATCAAAGTAATCTATAGCATTTGGCAAAGTGGTTGCTGGGAAGCGAAGTTGGGATCTGATTCTTACTTCAAATTCTCATGCACATTCTTCACACGTCACATGAAGCAATAGTAAGTACTATATTTTTGGTCAACTTCCTTCAAAAACCTAAACCTGCATACCACATCAAAATCTTTCCGCAGGAATTCATCGATTAAGCTGTCTTTTAGGCAATCACCTTTAGCTGCCTCTAATTTATATTCCAAGTAATTAATTCACAACAGCATTTTTGCGTTTGTTTTTGGCTTGTTTCGAAATGTATATATCGTGGGTGTGTTTTGACTGAATTTTTAAGAGTTTGCAGGTTGAACAATGGAGCAGCAATTTTATTTGCTCCACGGGACACTTCATGCAACAATATATGGGGTTGATAAGCTACATTATGGATGTAAACAAAACTTTTGCTCTGGTCAGGTAAGTGATCAGTAGAGTTTAGGGACTATATACTAATTAATTTTAAGCTGGATTAAAATTAAACCATGTTAGGAGCCGAATTTTGATCAAATAATAATTTCTTCCCTTCAAAGATTTCTAGTACGCATGTAAAAAACACATCAAAACTGAATAACAAGATAGACATTTGAAGCCTATCACTTTCTGCTATTATGAATAATATCTTCCATAAATTCTAACATGATCATAGCCTAATTGAACGAACTTTGTTAGAGAAAGTGGACTTGTAGGAAAAAAAGATTTGAAGACAGAAGTAATGAAACTTGGCTGTTTGAAGCTTTAATTTATAACAAATGCCTTTGAGTTAATGTTTTGTAATGAAATAATGGAGTTTATTTCTAAAGGAATTCAATCCTTATTGTGGTCTTGTTTTCTTTAAATTTTGGAGACGATGAGCGCAAGCAAGTTCCAGAAAAGGGTTCTAGCCCGAATCAAGAGAACGGTGCGATGCCTATCTTATTCTTCTATCCTATTCTGATCACTTAATTTTTAATTTTGAGAATAAATATCATTGGCAATCTCGATCGTATGCCTCAGACATTTCCAAAACATCGATCTTTGCAGTTCTTAGGCCCACAGCTTTATGCAACAGTTGATCTAGATAAAGCGAGGGTGGGGCGAACAAGTGTGGTAAGACATAGACCATCCTCCCCCCAGTGGAACGAGAGCTTCCGCATATACTGCGCCCATTCGATCGAATATGTTATATTCACTGTAAAGGATAACAGTCCCATTGGTGCAGTACTGATTGGCAGAGCTTATTTACCTGTTAAGGATATAGTCAATGGGGGTATTGTGACGCGGGATCTTGGTATACTAGATGAAGACCGTAATCCAATACCTGGACAATCCAGAATCCAGGTACGGTTGCAATTTCAAAGTGTTAGCGAGGACGAAAATTGGTCTCAAGGAATTAAAAACCCTAATTTCGGGGGAGTTCCTTATACTTTCTTCCGACAGCGAGAGGGCTGCAAGGTTACCCTCTACCAAGATGCCCATATTTCAGATGGTTTCAAACCTGAAATTCCTCTATCTAGAGGTGAGTTTTATGAACCTCAGAGATGTTGGGAAGACATCTTTGAGGCAATTAATAAGGCAAAACACTTCATTTATATAACTGGTTGGTCTGTGTACACTGAAATAACCTTGATTCGGGACCCAAGAAAGGAAAAGCCTGGAAGTAAAGAAACACTTGGGGAGCTGCTCGAAAGGAAGGCTAAAGATGGGGTGAGAGTTCTTTTGCTTGTTTGGGATGACAGAACTTCCATCGAATTGCTGAAGGAGCAAGGCTTGATGTCTACCCATGATGAAGAAACTGCTAATCATTTTCGGTACTCTAAAGTGCATTGCGTTCTATGCCCTCGTAATCCTGATAATAAAAGAAGCTTTGTTGAAGGCTTTAAAATTGCTACTATGTTTACTCACCATCAGAAAACACTAATTGTTGATAGTGAAAACCCGAATCCAGGATCAGAAAAGCGAACGGTTGTCAGTTTTATTGGTGGCATTGATCTTTGTGATGGGAGATACGACACTCAAGACCATCCTCTGTTCCGGACTTTGAACGACATTCATCATAATGATTTCCATCAGCCGAACTTCAAAGACTCTTCAATCGGGAAAGGCGGGCCGAGGGAGCCCTGGCATGATATTCATTGCAAGCTAGAGGGTCCTGTTGCTTGGGATGTCCTGTACAATTTCGAACAAAGGTGGCTAAGACAAGCTCGGTGGAAGAAACATCTCCTCTTTCCTATACACAAGCTTCAGGAAATGACAGTCCGACCACAAAAACTTGTGCCTTTAGATCACAGTGAAACATGGACTGTCCAGTTGTTTCGATCTATTGATAATGGGGCTGTTGTTGGCTTTCCTGAAGAACCAGGGCAAGCACATGGAGTCGGCCTTGTCAGTGGAAAGAATAACATCATTGAGCGAAGCATTCAAGATGCTTATATCAATGCAATTCGCCGAGCAAAGAATTTTATTTACATAGAAAATCAATATTTCCTAGGAAGCTCCTTTGGGTGGAATTCTAGGGACATCAAAGACGAGGATATTGCGGCTTTACAGCTCATACCAAAGGAGTTATCCCTAAAGATTGCAAGTAAAATTGAAGCAGGGGAGAGGTTTTCTGTCTACATTGTAATTCCAATGTGGCCAGAAGGGGTACCGGATAGTGGTCCTATTCAGGCAATTTTAGATTGGCAAAGGAGGACAATTCAGATGATGTATCACGATGTTGTCCTAGCCCTTCAAAAAAAGGGACTGAATGAACACCCTCGAGACTATTTGGCATTTTTCTGCCTCGGGAACCGGGAGACAAAGAAGAATGAAGAGTATGTGCCTACAGAGCGACCAGATCCTAATTCAGATTATGGCAGAGCTCAACAAACTCGCCGATTTATGATCTATGTTCATGCAAAGATGATGATTGGTATGTAATGAACTTATCATAGTTTTATTTTGGCAAAAGTCTCTTGAAGCTTAATTTTTTCCCCTTTGATATTGATTTTTCACTATTAATTAGCTGAGGTTTTCTTAATCTTCTTTAACATAATTTTCAAAAGTCTAGTAACTTGTTCTTCTCCAGTTGATGATGAGTACATAATCATTGGATCTGCCAACATCAATGAGAGGTCAATGGCTGGTTCAAGAGACTCTGAGATTGCAATGGGAGCATTTCAACCACATCATTTAGCAACTACGCAACCAGCTAGGGGTCAGATATATGGTCTCCGCATGGCTCTTTGGCGAGAGCATCTTGGAGAGCTTTGTGGGCGAGAGCTTCTTGGAGAGCTTCATAACCGATTCGATTTTCCAGAAAGCCGGGAATGTATCGGGCTAGTGAATGATATTGCTGACAAGCACTGGAATTTGTACTCAAGTGATACATTTGACCATGATCTGCCGGGTCACCTACTCCGGTACCCCATTAATATTGGTTATGATGGATCAGTTTCATTCCTTCCAGGGACCCAGGCTTTTCCTGACACCAACGCTCCTGCCCTTGGAGCCAAATCTAACATCCTTCCTCCAATGGTTACCACTTAGTGTCATATCTACCCATTAAAGATAGCAAGTTTGAAAGTGTTTTCCTTGAAAAATAGTTGTAACAATCATCTGTCTTAAATTGCAGACATTTTCTTGATACTGCTTGTATTAGGCTCTTGAATAGCAAGATTTGCAGTCAAACCCAACCAATAAATAAGAAAACTTTAAACCTGAAAAAATTTTAACAATAAAACCTGCAGCAAGCCACATGCTCAGACTAACAAAGGCTTATAGTCAAGATTGAAGCATCAATAGCAGTTTTCCCCTAGGCAAACACAAATGCTAGGCAAAAATAGTTGTGCCATGGATCATTTTCCTTCAGGTATATATGAATTTCTGAAACCTACAATTGGATTTAAATAATGCTATTGACAATTGTATGTCTATGTATGGTTCAAAAATGAAAATCCATTATATAGTGGGACTATCTACTTCTATGAATACATACCAGAAAAATACCATGTTTGGTTCAAGGATACTTAATATTTTCATGATAGGGAGATTGAGGAATGAAAGAAGAGAAAATAAGTAAACAAAATGTGAAACTCCTTTGCTTTTGTACTCAGTTATTTATATTCTTTACCCAATTATTTTTTCACAGTTTCATAAATGCTCTAACAAAGAGCCTTAAATATTTGCACTAATTTCTTAATTTCACGTTTATTTTTTATTAATCTTTCCCTTGTCTGATCTCAAACTGTGCAAACCGAACGGAGTTATAAGATAAAACCATGTATGCAGTCTAATTTCCAGGAAAGAAGCTCTCAAGTTAAATCTTTTAGGAATAGGTGTCGTAGTTTACCGTATGATGTCGATTACTTGATTCCTGTTGCATCATAAATGCACCTATTTTTAATCCTGAAACTTGTATCCAATTCCTTGCCTTTGATTTCATTCTAGAACCATTGAAGCAAAGGATGACTTAACCAGGTTTGATTCCAATTCAAGCAAAGGATGACTTAGCCAGGTTTGGTTCTAATATGTATATTCCTATATTTTACAATCTTTAGTTTACCAAGTTAAGTAGCTGGTCCCAACATAAAAGCTTCATTTCACTCTTATATAGAATTCTGGGACCCATAGCAAAGTTGGCTGCATTGTACAAAGCAAAGGCAGGAACTTATTCTAACTCGACATTCTGTTACGTATAACCCCTCAGCTTCTCATGATTCTTCTTATCAACAAGAATTCTTGAGAACCCTCTTTTTGTACTTGTATAAATCTGATTGATACCATCTTTTTCTCAGAACTCCAATCCGTAAACTCTAAGGGATTCTGCTGTTTTATCATCTTGGTTTGTCCTTGTCAATCTTTTCTTTATAGTCTTTAAGCAAATCCTAAGAGTTTGCAGGTCAACAATGGCGCCCCACTTGCTCCATGGCACACTTAATGTGACCATATATGAGATTGATAGGCTAAAGTACTATGGAGGATTAGGCCTTTGCAGCAAGGTAAATGATAACTTTTATAAGACCTGTGACTTTTAACTATTTTTGGGATTAAATTTTTTCCCTTGGGGACTATAGCAAATGCTTGCTTCCTAATAGTTGGTTGATTTTCCCTTCTGTTGGCAATCAATCTACCTTCAAGTTTAAGAAAAAATATGAATGCTATGTTTTTCTAACAATAAATTTTCAGTGCCAATGCTCTGTTGCTGTATTTCTTTAAGAAAATGTAGGTAGAAGTTTTTCTAAAATACGAAATTATTGTCTATGATGAGAATCTTGTCTGTAAATCCTATGCTCTTTCCTTCTTTTGGACATCATGCTTTAATTAACAGAGAATTCCATGAGGTAGGTTATCAAAAACAATTCTCTTTCCACCAAGAAGAAAAAAGATTAATCATGTTTAACCTCCCTCTGCCGTCTCTGCCTCATCGGTAATCCTTAAATTTAATTCTGCATGCATGTTAATCATGGATAGATTTTTCTCTACTAGTTTTTTTTACTTCCAAGCTATATGCTAGAGAAAACAAATCAACTTTGTCCATAAACTCTATGCACATTCACGCTTTTCTTTCTTGAATTTTGGAGGCCGCTGGACCATTGCAGCTAGGGAAAAGATTCCTAGCCCAACTCAAGAGAGTTGTGCTATGCCAATCAAGGGTACTGATCATACAATCTCAAACCTCTTTTTTTTTTTTTTCACTTGAATTTAGTTTTATGGTAGAACATTATATCGTCCCTAAAGAATTTTATGGTTTTCTCTTAACATCTCCTAAGGTATGATGCAGATTATTGATTCAAAACTGTATGCAACAGTTGATCTAGACAAAGCAAGGGTTGCACGGACCAGAATGATAGAAAAAGAAGGCAAAGGGCCTCAATGGAATGAGAGTTTCCGCATTTATTGTGGACATTTGATCTCAAATATCATATTTACTGTCAAATTTGATAATCCTATTGGGGCAACACTCATTGGGAGAGCTTACATTCCAGTTGAGGATGTCATTAAAGGGGCTATAGTAGACAGATGGGTTAATATCTTGGATGAAAACCATGATCCCATTCATGGAGATTCTAAAATCCATGTTCAGCTGCAGTTCTACGATGTTACCCAGGATAATAATTGGTCTCAAGGGATTAGAAGTCCTGGATTTAAGGGAGTTCCTTACTCTTTCTTCAGTCAACGAGAAGGCTGCAAGGTTACACTATACCAAGATGCTCATGTCCAAGATGATTTTCCATTGCTGTCTTTACCTAGAGGCGGGCTTTATCGACCTCAAAGATGCTGGGAGGACATCTTTGATGCAATCAACAATGCAAAACATCTAATATATATAACTGGGTGGTCAGTATACACCGCAATAACGCTGATTAGGGACCCCAAAAGGCCAAAGCCGGAAGGTAGCCTGACACTAGGAGAATTACTCAAGAAGAAGGCTAACGAAGGTGTGACAGTTCTTATACTTGTCTGGGATGATAGAACTTCTGTTGAGGAACTGAAGAAGGACGGTTTGATGGCAACCCATGATCAAGAAACCGCTGATTACTTCAATGGTACAAAAGTGCATTGTGTTCTCTGCCCGCGTAATCCTGATGATGGAAAAAGCGTTATTCAGGGCTTTGAAATTGCTTCCATGTTTACTCACCATCAAAAAACCGTAGTTGTTGACGGTGAATTGCCCAGCGAAAGGTCAGGCAAGCGGGCAATTGTCAGTTTTGTTGGGGGCATTGATCTCTGCGATGGGAGATATGATTCACAAGATCATCCATTGTTCAAGACTTTAGGCACAATCCATCATGACGATTTCCATCAGCCAAATTTTATAGGCTCTTCGATCAAGAAAGGTGGTCCAAGGGAGCCCTGGCATGATATCCATTGCAAGCTAGAAGGTCCAATTGCATGGGACGTCTTGTACAATTTTGAGCAGAGATGGCAGAAGCAAGTTGGCACCGATATCCTGATTCCACGAAGCAAGCTTGATGAAATCACGATTCAACCATCACCAGTTACATCATCAGCAGACCCTGAAACGTGGAATGTCCAGTTATTCAGATCCATTGATGGTGGGGCTGCTGCTGGCTTTCCTGAAGCACCTGACGATGCGGCCAAATTTGGTCTCGTCAGTGGAAAAGACGCAACCATTGATAGAAGCATCCAAGATGCTTATATCAATGCTATCCGACGGGCGAAGAATTTTATTTATATTGAAAATCAGTATTTCCTTGGAAGCTCATTTGGCTGGAAATCACAAGATATCAAGGTGGAAGACATTGGTGCTTTGCATCTCATACCCAAGGAGCTGTCGCTGAAGATTGCGAGTAAAATTGAAGCTGGGGAAAGGTTCACTGTTTACATTGTTATCCCAATGTGGCCAGAAGGTATACCTGAGAGTGGATCTGTTCAAGCAATTTTAGATTGGCAAAGGAGAACAATGGAGATGATGTATTCTGATGTTACTCAGGTTATTCAAAGAAAGGGACTGAATGCAAACCCAAGGGACTATTTGACATTTTTCTGCCTTGGGAACAAGGAGACAAAAAAGGTTGGAGAATATGTACCTCCAGAGCAACCAGATCCTAATTCTGATTATGGTAGAGCTCAGCAGGCGCGTCGTTTCATGATCTACGTTCACGCGAAGATGATGATAGGTATGTCATGAGTTATGCTACACAGACTACTATTAAACTTCTATTCCATCATAGTTAACACGATGATAATTTGTTGTTTTTTTTTCAGTGGATGATGAATACATTATAATTGGATCCGCCAACATCAACCAGAGATCAATGGATGGTGGTAGAGACTCTGAGATTGCAATGGGAGCATTTCAACCACATCATTTAGCAACTGACCGTCTGCGACCCAACGGTCAAATATACGGTTTCCGCATGGCACTGTGGCAGGAGCACCTTGGACATCTTGATAGCAGTTTTCATTATCCAGAAACGCTACAATGTATTCAGGCAGTCAATTCTATGGCTGAAGAGTCATGGAATATGTATTCAAGCGATGCACTTGAGCAAGATCTGCCCGGTCACCTGCTGCGCTATCCAATTGAAATCAGCAATACTGGAGGTGTCACAACCATGCCAAACATGGGGTTTTTCCCAGACACAAAGGCTCGCGTCCTTGGCACCAAATCTGACTACCTTCCTCCTATTCTAACCACCTAACCGGTGGCGCTGGGCTATCTGTCCTGATATCTAAACTTATCGCAAATAATGATGATCAACAACAGTGTACGTATTGTTTCTGAAAGGCTATCCCTTTCAAAACCTCTCCAAATAAAAATTTAAAACTGTTACTACCCTGTTATTGAATCTGAAACTCATCATTTGTTGCATTTCTTACGCCAAGCATAGAATCTAGAGTCTGGTCACGAAGCTAACGATTGTAAGCCACGTAACAGCTCCTGGTCCGGTCCATGTCCAAAATGTGGACCTCACAACGGTTCTTGAATAAGGTTCATTGACTGATCCAATCTACCGTTTCAGTATTTTTTTTTTCTTTTTTTCTTTCAAAAAATAAAAGCTTTCTGTTTTCTTTTCCCGGAACAATTTACAAATTCGCAAATTTAATAAAACCATAGAACAGATTAATTTAGGAAAAAAAAAAGAATAGAAAAAAACAGCAAACATGAGAGGCCCTTTGGTCGAGTCCGTGACCATAGGAGGCCAAAACCAACCTTTTTCCACGAACAAGATTTACGTTTTTATCACAAAATATCCATATGCATTTTTAAACATGCCGTTTTCAAGGTATTAACTGCATTTCTTTCTTTCCAGAAAACCCCCTTTTTTCTTTTTTCTTTTTTTCAAATTTCTACGAAGACTTCCAGCGAAAAGAGATGGAAGAAAAGGTGTTTACTTTATTATTATTATTGCAGGAATTGTTCTCTGCTCCTTCCTGGAATTAGGGTTTTGCTTTGGGGATTTTAGATGCAACCTTCTGGTTTCCTTCCCCCTTGGATCTCTGCCCTTTTAACCTGCATGGGGTCTGTTCTTCTTCTTGATTTTCTTTTTACTACAAGGAATAAAAGTTTTTCTTTTTACTGTTTATTTGAGTGGAAATTATCATGACATTAATCCTCTGATTCTTAGCTTTCTGGGTTATAATACAGGAGTTTAAAGTTTTGTGTGTGTAGTTTAAGTTTGCTTTTTTAAGTATGGAATCATGGGGTTATGCTTTGTGCTTACTTGTTGTGTAAGCGAGTTATAAGATGAGATGTCCGGAGAGAGGGGGCAAGGGCAGGGAGGACTTTTCGATTTTGGGGCATTCTTTGCTTGAAGTTTTGGGTAGCTGATTGTATGAAACAAGGGTTTTTGTTTTGCTTTTGGGATTTGGGATTCTACAGGAGGTATGGATCCTAGGTGTTGTTTATTAGCTCAGACTGAGAGATGCTTTGGAAGGAAACCTTGTTGTTCATTTGTTTTGTTTTCTGGAGCTTATTTACGTGCTCTTACACTCCGGCTGATGGAAACATTTAAGGCTAAATGCAGAGCTCTTCTCACTGTGAGGGACTAATTTTCCATTTATGTTTTCTTCTTTCATTTTTTTTGGAAATGGATTCGCCCTTAATGCGCTGCCTAGTGCCTAGTCACAATTTTAAGTTGGTTTTACCACTATGAGCTATAATAGAATTTGGATATGGGTGTGCAAAATTTAGTGGTTATATATGTAGCTCATGTCATGTAGACTCAGCAATTTATAAGGGTTTGAGGGCTCATAAATTTTCTGCATTGAAGCTGTAGGAAAATGGACTTGATTGATTTTTTTTTTTGTTGTTTTTAGTTTCTGCACAAATTTTATCCCCTACATGTTGGAGATTAAGCTGGTGCAATTTGCTTCATTCACCTACCCTGCATTAATGTATTATTGTTTTTGTTGATAAAATGATTGCTATGGCACTATGCTTCATATGTAACTCCTCATTGATTATGTTGGACATTACACATTTTGAAGCTTCCATTTTTACAATTATTTTGAGTTTTTTATATCATATGCTTATTTCCATATTATGGTTGCAAAGTTGATGGCTTTTTTTCCAGCTGCTAGATTAAGGATTAAGTTATAGTTGATACTGATTATGCATGTGGTTAATCCCGGATTGTAACAGAGCAGAGGTTTTTGTGGATGCTTCAAGAATTCCTCACCAATTATGCAAGTGCATGATCAAGGCCAGAATGTGAAGAGATCTAGCCCTTCCGAGGATTTCTGGAGCAGCAGTGCGTTCGAAATGGAAGATAGTGGAGTCCAGTCCCAGAGAAGTGTTTCAATGATTGGAATATCAAATCAACCCCTTGATCCTTCTGGCAGCACAAGTCATCCTTCTGAATTTGTAAATCAGGGCAAGTTCAGATATGTTAGCTTCTATATTCTATATGCTACTAGATAAAGCTGAATAGCATCCCATTGTTTCATATATTTTTCATGTGCTGTTGTCAGTTTTTATTACCATTTTACTGAATTTCTTGAAAATGATCGTCCTATCTTTTGGTGATCATATTGCTGAACTAGATTTTCTCAAGATGAAAATTTTGATTGCAGGCCTTCTTCTTTGGATCCAAACAAGGCAACAATGGCTTGGAAATAAAAGGTCTGAGAAGCGGGCGCACCTTCAAAAACCTACAATAAAGTCAGTAAATTAAATTGTTTTTTCTAATTTGACGTACAGAACATTACTTGGGACAAATAGAATGCAAAGTCCTCTAGAATGCCCTCATTAACAAAAATTTTACATGATCTTGTTTTAACATTTCATCCCCTGATTGTATGTGTGTGTATATATATATATATATATATATATATATATTTGGTACATAATACTAGAGTAAGTCCAAGTGGGAAGAGGGGATTTGAAGCCTAGACCTTAAACCTCTTACGGTGAGGATAACAAACATGAAGCCAAGTTTAAGTTGTTTCAACCACTGTTTACATGTGGAAAACAAGCCTTTTCCATCCTGTTTTATATATAAAAAAAAAAAAAACTTATATATTCTGCTGGTGCATATTGTCTCTGTTGTGTATTGCAGTTGGAATGAAGTCTATGAGAGTTTTCTTTGGATTAATAAGCCATTCCCCCAGCCTATTCCTCTTCCTGTAAGTTTGCTCTGCCTAATAGATAGTTTGTTATGTTATTAGAAACTATATATTCTTCTTGTAGAGTTCCTCAATTCTTAGGGTTCACAAAAAATGACAGGAAATGGTGGATTTTCTAGTTGACGTTTGGAAGCAAGAGGATTTGTAATATTGAGGAAGATGATTCAGAAAAGCTAGAAGTACAGAGAAAGATAGGAAATATTTTTCCAGGAATTTGTCGAGATTGTGGATTGTATTATCGTCTTCTCTGTTGGATTTTTCCACTGTATTATTCTTACATTGTGGTTTCTAAGTCCTTTTGGATTGGCAAGAAAAATGCAATATTCTAGTATTCTCTATCAGCTTCTTGGCCCTTTTTTTGGTGGTTTACAATAGACTGCCGTTCGTGATGGACAAAAATCGATGCTTCCTTTTGCTCGTCACTTCTCCTATGAGAACCTCCCAAGGAGATGCCATCCAATGGGCTGTAAATTTTCCGACAAGCATGTCTTTGGGACCTTGTCTGATCAGTAGGCTATTCAAAGTTCAAACATTATGTGGTCAATATGCAATCAATAACCATTTAAAGAAGCCTAGGTCCAGCCCACTATGGCTCAAAACTTGATAAAAGGTGCTTTCTCCTTTGCCACAAAATAGTAGCCCCAATTGTACTATTAATATGCCTTCCCGCACAAACATATATAACTTAGAAAAAAAATGGTGCATCTCAAAGTTTTTATAGAATTTTTGTAAAAAAAAAAACTCGTCTGATTGAAGGGGTCATAAAATTTGATCCAAAATGAGTTGTGGCATAAAAAGAACATGTGATCTAAGCTAGGCCTCATTAGTTTTTCCTCTCTTTTTTTTCTTTTACTAAAGACAAAACATATCATTTGTTAGATCATAATAATTCTAATAAAAGTATAATCCTATATAACTAATATTCACGCATTCTATAGTTTACTTTGTCTTGTTTTTGTGTCACCTTTTGGAAGTCATCAGCCATGGGAAATTTCTTGATAACCAGACAGATAATAATAATTAATAGAAGTTAATGGTAATAGTAAGCTCTCGGAAGAGATCTGAATTCAACTAAGCAAGCAACTTGACTATATGTGTTTCACATTTAATTAATGATGGCCTAAGTAAGCTAAAGAAAAATGGAATTATGTCATGCATATCTTATGTTTCACATAATTTATTGTTTTATTATTATCTCTCCTGAAAGGATGAACATTAGTCGCATAGTAGAAGTAATAATTGAAACTTGGGGCGCTGGTTTTTTCAAAACCGTGTATAAGCCTTGTTTGGTCTGCTTCCGAATGAATCACCATTTGGAAGCATACATCGAATTTGACAAGAAAGATGGCTTCATCCCTCTAACATAGAAAGTGGGCGTAGGGGCCACAACTACACCATTCTTTGTTGATAAGCCCCGCCCTTTGAAACAACCTTTGAAACAAAACAAATTGTAAGATTTCTTTTCTTGACGAGATCATTGAGGCAAGCACCGTTGTCATCAACTTGCCATCATGCAACAGTAAATAATAAAAAAAGGTTTTATGTGATTTTTATTTTTTTAATAATATTAATATTTAAAAAATATTAAAATTAAGAATCAAACGTTTTATCACATTGATGTAATCGACAAATAATACTCCTATATAGGTAGAAGAAATATATACATATGTAGTTGAAGTTGATGGCTTAGTCATTGGGTAAATGGTGTTTTGTATTTAGATGAAGAGTAGTGATTAGGCAAAAGAAATACATAGAGAAAGCAAGTGGGTATAATGAAATAGTCAATTGGAGTAGATATACATGCACTTCCAAATTTGATGAGTTGGGCATGTACATTTGAAATTATATGCACAAACACAGAGATCATAAGAATTAAGAAAGACCGGGGAAGTCTTATTATACTTTAATATTAATTAGCCCTCATGGAAGAAGCAATTTCAAGTCCAAGTGGATGCTTTCAGGAGAAGAAAAAACATGTATATATTAAAGTAAATGCCTTGCATTTTTTAGGGGAAAAAATAAAAAGAACAAACCCCCATTCTTGGTCAAAAAAAGAGCAGAATAATATTTACAGGATTCCCACTTTCATAGGTAATATTAACCCTTTTTAAATTGGAGGATACATTTGAGCGGCATGCATAAGCTTTGAAGAAGACAACTGATCATATGTTGTCAATAAAAATACCAATTATAATTGGATAACCAAAATATTTTGGTTGATGCGTTACCAATACTTGCTTTTATCTGTGGCAATGAATCTTCCCATTTTTTTTTTTCAAATTCCTTTTAACTGAGATTTTTGGAGTCATATCCTATTTGTGAAGTGAGCGTGGGATTTTTTGGGGGGGCAACTGGACAGGATTGGCTGGTTGGGGTGGGGGAAATTATATATGTTTCAAATGGTCCCAGCCATAATAATAGTGTAAAATGTGGTTGGAATTTAAGATTTCAGAAATGTACGTATATCCCAAGGCCAGATTGGCATGATCTGTTTCTTTCCAGAGCCCACATATATTCATCAGGAAAAAAAAATTTGCAAAGTTGATATATATTTCTCAACAGGAATTTTATATCTGTATATATTTGCAAAACAAAGGGTGGTGCTCTTCTCTTGTCTTCTCATTATTTTCTTTGATAATGCTTTCACCGTTTCACGTCTTTCTCTTGGACCTTACTTTTTCGTATTAATTTGATCAAAACTTTCTCAAAAATGAATAAACGTGTAGGTTAGTAAGGGTCCTTACCAAACCTTTTGCATATTTATTTTGATGGTCCACTGAGTTAGTGACACAACACATAACATTTATTAAGAATTTTAACTTTTTCTTTTCATTTTCTTAATTAACAACATACACTCTCTCCGATATATAGAGTAGTTGATTTAATTTCCTGCGATTTTTTAAGGTAAAAATAAAAAATAAAAAGAATATTTACACTTCAAGTCTCCAACTAAGAATATATATATATATATATTTTTTTTTTTTTTCCCACAAACCCTATCTCCTTTTTACAAGAGATAAAAATATTTAAATTCAAATCTTAAATGTAAAGAACTTTAATTGCCCCAACCATGGCTTCAATGCTGTTATTATTTCAAGTAAAAAAAATTTATACAAATAAGACTTTAATCTAAGAATAAAAAAATAGATTGCATGTGTTAAATTTTAAGTTCAAATTTTGTAAGATGTCATATTTTAAAAATAGTTATATAAATTAATTGAATTAAATTTTAAATTCAAAATCTTAATATAATATTCAACAAAATGATTATACATGATCAACAAAATAATGTAATGGTTAATTTCTCTTTCTCTATATATACATTACCTTTGGAAAAGAAAATGATTTGCCTAGGGTTGTATATCAGTAATGACAACATTATTAAGGTTCTTATTTTTTAATGTAATTTGGTGTGATGGTTAAGATAATGGAAGGGAACCGACCCAATTGGATTGTAGTTTTGCATAATTATGGGTGGCATTTGTCATATTACATATATATATATTTTTTTTCCTTTTATTCCTGCGGATTCTTCTCTGGTCATAGCTCATGCGATATGGATATACAACTTGATCCGTCAAAGATTTGTATCAAATTCCAAATTGAAGCTATTACTATATAATTTGTTTAAATCTCTCTCTCTCTCTCTCTCTCTCTATATATATATATATATATATTAATGCAAATGAAGATTGGGAGGTTGGCAAAAGCTGCTTAAAAATGGATCACATACATGCACGTGCATTTCTGGATTTCATGAGTTGGAAACTCCTTAAAAAAATTAACTACTTGGCGTTGGGGGAATGTACCAGGAAGATTACATTCTTAATTGGGAGGTTATATAATAATTTATATAATCATGTGTTAATTACATTATTGAAGCATGTCTACGAACAATCCATGTTTTGCCATGTGCAAGGAATAATAATAATAATAATACATATATGTTTAAAAGCAAAATGGCGGAATTTGTTTTTGGCTCAAGTGGCAATTTGAAGAGAATATATAATTTTGTTTGGGTTTGAATCCGTTGAAAGGTTAAGAAAAAATATTTTTTTATAAATTTATTAAATTTGATTTAGATAAATTTGTATAAACAAATCTAAAAAATATATGTACCAAACAAAATTTAAAAATCCTAATTACCAGTAAACCAAACAAAATGTGAAATTTCAAACACTCTTGTTTTGAACAATTTAATAAAGTAAGAGATAAATTACTTCATGATTGTGAATTGTGGAGTCTAGTTGATCTACATCAATGTGAAATGAAGATGAGGTCTAACAGCCAAAAAGAAATGGTTATGGCTGGTGGCTGGACCCAACCTTGCCTTCAATGGAGGGATGGTTCTTAGCATTGTCCATGAACATAAAAGTCACGTATATAAATATAAATATATGTACCCCACCAAATTACTAGCTCTAATTAAACAACAACTTAATTGGGTAGGACCAAATTAAGAAGCTTTCCCCTCTTATCCCCTAATTTTTGTAGACCTAAGCCTCTCTTCTCATTTCTATCCTTCCTAACCCAACCCCCAATGTAATGTCAACAAAAAATAAATATATTACTAAATTTAGGATTTGACAATAAAAATAAATAAAAATAAAAATAACTTATTCCATCATAGGATTTGACAATATAAACCAAACTTAGCTTAATTTTTTTTCTGCCAGTAACTTAGCTTAATCGAGTATCCAAACACTTGGCGATAACAAAGGAGAAATAATAAAAAAACCAACAAAAGCAAAAGCGGTAAGCAGTAAGCGGTATTGAATGGTGGGGGAGAGAAGAGAGAGAATACATTGCAAAAACCAATAAGGAAACCGCACTTCTTTGCTCAAATACATTGCATGTGGCTTTCTCTCCTGTGTATTGTCACATACCCAAACATCTCTCCTCTCCTAATAAAACCAACCCCTTTTCCTTGCCACCCATCTTTCATATCTCTTTCCCAACAGTTTTTTCCCTATCTGATAGGGTTTCTATGTCCTTCTAGCTCCAATCTCTCTCATGCATCCGTGTCTTCAAGCTACATACGGTGACGTTTCAGCCTTCTTCCTTGTTGGGTCTCTCTTTTTTGCTCTCTTTGGAGGGTTTTCGATCGGGGAACAGCGCAGATTTGACCTCCCGGGGTTTTTTGAGCTGTACTCATGTCAAAGCTCTTTTCTTTTAGTGGTAAATTCTTCATCTTTTATTGTTTTCTAGCTTTGTTTATAATTCTTAAGCTGTTTTTTCTATCTGGGTATCTTTGATGTGCGTTTTTGTTTAACTTGGATTATAGATTGGATATGATAAAGTTATACCCTTTTATATGTGAACAAATTTTAGATTTTTGAGATTAGCTTCGGTGACTTCGGGTACTGATCTTTATTGTTTTATCATATGGAAGGTTTTAATAGCTTTTGATATTTTTTTGGTGTTATGAAAGATTTGTTTTCTAATGATATTTAGTTGATTAGGTAAAGGTGGAATTTTGAGTCTAGGGAAAGAACTTTAGTTGACTTTAGGTGATTCTATTTGTTGGTTTTTGTTACTTTGAAGACCCAAGGCTATGAAGTTGTTCCAGGTATAGATCAGGTGCTCTTAGAACTAATCTAATCGATTTTTGTGTCTCTTATTAGTATTAGGCTTATGGTTGTCCTTACTGTCTAATAAATGGGAGAGTTTGATGTTATAGAGGAGCTTTGGATGTTTCATAGCTGAATCTCTTGGTGGTTTTATGCTTCTTCCAACGTGAAAACTATAGAGGTGTTTTGGTTGTAGATCAGGTCTATTCTGAACGGATCAGTCGGGAACTTGGGATTTAAGGTTCAGATGACTTTCTTTTGGGCTGTAGATTGTTTGTTCTGAAATATATGTTTCTGTGGGACTATATCTGAGATGGATTTATGAGTTAGAGCTTGAAAGCACCTTCTGGTTCATGGATCTTGTGGGTTTGCCTTTTACAGCTTTGGTTTGATTCCTTGGAATCAAAAGTTTGGCCTCCAACAAAATATTCCTAAGTTCCTTCTTATTTTCTTTATGTTTTTTGGACATGATGTTAGTAGCGATGTGGTTTTCGAGAGCTGTACGTGGTCAACAATATCCTGAACAACTTCCATTTAATCAGAAATATGTTTCAAATTCTTTAACTGGATTTTCTTATATTACTTTGGTAGACTCCTCTGTTCTCATCAATGTTTTTTCTATCTTGATTCCCAGGAAGTGATGATTTTTGCCCTGGGGGGTCGATTTACCCAAACCCTAAGGGGTCAAGTCTCTTTTTGTCCCTTGGACGCCATGTGGATGTGTATTTTCCTCCTCACAAGAGGTCGCGCATCAGTGCCCCATTTGTTTTCTCAGGAGAGAGGTTTGAGCAGAAGAACCCATCAATTGAGGTTCTCCCTGATGAATGCTTATTTGAAATCTTCAGACGGTTACCAGGAGGTCGAGAGAGGAGTTCCTGTGCTTGTGTTTCCAAGCGCTGGCTTACACTTGTAAGCAACATCCGCAGAGATGAAATCAGTGAAAATAAGACCACCCAAGCTTTGAATCTCAAGGATGAGAGTACTGATAAGAAGGGTGGAGTTGTTTCCGAGGTTGAAGATCAGGATGTTGAGGATGATGGATACCTCTCTAGGAGTTTGGAAGGGAAGAAAGCCACAGATGTTAGACTTGCTGCTATTGCTGTTGGAACTGCTAGTCGTGGAGGACTGGGCAAGCTTTTCATTCGAGGAAGCAATTCCAGGCGTGGAGTGACTACTGTTGGCCTCAGGGCCATTTCTCGTGGGTGCCGTTCTCTTAGGGTTCTTTCCTTGTGGAATTTGTCTTCTGTTGGAGACGAAGGTCTCTGTGAGATTGCTGATGGGTGTCACCAGCTAGAAAAGCTTGACCTTTGCAATTGTCCTGTAGTTACTGATAAGTCTTTGTTCGCTGTTGCTAAGGGTTGCCCTAATTTGACTGATCTGACCATTGAGGGTTGTGCAAACATTGGAAATGAAGGCCTCCAAGCTGTAGCACGCTGCTGTCCCAATCTAAAGTCTGTTTCAATCAAAGGCTGCCACCTTGTTGGAGATCAAGGAATTGCAAGCCTGCTGTCTTCATCCTCATATTCCCTCACAAAAGTAAAGCTCCAGGCCTTGAACATTACCGATGTCTCTCTTGCTGTTATTGGGCACTATGGCAAGGCAGTGACTGACCTTTCTCTTACTAGCCTTCCAAATGTGAGTGAGAAGGGCTTCTGGGTAATGAGTAATGGTCATGGGCTACAGAAATTGAAGTCTTTTACAGTTACAACCTGCGGTGGAGTGACAGATTTGGGACTAGAAGCTGTTGGAAAAGGTTGCCCAAATTTGAAGCAGCTCTGCCTCCGTAAATGTGCTTTCTTATCTGATAACGGGTTGGTGTCTTTTTCCAAAGCAGCTGGTTCACTAGAGAGCTTGCAACTGGAGGAGTGCCACAGAATCACCCAATTTGGTTTTGTCGGTTCCCTTCTTACTTGTGGTGCAAAGTTGAAGGCTATTTCTCTTGTGAACTGCTTGGGTATTAAGGATCTGAACCTGGGATTGCCTCCTCTATCCTCTTGTGAATCCCTTCGATCACTGTCCATCTGTAACTGCCCTGGTTTTGGTGATGCTAGCTTGGTTGCATTGGGGCAGTTGTGCCCTCAACTGCAGCATGTGGAATTGAGTGGGCTTCATGGAATAACAGATGCTGGGTTTCTCCCTTTGCTTGAGAGTTGTGAGGCTGGTTTGGTGAAGGTTAATCTCAGCGGTTGTGTGAATTTGAGTGACAAAGTTGTTTGTATGATGGCTGATTTGCATGGGTGGACTCTAGAAACACTGAATCTGGATGGTTGTAAGATCAGTGATACTAGTTTGGTTGCAATTGCAGATAACTGTCAGTTGCTCAGTGATCTGGATGTCTCCAAGTGTGCTATCACTGATTCTGGAATTGCAGCTCTGGCTCATTCTAATCTGATCAATCTGCAGATCCTTTCTGTGTCTGGCTGCTCTATGGTCTCGGACAAAAGCTTGCCTTCACTAGGAAAATTGAGTCAGACTCTCTTGGGGTTAAACCTACAGCAATGCAAGGCAATCAGCAGTGGTGCAGTTGACCTGCTTGTGGAGCAGCTATGGAGGTGTGATATCCTTTTCTGAACTAATGGATATAGATTCCTCCATATATTACCTGGTTCGACCAATCAAGAAGCATTAGAATAGCCTTTGTGAGTAGCAGCGGTGTGTAGTTTTTGGGTCCATCAGCTATGGGTCTTCTATATTCCGATGCTCAGTCCCTTTTTCCAGGGAATATGGCCATTCTCTTTTTTTTTTTTTTTCTTTGCAGGTTTCCTTTTATCGGAGATCTGTTACCAGATTTTGAACCCCAAGAATGGGTGTTGGTTTCTTCACGGCCGTGTTTCCCTGAGAATACAGTCACTGAGTTCTGGATTTTAGGGTATCTTTCCAATTTGTTATGGCTTTATGTTTGTTGGGGTGCTGGTGCATGGTGTTTTTGCTTAGCCTTGTTCATTTCTTCTTGGGCTAAGCTTTTGTTATACTGTCCGTCCACTACCCTATTTGAAGTTTGTACGTCGTTGGTTTTACCGAGTCTTTCACGTTTTTGAACTCAAAAGTTCTACACGTGATGGTTGGGTCTTCTGTTTTCTTAAAAGGGGTGGATTGAAAGTCTTGAGTCATTGTAGTTGTGGTTGCTTTCGGCAGTTCGAAGTTTGGTGTCTTGCTTTCATGGGCTTTGGCCATGGCAGCAGTTTATATGGTCTGCCATGACAACTCTTGGAGTTGTTTTTTATTTATTTTACCAAGCCCTAGTTTTGCAGGTTTCATTTGCTCCGAACTGTAGTCTGTAGCCTTTCAACCATGTAATGAATTTTTAAATCTGCCCTTGGAAATCATGTATGTTTTCGTCTCCATCATTAATAAAAAGTGATAAACTTTATCTTGTAGAAATTATGTGAATTACTGATGATTTCTAGTTGACTGATCTGCTTTCCTGGAAATTGAGCTTTTTGTGACTGTGACGTTGACTGTTGACCGTTAAGGCAGGTAGGAATTATGTGAAAGACAAATCACATACTGTTATATTAGTTGGTACAGAAAATAAAGAAGTTTAATATATAAATTAGTTCTTGCACCAGATGGATTAGTATTTAAATTTTGCTTTAGTTTTTTTCTTTTTATTTTGTGAAGTACTTTTGATAGGTAATGAAGTAATTAATATGATATAAATATCTAATAAAATTATATTTTATGTCATAAATGTTCAATTATTGTTACATCAATAAAAAAAAAAACCAAAAATATTATCTTTTTAAAAGTTAAAATAAGGAAAAGATCGGGGACAGTGGGAGGACGTGGGAAAATGGAGAGAGAGGAGAAGGGGAAGAGTGACAATCGTTTTAGGATCGAATCGGAGCTGATTTGTCTCGGACCTGTAGATTGACACCGATCTGGCTCAAACGAGCCAAGTCAGTGCTGATCCGACACTGAGCCGGCTGGTGGCACTGCCCTGCCTTCTTGTTTCTCCTCTTTCTCTTTCTATTTTTCCTTTTCTCTCTTTTTTTTTTTTTTTTTTTAAAATTGAATTAAAAAATAATTTTTAAAAAATTAAATTTTTTATTTAAATTTTGACAGCAAAAAATGTGATGCGATGATAAAATATTTATATTATATGTCATGATTTTATTATTATTTAATATTTCATATGAAATTTTATTAACGGTATTAATTTAAAATATGAAATAAAATTTTAGATTAAAAATAAAAATATTATTTTTATAAATATCAAACTAATAAAAAAATATAAAAATCAATCGTCTATTTAACCCAAAAAAATCAACTGATCGTCGATCCTCAAAAGGGCACATCCTTATTATTGCAGCAACGTCCTTTTTATTAAAAAAAAAAAAATTGTTGCTGTTCTGTCTGGACCGTACCCCTTTATGATTTGTTGACAACAGTTACTTTGCATTCTTTTGAATTTCTCGACTTCCCTAATCTGTATGAAAACTGATGTAGCACTTAGTTTTCACTTAAATTATACAAAATATTTTGAATTCTGTCCAACGTATTCACTACTTGGCCTGGTCCTTAACCTTAAATTTTAGGAAACAGTAAAAACCAAGCCTATTACGGGTGGTCAAAAACACCAAAGGCAACGAATTGTTTCTTGAAACAGAAACCAAGCAGATATTGTAACTACAAGGAATCATAGGATAAAATTTCATGCTCCCTACAGCATGTTAAAAAATAATAAAGTTCGACAAAAAAAAAAAAACTCAATCTTTATTGATGATTATGGATCACAAAGCTGCATTAGACGAGAAAAAAAATCTAGAGTTGTTGGAATCAGCATCCAATAAAGTGGAAACATAATCTCTCTTTGTCAACTATGTTTCACCATCCCAATTGACTTTAGATTCCAATTACCTTCTTTAAATAATAAATTATATGGTTGCATTAGCTCCAAAGATGTCATCGAAAGTATCATATCTCCAACTATTATTGTGAACAATATCTGATTTGTCAAATCTTGTCGAAGAGAATAAGGGGCTTGCTCCTTCAACTGGGCCTGAAATTGGGCTTACAAATAGATAGTTGGACCCAGACTTGGGGGAGAGAGACAGATAACAAAGTCCGACATAATTGACTTCGAGACCAGAACCACAACCAGACCAGACCTACTGTTTCATTTCGTCAGTTTCATGGTCTATTTTAGCATCTGGCAAGGACACGTTAGACCAGTCACCATGAAGCATTGGAGCTCCCTCAATCCGGAGAAGCAAATAAAAGAGACAGTAAAAATAATAGTGGAGTATTACTTCATCTAGAAAACAGTAGTATGGCTTCATACAATAATGGGTTTATTAACCTGTATAGTATACTACACCCTGCATTAACTTTTTGATAGATCTAATGATATTTTCTCTTCACTAAGGAAATAACCACAATCACATCGAAATACCCAAAGCTTTGTTTCTTCACTTTCTCTTGCTATTTGGCTATGGCTGTTAAGCCTCTGATCAATCCTTTACTCATACTTTAATTTCAGGATCGACACTAAAAAATGTAAATTTGATTAGGTAATCATCTAATTAAACTTTTCATAAGGTGGTGTCACTTCCAGTTACAGTAAGTCTGTAACATATTGCTGTTGATAGGACTCAACCTCTCAACAGATCACTGATGCATCACTGCACTGACCGACAGTTTTCTAACTTCATTCTGACAATTGGGAGGTTTGGTTTGCTTGGATAAATCAGTGACTCTTTTGAGTAAGATAACTCTTTTTCCTTGCTTTCAGTAATGCTGTAGGCCTTGCAGGTTACGCTCACGTTTGTTTCCATTGATTTCAGCAAAAGTAAAAAAGAAAAGAAAAGGCATCCTAGAGGTTTATTTTCACAAATAATGTTACTTTCGAGAACTTGGGTTCAGGATTTAGCTCCCTTCTCTCATTCTTAAATGTGCCCGCATGGTACAATAAACCTTGCTATAGTATTCAAGACTTCAAGTAGATCAAAAAGCACAGATTTGCATATAATTAAGCAATGTTTTATTTTGTTTAAGTTTGCAGGAGGCTTAGAATGTAGAGTCCTATATGCAAAACGATTTTCAAATATCAAATCTCCACTCCAAAAAGATCTTGTAAATAAAACAATAATTACTTGCAGCAGAACTGAAGCAAGAAAACTGTAGTACTGTCCCAATTCGGTCCTTCATTTTCCGAAGGAGGACTGAATTTCCTGTTTGATTTTCACTTTCCTATTGCAAAACTTTTCTCTGGCCATGCTTGATAAAGTCATTCAAAAATATGGATCTTGTACAGTGAATAGCTTTAATTAACAAGCCCGAAGTACCCCAGAGAAATATTGTCTGGCTGCAACAAACTATCAAACTTATATCCATGTTTCCATTTCACCATTCCCAATTGTTCAAGCATCCAGTTATCTCAAATCAAATCTCTGTCTTCCTTGATTATTGGTTCCCCTCTTCTCTCCGTACGTTATATTCTCAGCTTTCAAGAAATTGCAGAAGAAACTGGTCAAGCTTTAATGGCAGCTCCATCATCTTACAATAACAATAAGCTTAATATTGCTGCAATTCTCATCTCTTTCATTGTGTTCCTTCCTTCAAAACCAGGTGATACAATTCAAACCAACTTCATTTGCAGAGTATGTCATGGCAATTTTAATCTCATCAAGGGCATATATATTTAAGATTTTATCTACTAGTTGAAATTGATTAATTAGTCATTGGCATCGGAAGCCGCCTTAGGGCTTCTTCAATGCTTCAGCCATTAAGTTTTCAATTACAAGAAGTTAGAAGCTATAAATAATGAGATATGATAATATTTCGTTTTATTCTACTCCTTCAATTCCTTACCCTGCATATGCTGCTTAACTTGGCAGTTGGGTTGGGGTTTCCTAGCTACAAAACCGGCAGTGTGAGTGAAAGTGAGGAGCTGCAGGTGGGTTCAAGGCCTCCAGTGTGTCTAAACAAGTGCTCGAGTTGCAGGCCATGCCTGGCTACTCTTGTTATTCAGCCTCCTGAACGAAAGAGATACAGAAAATCACGCCAAGATGATGAAGGTGATATCTACTATCTCCTCTCCTGGAAATGCAAATGTGGGAATAAGCTCTATGGTCCCTGATGTCAATTTCTAGCCACTTTTTTTATGACATCATTAATTTCAGAAAAATTACAGTATATTTAGCAGTTTCTAATTAATATTATGCCTTCTAAATCTCAGGCTTTATATATGTGTTTGTTTTTGTATTTGTAAGTTGGCTTTGTCTTTGTGATGTGCTTTTACACTCACCTGCATGGGATTAATTGGATAAGTAGCATAAAATTTAATCCACGGCTATGGTTGTGGCTAAGCTTCCCTAGCAGTTTTCTGTTTGCTCTCAAGAGATGATTTATCTGTTATAGTTTGAAGGCTCTGAAAAGTACTTCTGAATGGCCTTTCATATAAGTTTTGCGAACTGCTGAGGCATGTTAAGTTGATATATCACACATCAAAGTGGAAGAAGTTCTTTCTTCTCATAATTATTAATTCCATGCCAAGTTACTACCACTCATTTTCCTTTCTTTCATCAAAATAATGTATCGTATGACATAGGAAAACATCAAATTAAGTGCAGCACATGGTTTTGACTATTGAAAGCTTTTAATATAATCATGGTAGATTACTGAAGAAGGCAGGCAGGCAGGCAGGCAGGCAGGACAAATAGGAAAAAAGAAAAGTTGATGGTCAAGATTAATACTTAATAAGGACTGACAATTAAGTTTTAACTTTTAAGTACAATAGCGGTTGTCCCCATCAATTAATTCTAAGCTTTTTAATCTAGCATTTGACTGTTAACCAATGAAATATTTTACAGAAATGGAACTGAAAAATCATTCTTTCTCACCAGGTTAATTAATTAATATTATTAGAGAAAATGGGAAATCTTCATATATAATATTCTTGCTTGATATGGATATATACATATATATATATATGTGGAGATACATAGAATTTATGATCTGCAGTCATCAGTAATAGATTTTATGATCTGCACTTATCAGTAAATATGGGATATTCTGAAAGATGAGCTCTAGAATATAGATTTGATTCATCTTTTTATGGATTAGGACAGGAAAAAACTCAGAACTTAAAACATCCTCAAGACGTGCCTAGCAACCTAGGTTAAAACAACCAAAAAAAAAATTTTTGATCTTTACTACTTTATTTAAATAAATTCTTTTTTTGTTATTACACTCAAATAAACTCAACCATTGAAACTCTATCTCTACTTCTGTTGCTCCATATCTAATGAGACCGATATAATTAAAATATTGCACAATCAATCCCTTAGCTGATGCTGAAGTTGGTTTGGGGTAAGAAAATGGGTTCTTATTATTACCCGGCATCATCATTTCAGATTGTCTTCAGTATACTACTCTTCTTTAGTCGTTTGAATTTCGCAATCTCTGCTATGCTAACCTGTCTGAACATGACGGAGATCCTGTAGTTTTCATATTGGACATCTGCTGATCTGCAAATAACTGTTCGGCCCCAAAAGCTTGGCCGATTTGGGCTTGGCTCATTTTAACATACAACTGGATTGCTAGACTTTTAAACTTAATTTTCATTCAAAAGAAAACACATGTATACTACAATTAGTGGTTAAACTGAGTGGTGGTTGCTGGGACAGTGATTCAAATCTCGAGATTTGATTGAGATATTTTTAAAAAATTAATTAGATATTATTTGAAAGATAAAATGATTTATAAGAAAAAAACTTTTTCAAAAGGTAAGAGGCTTATAAACAATAAAAGTGTCTATAAAATTAAACACGAGAAATATAAAAAAGTTATAAAATTTTATAAGATAAATATATGTAAGATTTAAAAAAATTGAGATGATTTATATAAATATGAAAGGATCCATAAATTTTGATTTACTTGAAATTAGTTATTGATGATTTGATTTACTTGTAATTTTTATAATTAATGAATTTTTTTATTCATAAATATAAATTAATTATATTAAAATATATTAAATTATTATTTTTTGTGTAATCTATTGATTTGATTACACTTACACGTACTTGGATGATTAATTGATTAAAAAATTTTTTACTTGACAATTGAAATCAAAGGAATCGGGATTTTCTAAGAGTGGTGACACCGTGGAGTTGACTGCGCATATTCTTATCAATAGAGAAGTCAAATTCCACTCCAATATAAAGCACAAAACCAACAAAGATGGGTCCCAAAGATGAGGGATTGGTGGTAGCTGTTTCTTCATTTTAATAGATTGTGGTTGATTTTGTGGTATGATTTGGGCAATGAAAGCAGAAGGAAATAACTTTACTAAGCTGCTAAAGCCCTTCAATTTTGGTAATGAACCCAACAATGCTACTGCACTCCCCAGAGTCTGTCCTCAACCTGTAAGAATTGAATGCTCTGCAGCCGACATGAAAATGTAAACCAAATGGGTATAGGAATAAAAGGGTACTCTCCGGGTAATTTATCTCAAACTTGAATCGTAATTTCTACAAAATTTTACAGTTTGAGCGGTCCTTCTTGTATGTGACAGGTTTTTATGGTAAAAACAAGGAGCAGATGTGAGAAAAAGTTAGGAGTCAATTCAGGTGGCAGGTTCCATATGACAAAAATAGGGCGTCAATGGACGACGCTTGGCATATAAATCACGTGTCAAAATCCAACGGTTTATACTCTTCTACGCCTCTTCTTTCGTTTAACGAGTTAGACCAGAGGCTCAGACCTTTTTCTTTTTCTTTTTTGGTTTTGGCTGTTGTCTTTTTCTACCGTTCAATTTTGCCAGGAAAGTGTCTATATGAGACTGAGACCAAGCATATTTACGTATTTCATATTAAGTATTGTTTTCCTGTCTGTCTCCCTTAAAAACATCTTAAATTTTTTTTCTTTTACTGTATTCCTTTACCTTTAGTTTCATTCTCTGAAACCCTTTCCTAGAGAACATATAAACAGCTTGAGTTTTAATCGAACAAGAGAAAAAAAAAAAAAAAAGCTGCAAAAATGTTTCTACGAAGCTCATCAACTCCAATCCTGAAAACGACCATTAATCAGAGCTCGGCTGGGGCTGACGCCGCTCATAGGATTCCATCAAAACCGATTTCCTTGACAGCCTCACCGATCAACAAAATCCAAAGAACATGGTCAGATGGCAACATGAGGGACACTGTTATTCCCAAAAAACAAAAGCTACCTGTCAGTCTGATGGCTTCTCCATATTCGGTTAAAGAAGAAGAAACTGATACCAGATTAACAAGCCTTTCTCTTGCTGGTGGCGGTTACAATAGTGGCGGTGTTGGTGGCAGGGGTGGAGCAGAAAGTTTTGGAGATTGGGGTGAAGGGAAACAAAAAATGGATGAGTATTACCAGAATATGATCAAAACTTACCCTGGAGAGTCTCTTCTTCTTGCAAACTACGCTAAATTCTTGAAAGAGGTGAGACAAAAAGGGACAAGTCTTTTTTGTTGGTTTTTGAATGCTTCCTTTCGTTTTTGCAAGTAATTTATTTCGTTTGATTCATTAGATACGGGGTGATCTTCTGAAAGCTGAGGAGTATTGCGAGAGAGCTGCTTTGATGAAACCAGATGATGGGGAAATTTTATCAATGTATGGAGATTTGATATGGAATAACCATAGAGATGGAGCTCGTGCTCAATCTTATTTTGATCGAGCTGTTCTGGCTTCTCCTGGTGATTGGTATGACTTTTTCATCCCTTTTAATTTGCCAACAACCACCCAATTTTTCCTCTTTTTCATCGACGTTCCTTGGAATTGTTAACGCAGCCATGTCCTTGCATCCTATGCTCGATATCTGTGGACTGCTGAAAATGATCAAGAGGAAGAACAAGAAGAGAAGAGGAAAGATGAGAAGAAGAATGAACATCAAATCAATGGTACTAAAACATACGCACCACAACGACATGGCCGAATTTCCCAGGGACGCCCTCATTTAGCTGCTGCTTATTAACCTTGCTGAATTGTGGCTTTTTTTCACGTCTTCGTATTCACCCATTATGAAAAAACTAGTGCGTTTTGTACATATGCTATTTGTTCAAAGAAATTTCAGAAGTGAAATATTCTTTGAACTAATTTTTCCTTTTTTAATATGTGCGGAGAACCTGGCGTCCATCACAATCAACAGCGGTTGATCCAGGGATTCTCAATACCAGGAACTGAACCTAAGAAGTGTGCTCAAACCACACTGAACCATGTCCTGAAAGGCACTTTGACTGAATTTTGTACTCTGTACAGCATTGAAATTCTTTCTTATTATATATAATAAACTATGACGCAATACTCTAACCCCCGTTGATATACCGACAGTGTATGAGAAATGAGAGAATTAATTATACATATACCTCTTTCAATGTCAAGTGTATGTACAATTCTTTTCGCTAAAATGTGTGCCCAAGAATAAGCTATGACGAGCTCAGAATGATCATATGGTTTGTTTGAAGCGAGATATCTAGTTCACTTGAAATGTTTAAAATGTTGGATTCCAAATCCAATTCTATAATTCACTAAACTGGCTGAAAAGAGCATTTCAGGTTCAAGTTAATTTTCAATCGCTTCGGCCTCTTAAGTTCCCTAAAATGAGGCAGAAATAATCCGATCTAATCCGCCTGTTTGCCACCTGAATTCTTTTCCCATTCATTATAACTGAAAGGGGGCCAAACTTTATTGTATAATCTGGTATAGCAGCCTCCATCAAAACACTATCGCTGCCCGAAGAAATTATTGAAAGAAAATAAGTAGGCCTATGACCATTCCAAATTTTCAATCATGTTACACATAAACGGTCGCTCCGAGTATCACATGAAAGTCACTAGCAGCGTGTTGACTGATGCTTATACTGCAGATCTAATCTCTGTAAAACAACCTAGGCGCTTAATTCACATAATAAACAGATTGTTTACACAACGTTAGAAGGCTCAGAACTTTAAAGAGGACTTAATTCACAATACTAAGGTGCTCCAGCAGGTTTGGACAAGCCCTATTCGATAATGGATTATCTAACAGCCACAGCAGACAAACTTCAAAATTTTCCAAATATATTCAATAAGCCATCCTTGAACAACATAAATTAGGACAACTTGGTAAAAGATTGACATGCAGTGCTGCAAACAGGAATGCAGAATCCTAACAACAAGCCCAGCAACCTTTGCAAGCAACACACGAAACAACCAAAGCTGCTGAATATTGGGGAAGACAACATCATAACCCGTAATGTAGAATTTTTCATGCCTTGATCATCAAATAATTCAGTCTTAGACGTCCTTATTTAGGCAAATGAGGTCAAGAGCTTTGTATATGAACATTCACTTAAAACAATTGCCATGCTTAATGCCCCAGGGCAAAGGGCTCTTGTACCAAGTTCAGCTGTCCTTGCTCTCCAACCACTGGCCCTCGATCCAAGTCGGATTGACTTTCACCTGAATCAGCTGTAGAAACTCCCTCCTGCTGTTGGATTGGAGATAATTCCTCATTTGTCACATCAGATAAGGTGGTATTCTCCTTATTTGTTGCTCTAGATGAGGCTATTTTTCCCTCAGTAGTTGCTTTAGATGCAGTTATCCTTTCCTGATTGGATGCCTTAGATGTCTTTTCCTCATTTGTTGCAATGGACAAACTAGTCTTCTGAGAAGGCAGTTTGGGAAGTGATTTCCGCTGTGGCTTCTTTGCATGGACAAGAGACATTACTTTGGCAGAGCTACTCTGCGATGCTTTCTCATCCAGACTTAGCCGGCCTGATTGGTGGCCACTATTGCTGTTACCATCAGAGTCCAAAGGAGTTGAGCTTTTTCTTCGACCAAGCTTTGGAGATTTAGCTCTTGTTGTTGGTATCTGCATCCAGGCAATAGAAAAAGATCAATGTTGCAAATACTGAGAAATTCAATAGCAGCTAGAGAAATAGAAAAAGAGAAATAAAGAATTACTATGGTTAAAAACATGTGTATTGTTTAAAATAGATTTGTACATGCACAAAATATATTATAAAATTATTAAATGACGCATGTGTTCACACACTCAAGAAAGGAAAAATAAAGTAGTCTGTGAGCGTGAGGTAAGGAATGGGCCAAGGCCCAAGGCAACTTAGAGCAGTTCAATTCAAAGTTATCCATTCAAGAGGTTTAACCAAAGCAGATAAATTTTGGTCCAAAAAAATGTCACCTTTGCTGTCACTTAAAGTGAAGTTGGGACTTCAAACCAAAATAATGTATCAACAACTGAAAACATCATGCCAAAACTAGGATATTTTTAGATAATAAAAGTTTCTCTACAATGTTTAACATCAAGTAGCTTTGATAGTACTCGGCACTGATTAATAGTCAGGGCGACTAGTACAATGTAGCTCCAAGGAAAGATGAGGCAGCTGACATGACTTAATCCGACAGGGATTGACCAATTACAGCATAGTACCAAATACCCAATGGAAAATATTGTGACAAGAGTCTAAGATCGCATCTTGTAACATAATACATTGAGTTTGAAAGACAATAAAAAAATTTATCCCTTCAAGTTCAATCTCACGTATGCAATATATCAATTTTATGCTCTCAGGTTCATTCAGAAAGGCTTTCACTAATTATGACAACATCTATTTAATGGCTAAGCAGTTGAAGTTGTAATAAGTTAAATGTATCAGCCCCCAATAACAACAACACTTAACAGCATTTTGAAGAAAAGAAATGGCTCTTGTAGGATGATGAACAGAAACATGTGCAAATGCCTGAATAACAAATGCGTACAAGTGAAAAAGGTGGCAAATTTCTATAATCAAAGGACCATTTAGCTTTTTATACATCCAAACATTCAACTAACCTTCTTTAATTCCACCTTAGGAGGTGGAGGTTCCTGATAGAAGCTTGGCATTGGAGTTGCTTTAAAATTCAAACTCTTCCTGAACATCTTAATCTCAACTTCTTGAGTTTCCTGGCAAAAAATTGAATATCATTATGATAAGAAAGAAACAATTCTGGACCATAAGCCATCACATTCACAAAAAAACACCTTGGACTTGGCTTGCAAGTTGCTCTTTTCTACTTCCCTTGCCTGAATCTTTTCCTCAAGTTTAGTGTAGAACTACACAACAAAATGCGGAAGACTTAAAAGTTAAATAAAAGTGCTGCAAGAAGAGACACTATAAAATCTCGAGAATATAATCTAAAGCACCAACCTCTTTCCTTTTCTCAGCCCGTACGTCACACTTAAAACTAAAACCATAATTTGGAAGAGTACCAATCCTATGAGGCTTGGCATCAGCTACCGTGGGGCTTCTAGGATGCAATTAAGGATAAACAAAAATGTCAGTTAAAAAACAGAAACCCATAGACAAGAGTGTGAAGGAAACTCAAATAGCAATCCATTTTGACCCATAGTCCCAGACAGAAAGTAATAACAAAAAGTTCAAACTGAAAAGGATACAAGGACTCTGTGTCTCCTTCAGCTTTATTTAGAGGCCCTTTCTTCAAAGGCTTCAGCTTGGGTTTCTCCCTGTAATACAATAGAACATTTGAGAAATGGCAGGAGAAAAAACCTGCCATCATCTAGCACATAAAGTCTAATTTCAGGGGAAAATAAGTAGGTTAAAGGTGGCCACTAATAGCTTCCACTCTTGGTTAATCAATAAAAAGGGCAGAAAGCTGCATTAAAAAAAAAAAAAAAAGAACGAGAAAAGAAATAAAAACATAAGCATAACAAGTCCGTACGTATTGCCTTCAGAGAGGGCTGCATCAGGTTTTTCAGAATGCTGTCAGAAGCGGAGAGGGAGGAAAAGCAATAATCAGAAGGACAGGAACAGTGATTAAAAAGAAAAACGAAAAAAATGCGCAGAAAAATAAGTCAGTAGTAGATCAACTCTAACCTTGGACACATTGGCCTGTCTTCCATTAAATGGGCTACTTTTAAGAGGCTGTTTCAGACGTGAATTTGTAGCAACAGAACCACCATTCGAAGCTGTCAATGCCACCTCAGCACTTTTTCCATCTTTACTTTTCTTCACTAAAGCCGAAGAAACATTTTTGGGACCAGAGGGCTTCTCATTCTTGGTCTTGCCTTGAACCTTCTGAGGTTTGGATTGCTTCACATTATCTTTTACTTCCTCTTCCTATGAAGACAGACACACTCGTGACTATGAAATCAGACTAATGGCAATTAATGCACTCAAACAGAATGTTAAACCTACTACCTTAGAATCAATCAATCCATTGCTTTCCACAGAATCATTCGACTGTTCTCTAGCTTTCCCGGTTGTTTCATTGTCATCCATTCCATTCTGCAAATAAGTCTCGACGGTTTCTTCAACATTTCCATTCACATTATCTGAGACACTGTCATCCCCAGACATCCGAAGTTGTGGATAAACACCATTTTGATGGGCAACCTCAAGCCCACCCTCAGACAATAGATTATCCGAATCCATCACACACTATAACAGTAATAAAACAAACAAAGAATGTAAGCCTAATTACAAACAAACAAAGGAAAAGGGATTAAAACATTAATGTAAGCCTAATTACAAACAAACAAAGGAAAAGGAATTAAATCTTTCACCAATTAAAATTACCAAACCCTAACAGCAATCGCAAATTATATAATATTTACTAATCTTCATTGGTCTACTTCTATCCACGTTCATCTCTTACAACTTCAAAGGATAAATAAGAGATCAAATTTGGATTTCCAAATATATCTATCGCGTTTATAATATTCTTTGTGGATATAAAATTTGAGAAAAAAATTAGCAGAAAACACTAAATTAGATCTTATATTTGCAGATAAACAGTAAACAAAAATCGAATTCAAAACATCTGAACTTTCTTTTAAAATTTAAAAAAGCGGAACCCAATCAGTGAAAAACCGAGTAAAAATAGATGCTTCAAGCAGAGTAAAGCTCCAATGAGTACAGAGATCTTCAACGCCACCAAACAACTAACACATTTCGCTTCACATTGATATACTCTTACCCAAAAAAAAAAAGAAATTTTACGTCTTTCTCAGGAACCAAACAAACAAGAAGTTACAAAAAAAAAAAAAAAAGAGGAATTTTTACTAATTTTCTTTCTTACCTCGTAAAGCGTGCGATAAATCAAAACTCCATGAAGTCGAGAAGAAGATTAATGTGATAAATTAGTGAAAAAAATCGAAAGGATCTGATGAAAGGAAGTTAGTAAGATAGACAGTGAAGATTAGAGGATCTAGGGCATAAACAGGAAGATCTTTAAAAAAATAAAATAAAATAATTGGTTTTGAAATTTTTGTTTTTCTTTTTTAATTTTTGGGTTTTGTTTTTTCGTTTGGAAGTTGTATGGCTTTATTCTATTTTTTCGAAGGTTGAAAGGTCTTTTATACGAGCGGCTTTCAAATCCATTTCCAGGTAGGGATAATGATGGATGTCCCAAAAACCCCCAAAATACGGTTACGAAAATACGAACAAAAATACGGTTTATTTCTTCTCTTTTTACCGCAATTTCAGAGAATTACGGACGGTTAAGTAACTCATACTACCCTCCCACTCTCCCACTACTAAAAATTTTTAAGCAGTGAAATTTAAAAAATATATATTGGTTTGTAAATGACTAGCTGGATTTTTTAAAATTTGAAATTGGGTCAACGGATTAAGGACGAGGCTTTAACATAAATTCGAATTTTGTAATTGTATCCTGAAAAACATTAAATGCCTTCATGGTTGGAAGGGCAAGCGGCTGGTTTGCGTCATGGTGAGCTACGGTAAATTCATGTTGACTGAAGCATGACGATGCCAATGCCCAAGCAAAACGTAGTAATAAATCGGAAGCCGGCGGGACTTTTCTTTTTATACATCAAAATTTTATTCATAAAATACTTTTATAAAAATTGAATCTTGATTAAAAAAAAAAAGAAAATTTTGGATTAACCTTTGTGGCTTAAAACCAATATCTTAATTTGCTATTGAAAATTAAAAAACAAGTTAAATATCACAATTTTTTTGTGCAAATGAAATATAATTGAAATTTTATTTATTTATTTTTAACGAAAACAAGTCATGCATTGATTTCAAAAAGGATATCTTTAGTATGAATCATTCTTTTCCTAACTTAATAATAAAGGGCCATTATAAGTATTTATTAAATTCTAACTGTTTAGGACTTTAGGGTGACAATAAAGCAGCATGTGCAACGAGATTGCTTTGGTTTAGTTTGAATTAAATCTAGATTAATTTAAGCTTGCGTTAGATTTAAATAAAATTAATAATCATAAATCGAGATTAGTTAGTTCAATCTATTTGAGTGTCAAATTAAAACGAATCGCATCTAAATCTTACTATCAATTTTATATATGGAGGAGGAGGAGGGGGCAAATCAGGCGACAAACCGACCAATCAGGCTTAATTGTTGGGTATAATATTTTTAAAATTTTTAAACTTTGATATAAATAAATTTATTTGAAATATTGATCCCGAAAATGAATATACTTTACATAATCCAATGATCCTTTATTGCTTAAAAAACCTTATTTGGTGCATAGATTATATATAAAATAATAAAATAATTATTTTATATTTTATTTAATTTGTATTTAATTGAAAGGAGTAGGATTACAATAAAGATTAACATTTTCTTAATATAGGATGATTCAATCATCTTAAAGTGAAGAGGATTATTTTTAATTTATCATATTAAACTTATATATTTTATTATATCTTTAAAAATTATATTAATAATTTAATTTAAATTATATAAAACATTGAATAATGATAATTTTAATCAATAAATAAATTATATTATTTTAATTCTTATACACATCAAATATAAAATAAAATGATATTATTTAAAATAATCGTATTCATAATATCATCTTATCATATTTTGTCATAATTGTGTACCAATCATAACCTTAATGAATTATATTAATTAAAAATAAAACCAATCGCAGTCAATTAAACGAAAGGAATTGCTTTGCTTAATAAAGTGAATCATCTAAATGATAAGGAAGGAAAAGAAAAGCTTTTAAGCCAAGTTGGGCGCAGCCACACAAAATAAGATTTCTGGTTATGTTTGGTTTTTGTCAAACTTGTGCATAGAATTAAATAATTAATTTTATCAAGTCTCACTTGAAGATGATGTCATCATGGTAATATTTCTAAAAATTTTACTACTATTGATGATAAATTTCAATAGCCATCGACAGCCACCAAGTTGGCTAGAGATTTATCATAGACTCCGATCTCGGTAGAAAGGTTAGGTAAAAAAATGCTACTAGTAATAAAAACACAAGGTAAAAATTTATAGAATGAATGCGTTAATTATGATATGATTCTTAAATAAAAATATGGTATGAAATATATTGTTAATAATGAAAAATGAACTTCTTTTTTTATAAGCTGGCTAATCTTGTGGATTAACTCGAATAAATTTACTTATTACAGGTCTTCCAAAAATATTTTCTAAAGTTATCATATTAAGTAGGTTACAAATTTGGACTTGTCCAATTAATTACAAACCATTGCAATTTATATAAAATATTATTATAAATAGTACTTTAATTAATTTTAAAGAGTATTTAAAAGTATTCATTTTTAATAAGCTTTTAGCTTAGTGACAAGGAAAAGATTATAAAATTTTAAGATTTTATATTCAAGTCTTACGATATGAATTTGGTTGTTTAATTGAATTATAATTTTTTTATTGATTATTTATTATTGTAATAGTTAATTATTCAATTTATTATATGAATATAATATTTGATTATAAGTATAATTTAAAATCATTATTAATAAAAATTTATTATTCATCATTAATAAAATACAAAAATATTAAAAAAAAAACTACCACATGCTTTTGGGGTAATTTTTAAGACATTGAAGCACTAAATTTAAAAGAAAAAGGAGAAAAAACAAAAAAATCCCAAAGTTCAAAGGGGTTGGATGACCTATATGGCTCGTGCAAATGGGGGAGAAGCACGTGAGTAAGGCAGAAGGTGAACGAGTACATAAGGAGGCATAAGTGCAAGAGCATTGAGAGCTTATAAATGTGCATGTTCCCCTGCCCTTCCTCACTGGGTACATTCCTTAGCATTTCCACGTGTGAACCGGGCCCCTTTTCCTTTTGGAACCTCACTTCTCTGCTCGATCACTTTTTCTCCTAACCTGATCTCGTTTTGGAAATAGATGGATGACTCTTGGACTTACAAATAAGGGTTTTTTTTTTTTTTTAAATAAGAAATAATCCCACGATATGTCTTCTGAGTTAAATGTGTGAGACATTGAATAGCTCTTGGGTTTTTCATGCTGCTCTCATCCAGTTGCTTGGCTAACGTAACCATTGCCCACTGATAGTTGGAAAATGTTTCATGTTTTTGCATTTTGATGAACTTAATGGGGAAAAGATAAAAAACCCTATCCATCCATGAAATATAAATACAAGGGCCATCTTTTTTAAGTGATAAGGTATCTGTCATTAGCTAGAAATGAAAGGCATAAAAGTGAGAATTTATATTCCCAAGTCATTCTCATTATCATCAAGAAAAAGCTTGTGCAGGCGGCTAATAAGGTTGTTAAAAAGATGTATGTGTATGGAAATAATAATAATAATTATTAGTAGGAGTAAATAAGTTTAAGCAAGTAGGAAAGGAAAATGATTGAAGGATACAGGAAGGGATAGAGTTTTCCATAAGAATCGTCTCTCTCAAGAGTGAAGAGGGAGTTGAGAATTTGCGGCCCCAGGCCACCCCTTGATGCGGTAATGTCTGCCCCAACTTTCTCTTTCTGGATTAACTTTTTCCATTCTTTTTATACAAGTATATAAACCCCACCAAGTATAAATGCCAACCACACGTTTTGGAGTGGGGAATAGAAAAATAGAAGTAAAGAAAATGAAACGAAAATGTCATTGTTATAAAAGTTATAAATATATAAATATTTATATATATATATATGTATTTATTAATTTTTAAGATAGACATTCGATTTAAAATTAAGAGTAGTTTTTGTTGTGTTTATGTATTTAAATTACCTTAAATCTAAATATGTGAGATATCTTTTATCTTTACTTTAATTTTTTTTTTTTTATATGTAGGATCATAAGACTTATTATGTGACATGAACTTTACGTGTAAAGATAACGGTTCATCATGAAGGGACTAACGAATGAGATAGAGTCTGCATTAATACTATATTAAATTTTAAGATGGGTGTCTAATTCAAAACCAATTAACAATAGATAAAGTGACCCTTGTTATATTTATGTTTAAATTATCTTAAATTTAACATTTATGAGATTTATTTTATATCCACTTTACATACATATTAATTTATTTTTAAAAAATTACTTCATGATTTATAATTGAAATAATCTCAATAAGATAATATATTTAATTGTTAATTATTTGAAATAAAAATAATTACTAATAATTTTTCATTTTTAAGGTTAAAATAACAAAAAAATTCTTGAACTTTATCAATTTATTTATATAAACTTTTAAATTTTATTACACTTAAATAAAGTCTTAAACTTTAATTTGCATCCAAAAAAATTTTTAATTTTTAATTTATATTTAAATAAATTTTTAAATTTTAATTTATACGTAAATAAATCATTAATATAAATCAAATTTTCATTCAAAATAAGAATTTATTTAGATATAAATTAAAAAATAAGAGTTTATTTTGGCACAATAAAAGTATAGATGCTTATATAAGAAAAGTGAAATAGTTTAGGAACTTTTTCAATATTGTAGCTTTTTTTAAATATAATATTCTATAATTACGTAGTTAAACGTAATATTAAAATTATGATATTATAATTAGAATAATATCTAAGATTATGATTCGATTATAATATTTATGAGATTTTTACTTGATTAATAAAAGCTCTTTATATATAAATAGATGCTTTAGTCATATTTGATGTATAAAACTATTGATAAAATAGGATGATAATTATTTTATATCATATTTAATTTGTATCTAAAAAGAAAGATAAGGATTGTAAGGAAAATTAATACTCTTTTGACGTAGGATTATTCAATTCTTTCTAAGTGAAGAAGATTATTTTTAATCTATTGGATTAAACTCATATGTCAAATTATACCCTTAAAATTTACATTAATCATTTAAATTATATAAATTTTAAGAAAAAATAATTTTGACAAATAAATAAATTATTATATCTTAATTCTTACATACATCAAATACAAAATGAAATAATATTATTTAGTCGAATTCTATTCATAATATTATTTTATTTTATTTTATTATAATGTTATATATCAAACATAACCTATATATATTATTTCATATAAATTAAAACATTAACCATATAATCCATTGAATCTTTCTATGGATGTAAATATCAAATCACATATTTTTTGTGTTCTTATTTTCCTTTTTTTTTTATTCATTTTCATTCACAGAACCATTATAATTTAAAAAGTAACATTTTTAATTATATTTTCATAAAAAACATTTTTATTATATTTCAATAATTGTGCTAGAGATTGCACTCAAAGTTGCCGAAAGAAAACAAGGGGCGGAATTATATTAGAACTGAATTGTGTCAATCGAACTATCAAATCCAGACACAACATCAACCCTATCAAAATTCTTACATCAAGTATAGAGCTATCCACCAATTAATCAACAGATAAACAATACATTTGTTTAATTATTGGAGCTGAGAAACAATGAGATAGTGATAAAACCAGCAGAGAATACAAAGAATGGATGGTGGAAACCAAATCTGAAGGGGAAAGAAAAGCATAGCTTTCTCTGGCAATGATGCATCATCAATGTTAAAAAAAGCTTGGAGAAGTCACTGTCTTTTGAGGGACAACAAGCATTAGGACTTTGGTCCCTCATAAACTGTCCTATGTGAAAATTGGACGGGGGAGGGAGGGACCATTGCAAACAATACGGGGAGAATAATAATGCTTTCTTTCGCAATGATTCCCACGTGCAAACAACCCCTCCCCACCCCCCAACCCTCTCTTTTGACTGCTAAGAACAAGAAGTAGTCAGAAAGCAAAATTAATGAATTAAGTGATGGGTGTAAATAGTAAAAATATAAAACCAAGACCTTCCAGTTTGGAAGATTAAGACATGGGAGCTGAGTTTTACTTATTTAAAGCTTGACCCACACCCACAGGAAACAAAAAGTTACAACATTATAGCAGTACAAATTTTGGATGTACGTCTTTGTTTAGTAGCTTCAATTTCATATCTAGTTCAACAGTCCAGCACATGTTTTTGTGCAGTTTTATCAGTGTCCATATATTCTTTTACATACACTCTCTCACTTTAGCTCAAATATTTGTTCCCATTCTTTGGAAATTATGTTTGGTTTTCAGTCATCACAGATCACACGAGTTTTTGGGTAAAAAGTGGTGACCTTTATATTGTTTTATTTTTATTTTTTGGTTTCAAGGAAGGCAGAGCCCAACAAGAGAGGAGGGGGAGAGGTTAGGGTCAAACCCCAACCTTTATGTCTTCTTAAAGCTTGCTTGGTCTAACTCTCAGGCCCACATATTATATCAGGTAATCCAGAGGAAACTGATCATACAAAAATTTGCATTACAGTGCATTAGTTGTATGTGAAATTCACTAAACCTACGCTCCAACAGTGAGTTTTATGAAATTTTTAGAGTTTCAAGTTTTCAGGGTCCTCCATTTTGAAGTTTAAGCCATTTGTTTTTGAAAGTCTACAAAATTCAGGATGAGAATCTCGGTACCTCAATAGATGAGCCCAAGGCAATCTTAAAATGGAGGCCATCTAGGGTTAAATTAGAACTTAAATATTGCTTGGCACCAGTAGCACAGGCTTTATAATCCTTGGAGCCAACCAACCTGAGAGACATTATAAAAGGCCTGACATAAGGCCAATACCAGATAAAAATACGCAGTGCTGGAAACAACAAAGAAACTGAAATAAAGTGCCACGGAATCAAATGGCAAACTTTTTATTTTCCGAATTACAACATTCTATGGCTCCACTTTCAGGCGTCTCTAACTGCTCTGAGAACCTAATATAAAATGAAAATACTTCTGCCATTCATATATCGCATCTAACAACATGAAGAGTATAGTTATATTCTGTGAATACAACTGTATCCTAATTAATTAATCAAGAAGACAAGAAATGAACACAATGTTGCTCTTCCAAAATCATAACACGCTTTTCCACATTGCACCACAATTCACTAGTTTAATATAAGTCTTCTTAAAACATTCTGATTGTCTGCATGTTTTGTGATCCACCTGTGCATTCTGTTAGTTGAGTACACTAATGGAATTTTTAAATGCATGCAAATGTTCTTTCCCAACCAACCATCCTCCTTTGTACCCCATGTTGGCTTGCCAGCAAGAATTGCATTAAATGTTCTTTAACAGAGGACCCCTAAACCCATATTAGGTTTGTTAATAACTATATTGAAAAGAAATCTTCAAGATGAGACAGAATAACAACTAATTGGCAATTTAAGAGGATTTTCAAAGACAAACCTTAAGCATTCATCATCCTCTACAATGGCATGATCTGATGGAAGCCCGATCATGCTTGACATACCACCTACATCCAAAAATACAATCAATACAGAAATAACAGAAACAATTATGAGTCAGAACATAAATGAATTAGCTATTCACTGACTCGAAATAAAAGAAAGAGTCACTTGATGCTTTAAGCAAACGAATGCCCAGCTAAAATCCCCAGGAAGCGATACTCTTTGCTCTAATACTCTTTAGGTATCATTTAGCTGTATTGTTTTTACAAATAAGGGAAGTATATAAGGTTAAAAGTGCCTTCATAATCAACATTTGTAGAAAATATTTGTATTAAGTGGCAACTATCATTTGGAATATCTAGAGCATCAAGCGTTTTTTCAAAGCCAACATCTAAGTCTATTGGAAATGAAATAAAAAAATACCACATCAATATTAGAAGTTTTTACTTAAGTACCTGAAAACTTCCATGGCTTCTCTAGAAGAATTTTGAAGTATGAATTATCAAAAGCAACTAGACTTCCAAAACCTTTACTGCCAAGAGTGTAAGCCCCAGATAGAGGAACTAGTTCTTGTGTTCTGCAAAATAGAACGACATGCCACTTTTTTTTTTTTAAAGAAACCAGATGTTTACAATTAAGTCATGACTTTATTAATTTCAGATGATAATAGTAGCGGTCAAAATTTGTTACCTATTGTATTATCATTATTTTCTTTTCAACCAAAATTTTAAGTTCTTATGGGAAAAAAAAATCAATTTTAAATTAGGAAGATCCACCCATTTGTGTTACATTATCTAGATATGTTGCTGATAATTAAAATCCAACTCAAATTATAGAAAATTGATTTAAGGATATCAAACAGTGGAAAAGGATGCTTGCTAGCAAATAAACTCACTAGAAGCCCTTTCGTTGAAAACACTGCTTTAAGCCAGAAGCATCCTAAATTTCTCGGGGAAGCTTCCCTTCAGGATCTGGCTCCCTACATTGAATATTTGCCATTAGTAATGGGGTAGTAAAATCTCAATTAGATGCCACCAAATGTAAAGAGAAATGAGTCAGTGCTCATGTTAATACTGCAGAGAACTATAAGATAAAGATATCAGGTTATTTCATAACAATGCCATTTTCAATTGCACTGTCTAGGTTTTATCTTGTCAAAACATCCTTAAATACCTAGTTAACCAGACATTAAGCTCTGCATTATTATTTAAGCCACGATATTCTAAAAGGTCAAAAAGCTAGGTGCTTATGCAGAATCTAGTCTGCCTAATGCAACAGGGATTTTCGGACCTCCACAATCGGAAAATGCTTCAGCTCCTCCCACAGGAATCATGTCTGCCCATGATACTAACAAAGAAAAAATACACAACATCTTAGCATGGTGATATACCTTCCATTTCTGTCAAAAATTTTTCATCTGATATTTCAGAAAGAATAACCTTATTGTATTGCATCCGCTTCTTTCTTTGCTTTCTCTACAACCTAAACAACAATGAATCCATTGAAGTGTTAGAACTTAAAAAGGAAAAGCAAAAGCCAAAACATTTGTCCAAAAAAGAAAGAGAGAATCAGAAACAGAGAGAATGCCTTCTGAGACTTCTTGAGGCCGGCACTTTCAGGTCTTTCAAATTCATAAATAATAGAACCATTCATAGCACCTGCATGAACAATTAAAATTCAAAGCAAATTCATTGTTTAAAAAACTCCTAATAAAAGAACTTTAACATGAAACAAACCAGAATTCAACTCGATTCAATAACATTGAACCCAAACTTAAAATTCTTCTAAATTACTATTACTAAGTAATTTGGAAAATTCTGGTACCTGAATTTTCAGCCATTTCAAAGGTTCCAGCGTCATGAAATACCAAACGAAGAACGCCGGCAGCCTTTCCCTTGGTTACTACTTTACTTATCTCTTCCTTTATAAGCATATACTCACTCTGACCTGACCTTCAATAAAGAATATCCTTCACAATTGAAAATCTAAAAAACCCAGTAAAATTATAAGGATGTCTTAGAATTTTGCATAACTTAGAACTTACTCAACTGCGTTAGTGCCGACATTGTCTATAAATTCATGCAGAGGAAGAAGAAACGGCAGCGTTGCTGTAAATGCCATTCCTCTCCTCCTACTCAAACTGCAACAGTGAATTTGTCATGTAATTCAAGACTTTTTTTTAATTTAAAGTAAAGTACTGAAAAAGATTAAATTTTTTCTTTTTACCTGAGCCGGAGGAGTTATGGATGGTGGAATAGCAAGCTGTGAATGGGCTGGCACGAGATTCGACCGTTAGGAGAGAGGACCGCTATGAAACGGAGGGAAATTTGAATTTAGATGAAGACAAAGCAGAGGAGGAAGGAATGGAAGATGAACTCAACCTTGCGATCAAAGGGAACTGTTTGCGGAAAAAAGGTTTAATTTTTCGAGGGTAAAAAGTGTTGATTGGCTGCGCTTCACCACGAATAACCGAAAGTCAAATGACTGGTCAACTAGTCAAAGGTTCTTCGTGAACAATCGCCCGTAGCCTGTAAGCATGGGAAATTTCTTTTAAAAAAGAAATCTGATATTTTATTGAACCTCAAACCTTACTTTTGCCTTTGATTGCTTTTTTTCGTATTGCCTTCCTTTTTTTTAAAAAATAAAATCCGTAATGGATAAATTGCTCCGAGTATGGACTCGATTCGTATAAGCTAATAGCTAGTATTACAAAAAAATTTCGAATAATAATCTAAGAAATATACAGGGCAGATGAGATGTTAAACATGATACAAATCTATGGAACAATACCAATAAACCCCGCTTGAGTGATTGTTATCTTGGACCAGAAAGCTGCACAGCTGAAAGATAAGCATCAGTATTACAGTCTGATGGTGCTGAGGCTGAGGATGTGCCCTCTCCACTCGTGGTCATCGATCTAAAGAAGCTTGAATAACCTAATGGAGAAGACAGTGGTGGCTTTGAAACTGGGGACAGACCTTCTAGCATTTGAACAACTTTGGTCATTGATGGCCTTAAATGCATGTCTTCCTGTATACACCATAATGCAACTTTGACAGCAGTATAAACTCTCTCATCTTCCCCTTCTATAGTCAACCTTGAATCAAGGATATCTCTCAGCTTCCCTTCGTCTAACATCTTAAAAGCATAGAATGGCAAATAAGATTTCTCTGAAGATTCTCCCGGGTCAAAGTTTTTCCTTCCACCAATGATCTCTAGCAGCAGCATGCCATAGCTGTAAACATCACTCTTCTCTGATATTGCATAGTTCGTGATCCATTCAGGTGCTAAGTACCCCCTGGTGCCCCTTAGAGTAGTGAAAACATGGCTTTGCTCTCGAGTCATTAGCTTTGCCAAGCCAAAATCTGAGACTTTCGCTAGGAAATTGTCATCAAGCAATACATTTTCTGGCTTTATGTCACAATGCACAATCTTTGCATCACAATCTTCATGGAGATAAGCTAGCCCTTTTGCCGTTCCCACTGCGATATTAAATCTTGTTTCCCAGTCCAGCAGGGGTTCTTCTCGGTTTCTATTGAATATCCATTTATCTAAGGAACCATTCGCCATGTATTCATAAGCAAGAAGTCGATAACTTCCTTCAGCACAGAAGCCTTTCAACCTGACCAGGTGGAGATGATGGATACGGCCAATGATACCAACTTCAGCTCGAAATTCTTTCTTTCCCTGACCAATGCCTTCCAATTTCTTCACAGCAAGTTGACTTCCATCGGGGAGGGATCCTCGATATACTGAACCAAATCCTCCATGCCCAAGCTTAACGGAGAAGTTATTTGTAGCAGTCCGAAGGTCATTGTAAGTGAATCGAGTTGGCATCCCAGTTAAAGTCTCCAAGAAATTATCCTCTTCTGAAGTCTCATCAGGGGATTGTGGCAATTTTTTCTTTTTCTTGTAGTATCGAAATGACGCAAAAAGTAGGCCAAAAATGACAAGTACTGTAGAAACAGCTATAATCACAACATATGGGAAGCCTTTTTTCCCTCCTCCATCCCCTCCACCATTTTCATTGCTTGACATCTTGACAAAAGCAACTAAATCAGACTGCCGGTTAGAGTTTTGAAAGCTACCAACCTGGTCAAACAGGAAACAATTCCTCGAGCTATTGTCATAGAACATAGCCATACAGGAACAATTACTAAGGCAAGATGCCTTGCAACCACTCAGATCAGTTTCTGAAGAGGGAGAAACGTAGCCAAGTGCAAAATAATTAAGCCCAGTTCCAGCATCTACAAGACCTACAGAATCCTTTCCCTGACCGCAGGGAGAGGCAATACCTGTTTTGCAAGCGCTTGAACTAAGCCCTGATGGACACTGGCACTTAGTGTTGCCTGAGGGTCCTGAACAAACAAAATATGGCTGACAAGCTTCTGGTGTGCCACACGGGTCATCTGGAATTTTTGTTGTTGAAGAGGACCCTTGATCATGGAGATTGAAGAAAGATATAAAGCCATCACTTCCTAACACTGCAATCCAAGTGGCATTTGCATCAATAGGATCTGAGATTGTAAATTGCCACAGCAAGACTTTGCTTTCATCAAAGAAACTCCATGAATTTGCATCAATAGATGCTAAAGTGACCTGCCCACCATTTTTATTAATGTTTCTTCGTGCGTCCTTTCCCATGGACCAATATGGCTGTGGAGTTGAGTAACCTGCTGAAAGAATCATGTCGCCGGACTTGATTTCAAGAATATAGCTCAAGTTACTGGGGCTAGGATTGCTTACAAGTCTCATTCCTTCTCCAAACTCTTGGTTCGAGATAAGGGTATCAGAAGGATGAGCAAAACTCTGCCACGTTACGTTGCCATCATTCCCTTGCAAAACCAAATTTCCTGAATCCTGCAATACCATAGCAGAAACTCCTTTGTCACCAGTATTTGTCGTCCACACAACACTACCTCCTTTCTTTAATAACACGTTGCCACTTTTATCAAACACAAATTCATCAGAATTTGAAACAGGGAAGTTTCTGTTAGCAGCCCAGATTACTCTTCTAGTCTCCATGTGCATGACAACTAGAAGAAACAATGTGACATCTGTGGTAGTGGTAAAGCCAAAACCGAATTCTGAGTTGTTAGATACAAGAAACAACCCATTATTGTCGATCCAATTCATTTGAGAACCTTGAAAACCCGGTTCAATCGCCCCAGTACTTCGAATGCTAGCCATACAGATATCAGAGAGAAAAAGGGTAGACAGTGCCAAAAAGCCCAGGAAACGAATAAAACCCCTACTTTCCATTACAAAACTCCGAATTGAACCAAAATAATAGGTTTTAGAAGACAACAGAAAAAACCCGGGAAGACAAGAAAAAGAAGGAAAATTTCCTGACCCTAAACCAAGGAGGATATATAAAAAAGAAAAATGGGTTTCCTACCCTCTATACAGGAAGCAGCCCAGTATAATTTCTGGGTTTCAGGAATTTAAGCCACCAAACTCCTCCCAAAACCTTACTTGGCAAATCTTTTGCACCAAACTGACAACATACTGCCTGGAACACAAAATTATAGCTCTAATGGAAGCATATTTGAAGATATGTTGAGCTAACTTGTCCTAAATTCAACAAAATTTAGATTTTGTAATACAAAGAGACCGAAACAGATTATTGAGGTTTTAAGAGGAAACGTTATTGAATGAAAAGGAAGGAACTTTGACATTTGCAAATAGAAAAGAAAGCAAAACAAAGCATATACTTGTCAGAAACTGCAATTCAGGGTGAGAAACAAGATCACTGGTAAGCTTTAAGAACTTAAAGTTGAGCTTTTCGTCACAGCTCAAAAGAAATAAAACCTCAAAAATTCAAGAAAGAGCTGCCTATAATAGGATCAAAAGAAATGAGCAGAATCTGAAAGGGAAAGGACAAGTTGGAAATGGATGGGCACTCCTCATTTGACCAAATAACGGAACGTACAAAAAGACCGACCGACTAGAATTGATGGATAACTCCTCACTTTGCCATGAAATGAAAAGCCTTTTGGAGAAAGGAGGAATAGTAAAAAAGATGCAAATTCATAAATGTTCTCCTATTAACATCAGCAATAATTATAAAGAAGGTAAGTATAGTTTAAAGGAGACGCTGAAGAGAACATAGAACATGAAGAAAGGGTAGCTCTCACCTCATTTTGTTAAGTGAGATTGCAGAAACAAGTGGATTTGCAGACATGGGTCTCTGGCTTTTTCCTAAATCCGTTTTCGGTTCTGTCATAGAGTTGAAGAGAGATCTGAGCTGCCTTTCCATCTTTTTCGAGCTGTTTTTTTTATTCCCATATATTGTGTTTTTCTACTGTTTTGGTCTTCCAAAGATGACATAGAAACTGTCAAAGAGCATTAGCTTTTGCGTGGGGTGGAGTTGATAGATTCAATAAATGAATGTAAAAAATTGTGCAAAATGGAGAACCAAATTCCCAAATTTTCTTTAAACAAAAAATAAAAATCTTTTTAGTAACAACAAAAAGAAAGTCAAATTTGTTGTACAACAAAGGGATAGCCTCAGATACGATGACTGCTTCCCCCACGCCGCTGAAATTATAAAACCATAAATATCCCAATTGAGCCAAAATGTCCAACTTAAATATTATTGTTGCATACTGATTAAACATTAACAAGTAAAATGATGAAAATTTTGACACCCACCTACCATTTTTTCTATTATTATGTGACACGTGTTTTTTAATTAATAAACATTAAACTTTGATCATTAAAAACAATTTCAATACTCTTAACAATAAACGGTCACTACCATAATATCTTTATTATTAAGAATTTTTTTTTTCACTCTCTTGATTAAATTACAATATCCAATTTTGTAAGCAGAGTTAATTTGTGAATATTAAATTTTTTTTTAATTTTTACGATCATGGACAGTTTAGGCATTGGTAATTTTTATTTTTTTTGGTACTAGTAGTATATATTTTAATTTATTAAAGTCATGTTTGTTTTTATCAAATTTATTAGGGGGTTGGGTGGTGAATGGTATGGGTCAGCAAGTGACATGGCAATGGCAAACTGGCAGATATTTAATACCAAGTGGGGAATAAAGTTACAGGAAGGCGTCAAAATTTTCTGTTTCTGCCCACCCAAATCCGTGCCCTTTGGGTCAGGGTGTTTAAGCCAACTTGACAGGTGGGTCTTCAAAGAGCTAAAACTTCATTCCTTTCCGACCATTCCCCCCTTTCCCCATCCAAAGGCTTATCTGCCAATGCCATCTTCGTATTTGGATTTTGGACATTTACCATCTCTCTATCAGCAGTGAGAACGTTAAATTATATGACTTTGTCACAATTTTAAGCAATTCTATCTTCACTGTCCATCATCAATATCATCTTTTCTTTCTTAATTACATGGGGCATTTGGAGAGGAAGGGTAGTAAGGTAGATAGGAGAGTTGGACTCGTTTTTAAATAAATTTGACACCAACAAAGAAAAAAAATTATCACTTGTTTATATTTGATCATATAATTTTATTAAAAATCATGTAACTTATTAATAAAATATTAAAATTGTTATTTTAATGATTAAAAATTAAATTTTGATAATTTTAAGTAAAAAAAAATCTGACTTTTATTTTAGAAAATTTTGGTTCGGTTGAGAGTCAATTCGGTTCACACTTATACTAATGGAAAGTTTGAAAGTTCAAAATTTAATCAATTAAGAAAGTAAAAGAAGTCGGCCCTTTATAATTTTACTGAGCCAACTACTCACATAAAAGCTACTCAATTCCATTTAATACCTAAGATGCAATTATGCATTGCAGTTAATCTTACAAAGAGAATCAGTCCCTAGTAATTTAGAATTTAGGGTTTAGAGAAAAAAAAAATGGAAATGTATGTAGGATTGTGTAGTTTTCCAAAACTTTATGAAGAAAAAATAATGAAAATCAAGTAATCAATGAAAATGTTATTTTAAAGCGACTACCAAATTTGTGAAAAAAAAAAAAAAAAAATCAACAATTTAAGCAACTGCAGCAGACTTTGTGGGTTTTTGTTTGATTTATGGAATGGATGGATAGGAAGCAAATATTTTTGCTTGAGTCTGGTTTATGCCTCGTGAATTAGAACAAATCACGTGCAATTGCAAAAACTTTGGTTGGGCCTTCATATATTTTATTGCAACTTGGCATATTGTAATTGTCACATCACAATAAGTCTATGATATTATATATAATTAATTAAGAATTAATTAATTAATTACTGCTTAAATGAATTGACAAATTAACGAGCTGTTTTAGATGGAGGCTTCAGAGTTTATAAATAAGTAAAGGAAAAAAAAAAAACACTCAAACATGTTTACATAGAAGAGAATTTTTTTGTTGATTTTTTATTAATCAAATTGGTTTATGCAAATAATGAATTTAATTAATATCTAAAATAATTTAGTAAATAATTATATAGTATGATTAGAAGACAAGGATATTTATCAACGTGGCTTGCTCTGATGTTGTATGTAAAGCAAATTAATGGACAGTAGAATAAAGAAACCGATGCCGGAATTAAACCTTAAATACAGCTAGCTAACATTATTTGCACTTTGCAAGGATGTTATGATCATATCCTGTTTCCCAATAAACTTGATTTTGGGAATAATAATTAATTAAACCTAGGTTTAACAAAAGCAATGATGACTTATATATAAACAAAGGATAAACGGAAATTAATAGAATCGATAAAAATCGAATAATTCATTAGTAAAATTTAAGTTCAATTCTTATTATTAATAATTTTTTTATGAGTGATTTATAAATTTAATGTAAATCTTCGTTAATTTATAATTTATCTAATTTTTTTTATATAATTTATATATATGAAGTGGACAAAGCTGGACAAGATCTTTTGTTAATCTTCTCTCTATTATCTTGAAAACAAAAATTAATTAAGGATTTGTTCGAACCATTGATATCAATGAAATCAAGAGGCGATATGAATCAACTGACAATTCCAAAACTATGCACTAACTTGTGGTTTCAACGTCAAACTGTAAGACAAAATAAAATAAAATAAAAGAGAGAGAAAGAAGAAATATGACCAAAATCAGAAGCTATAGCGTGCCTTGCATGGCATTGAAAAAGTATTGTTATTATTATATGAATAATTTTCCTACTCGTGACTTTTAAGTTATAACAAAATCTTCATCCACTTTAGTCTAAAAAACACTACCGTCTTTAAATAGTAGTGTAAACGAATCGAATCGAATCAAATAATGAGAAGTTTGAGTTTGAGTTCAATTCATAATTCAGAGTTCAATATTCGATTCGAGCTCGATCGAGTTTTATTTTTCAAGCTCGAACTTGATTCGTGATCGAATTTGAGTTACTCGAGCTCACTCGATTAAACTCGATTAATATTTAAAAATAAGCTCGATTCGTATACTCGACAAGAGTTCGATTATTCATGCTCGAATTCGAACTCGAACTCGAACTCGAAATATTTTATTAATTAAAATAATAAAAATATATTTAAATATAAAAGTTTGATTAGACTCGTGAGCTATTCGAGTCAGATATAAGAATACTTAAATTCGACTTGATCGATAAGTCGAACTATTCGAGCTCGATTCGACAATAATCGAACCGAATTCGAGTTTTTTTCAAATCGAACCCGAGTAACTTACGAGTACTAATGTATCATTTACACCCCTATCTCTAAGTCTCCCTAACTGGACTGCATTTTCACTACTGTGTTTTTTTTTTTAAATTTCACTCACTGTTTTTTATTATATTTTAAAGAATATGTGTTATCATATTAATTATATTTGTAGATTCTAAAATTTCTACTAACAATAAATGTGATAATTTTTATAAATATATAAACATCAGCAACTAAAATAGCATAATTTGTATTCTGACTGATTTATTGAGACTTGGAAAAGTTTTTTTTTTTTTTTTTCACATTTTCAGTTTCGTTTCTGAAATTGACTCGTACTGATAGGGAGAGCAAAGCAGAAACAGATGTATCAGCTCCCCATTAATGATGAAGTATACAAGCATGTGGGAGGGAATATAACATCTATGAAGCATTCAGATTTCAGAGAGCTTTTGGTTCCACTAAACTTATTATTTTAAGCTCAAAGTTGTCATCACCGGACAACCATAGATGTTGTGGTGTATATTTAACTGCCACTATGTTGATTATCATGTTAAATCATGGGATCCCTTTATTGTCGAGCTGTCATACACTCTGTGTGGGCCGGTTGCCCATAAATTTTGATAATGCTTTTTTGACAAAAATTTATAATGTTAAGGATTAGTTAATTTGATAGCATGGTTAAGGACGGTAATGGATCGGGTCGGAGTAGGTTTTTGTTCATTTTAAATTTAATTTGATTTTATATTCATCAAATCGAAATTTGATTCGATTTAAATTTTTTTATTTTTTTAATATTTGAATCTGAATCCGATCTGATATTATATAAATCGTATCCGACTCGATTTGATCTGAAATTAATAAAATATTATTTTTTAAAATATAAAATATTATTTTTAAATATAAATATTTAAATATATAATTTTATTAATATATATAAATAATTAATTAATTTAAAAATTATTTTTATATAATATCAAGTCAGGTTTATCTAAAATTTAAATCCGACCCGACTTCGACCTTTTCATTAGTATTATCCAACTCGATCTGAAACTCGATATTCAAAAAAAAAAAATTGATCCTATAAAATCGAATCGGATCGAAATCCATCGAAAACGAGTTGAATTGTTTACCCTAAGCATAGCAAAGATGTTGCATCCTTTGTTATTCAACTTTTAATATATATATATATATATATATATATATATTTAAAATATTTATATTTGATGTATTATCAAATGTTAATATATAAATTTATATATTATTAATAAATTAAATAATATCAAATCATTCATCTTATTAATGGATTTTTAAGAAATAATAATTTTTGTATATTTATTTTAAAAATTATTATTTATTCATTAGTAAGATAATATTACCTAATTCATTAACAGTGAATGTATACAATAATTTTCTTAATTTGTTTAGGGCCTTAGGCAGCCTGCCAAAGTCAATGCAAAGTAGCTTGCCACCAATGGAGATTTTCCATAATTTACTAAGCAAGAGACATGTAACATAATAACCATGATCATCTCGATCAATCGAGCCACACGGCAAAGAAACCGCATTTCCTGGGTTTCCCATATGGGAATCGTTTTTGCTCATGATTTCATGGATCTCCCACAGCTGTCTAGTCCTCTCACCAATCTTTTGTTACAAATTTTTAGATTTAGTTTTCTTGAATTTGGTTTTTTAACCTGCATGGGTTTTATCTCTTGCAAAGTTTAAGGTTAAAATGCAAGTGTTAAATTTACATGCATTCTCTTTCTGTGGGATGCTTGCTTGAAAATAAAAAAAATTACCATGTCAATTTTTTTTTTTTGATATAGAATTATATTTTTATCCAAATTCTCATCATATTTTGAGTCCAACAACCACATAATAATAAAAGCCATATTAATTAGCCGAGCATCTATAAAATATTGGATTTGGAAATTGTTTATATAGACATGCAAATCTTTGACAACTCCTCTTGCCCCAAGATAGTATTACAATCAAATGGTTTTTGAAAACTGGAGAATATTGTAAACACGTGAATAACCTTTCTTTAACACCTAGAATCTGATCAAATTAAGCTATTTTAACAACTTCATCATATATTTATTCTACAATTAATATAGATCGATGCATAATTAATCATTTGAATATTAATTATTTTAAATAAACTCTTTGAGACTTGATTGAACAAAGGGGTCCCTCGTAAAGATGGCAATGGTTGAGATGAGATGGATTTTTATTGATCTTGAATTCGATATGATTTTAAATAATAAATATCGAAAACAACTCGATTCAATATTAAAATATTATTTTATATATGATAAAATATGACTCGATTTGATTTATATATACATAAAATCACAACAAATCTAATTTGAGTTAAATTTAATAAAAAATTTAATATAAAATATATTTTTAAAATATAAATATAAAATTAAATAAATATAAAAAATATATTAATATAAAATTAAATAAATAAACTCGCCTTGATCTGACATTGATTAAAAAAAATCAACCCAAAACTTTATTTTAAAAAATCGATCCTGATCCTATAAAGTCAGGTCGAGTAAGAATTCGATGGATTTAAATGAAATTATTTAGATGAAATTTTTTATTAAAAATAATTAAATCTAAATTAAAATAGAAAATCTAAATCCATAAACTAAAAGATTTTATATTGTACAAAATTTGAAAAAATTTTAAACAATTTTGATATATTTTTTAAATAAGTAATTTTACTAAAAAATTTGACTAAATTTTTATCATTGAATAAATAATAATTAAATTTGAATTATAAATAATATTTTTAAAATATTTTTTACATATTATTAATTTTTTCATTAAATTAATTCGACATATTGCTTAACAGAGATGTCATTATAATAAGTACCATAGTTTTCCCTTTTTTTCTTTCATAATTGGGGCTTGCTTTTGACTTCAGTAACATAAAAATTCTATGCCTCCCTTCCTCAAGAAACATCGTTCCATTCAAATATAATTGCATCAGTCATACTCGTGTCAAAATGACCTCATTTCTTAATCTAGAACATTAATGTTTTTCAAATTAACAATCCCGACCACCAAGATAATTAAAAAATAATAATAATAACAATATGAAGATGTTGAGGAAGAGCTTTTAGGTCATCAGCACAACTACTTTAATAAAGATATGTTAATTCCTGCTGATATAATATTTGGAGAAAAAAAAAAGTTTATAAAATATGCAGAGAGAGGTAGAACTGAAAGAGCCAAAGGTCATAGCTTCGGGATTTAACTGAGGAAGGTGGGCTGATGGAGATTTTTTTACTTGGCTTGAAAGAAAGATTTTATCCTTGGATGACAACCTTTTCAAATTATAATGGAAGTGTTTGAAAAAAAAATTGTGCCAGTTTTCGCATAATAAAATATGCATTAGGTAATTATCTTAATTGATAAACCTTTCAAGTTTCAACTTTCATCAAAGAGGTGAATCAAGTATTTATAGTTAAATAATATTTGGTATTATTTTAAAATTTATTGTGATGACTAAAGTAATTTGATCAATAATAATTTTAAATTAACATTTTTTGATGTAATAATACAAATTATCAATGATTTTTTATTACTATATTTAATATATATGGCATAAAAAAAAAGATAATTAAGTATAAATTTTTTTTTTATAGAAGAAAGAAACAATTTTAATTTTATTGAATGAAAAATTTATGAAATAGCAATTAGTCAATAAATAAAAAAATAAAAGCATAAACCAATTTTGATTTTTGTGCATATAATATAACAATTGCGGTCGAAAGTGGCCATCAGGATGTTGCATTTGGAACTTGGTGTGAAGTCGGTGAGAAATGTTGTATAGTTTAATTTGCAAGTTGCTCCCCATATCCCCCACGTTTTACGTTTTTTTGGTATATATAACTGTAGCAAGGACGGAATGAGAGAATCGTTTTCCGTTTTCAAGTTGAAAGTAATCAAGTAGTGTTTTCTTTTTGCTTTCAGCCCATTTAGATTCCATATTGGGCCTAATCCCCTTGATGGACGGAAAAAGGAGGTGGTGTTAACTAAGCTCGATCAAGTGGGTAAAGCTAGGGCCCATTAATCCATAATAGACATTGTGCAATCAAGCCCAGTTTGAAGCCGATTGTCAAGTTTTGCGGTGTGGCTCAAGGATAGGACAACCACTCAACCCGACTCATGTTGAGAGGAATGATTTTCACAACTCTAATCTCCAAACTAGGCTCTTGTAAACTAGATCAGTTTTACCGCAATGGACGGATGGCTTTTTTTTTTTTTTTTTTTTTCTTTTGAATCGAACGAACAATGAAAGTTACTTTATTTTTAAGGAAAGAGTAAGCCGTCGTTTCACGAGAAGATTTATGAATTCTTTAAAATTTTTTAGATTTATAAATTATTTATCAATAAATAATTATAAAAATTTGAATTTAAATATTTTACATTCAAATTTTAAATTTTAATTACTTACGTTCAAATGATTATTTTATTATAAGTTATTATTGAACAATAAATTTTATAAGTAATTAAAAAGTGACTCTAAACTCAAAATATGTTCCTTTACAAGAAAAAGATAAAGAGATACAATTAGATTGCATGATTAATTGATTATAGAATTAAGTATCGTTACCTTAAAGTAGATTAATTAAATTCACGTAAATTATAAAAAATTTAAGATAGTTCCTAAAATTTAGCCCAACAATAAAAGGAGAAACCGGCAAACGGCCCATCCCAACCAAAATTGAAGCAGGTGGATGATGGGTTGTCAATAGTTGTCACCTTTTTTTGTGGGGCCGGAACCAATAGTTGTGACTTTAGTATCAGTTGTGAAAAGCTGAAAGCAATGTTTTCAGGCACGTGCATCGCACGCAAACCAGGAGTTGAACTTCCCAAGTTACTTTCCTTGAAAGCTGAGGACCTATGCAAACGCGTTTTAATTAGTCCACAAAATAATTTCCACCAAACCAAAAAATTGCAAACGGATATGTTTCCGTTGGTTTCACCTACGCGTAACTCACGTGTCGGATTAGTTGTCCGCGTTGACGTGGCAGTACCCCACAGGCTATCAACTCCGTGTCATAAATAAATCCAATCCAAACACGCCACGTAAGTTCAAAAACGAGATCGCGACGATTACACGCGATTTCCCGCTCATAATAACATACACGGATGTCCTTTCTCGACCATTTGCTTCGCTGTCTCCGCAACTTGAAAGACCCAAATTTAGAACGAGTCTGACTTTCAGCATTCTGGTCTCACTGTTTTTTCTTATCTGCTAAGGTATCTGTTTGATTCTTTTATCTAAAAATTTTGGGGGAAACAAGAAGAATAAAAGATGAAGTGGCTGCCGAGGTCTCCAATGAAGAGGTTACATGTGAAGGTGAAACATTTGAAGCTTGAAGGGCTAAGCAGAAATGAGGAAGAAGATGAAGGAGTTAATAAGAAAATGGTGTTGGTTGAAATGGTATGGAAAGGACCCAAGTCTGGGTTGGTTCCGTTTTATAAATCATCTTCAAGTCATAAAAGGAATCGTAGCAGTCAGAGAATTTTGGGAAATGGTAAGTCAATTGAATGGGATGATGAATTTGACAGGTTATGCGATTTTTCAGTTGCTTCCATAGATCGTGCTTCTGGTTCTTGGGATGCTTTGTTCAATGTCTTACATGTAAGTAATTACTAAACCCCATATGTATCTTCTTTTTAATTCATTGCAAGGTTGGAAAAATAACCCTTTTTCGGTATTAATTTTTGTGTGGAATATAAATTCAGGGAAAGAAATGTGAAAAAAAGAGTAAATTGAGAGTGGTCGGGAAAGTTTCGTTGGATTTGGCAGAGCTGGTTTCGGAAATGGAATGTTCTGAGATTGAAAGAAAGCTTCCGATCACGTTGAACATTGATGGTGTGGTCATTGAAGTTACTCTTGTGGTAAGTTTCATTGTTCAACAATTACTCTCTTTTCGTTCTTCTTCATTATCTCTCTTCCAAAGCTGGTATTACTCTTATGATATGGAGCACAAAAAAAGGCGAAAACCCTCTGGATTAACCAAAGTTTTTTCCAACTCATTCTGCAATGGCTCCTCTCTGTTTCAAATATTTCATTCCATAGTCCACACTTTTTTTGTCAAGACCTAGACAAAGCTTTGAACATTTCATGTTAGTTTATTTAATGTAGAATATTAGAATTATTTAAACCTTAGGGGAATTTGAATTTCTGACTTGGTCATAGTGCTGAGCAATGAGCAAATGCTTAAAAATGGAATCATTATCGAACTTACCCAAGCTGTTTCTATCTTAATTGAGTTTTTTGTTTTCTTTTCTTTGGGTAAATTAAGGTTTTTCATTTTACCTTTTTTAGTTCTTATGTTAATGTTATGTTATAACAGAAAAAGGAAAAAAAAATCCAAATTATAGCCCTTTTTTTTAGATAATTGAGTTTCTTCTATCCAAGAAGACAGAGAGATGGGCCTACTATAAAGATTCAAATGACAGCTTTATATTACCAATATAGTAGTAAATATCCAATCAAATGATTATAATTAAAAATTTTAACATTTTCCTTATGTTTTCTTCTGAATTCTGCTTGACTTTTTCAAATGGCACTTTTATTTTTGTAAAGATTTTAGTGAGCTTTGCCGAGGTCAGAGGTCCTCCAGACATGGCAGGAGGTGTCCAAAACTCAGCCGAGTCAAACAAGGAAGATGGGTTGTTTAAAATGGTGAAGGAGTTAACACGCCACAATAAGAAAAAGAACAGCTGTCAAAAGGATCAACTAAATTCCTGTGAGTCGGACGAGTCACTCGTATTTGACTCAGATGGCTTGCATGGGAATGCGTCCACCACATGTGGAAGTAGCAGCAGCGAGCTGAGTTTAGGACCTGAGTTGGAATCGTCCCAAAGTTTGGAAACTCAGTTGGAACCGACCCAGAACCACATGGGAAGGCTGTTCTCATGGAAGAAAAGACGGTTGAGTTTTAGATCGTCGAGGAAGAAAACAGAGTCGTTGATTAAAAAGACTAGTGAAAGTAATGAATTTGATGCTTGCCAACACCCTCAGAGCTGTTCTGTCGTTGAATCCCAGGTTGGTTTTGTCTTGTCTGATTGATTGGGGTTCCACTTTGCAAACCAATTCCTCCATTTTAAAAATTTTGATTTAGAGGGGAAGCTAATTTTATGTTGTTTTTACCTTTTACCTTTTCCAGGATGGAAATTGCTGGGAACTGAAAGAATTAGTCAGTAGAGATGGAGAAGCAAGGCTGAACGCTAATGTGTTCTTTGCTTCGTTTGACCAACGAAGTGAGAGAGCCGCTGGGGAAAGTGCCTGCACGGCATTGGTCGCAGTCGTTGCCCATTGGCTCCATTCAAACCAGGACTTAATGCCAACGAGACTTGATTTTGATAGCCTCATAACCAAAGGTTCATTAGAATGGCGTAAACTTTGTGACAACATAGATTATACCAATTCCTTCCCTGATAAACATTTTGATCTGGAGACTGTTTTGCAAGCTGATCTCAGACCTATTACAGTCTTGCAAGACAAATCTTTTACTGGGTTTTTTAGCCCTGAAAAGTTTGAGTGTTTAAAGGGTGCCATGTCTTTTGATGAGATATGGAATGAAATCAGTAATAGCAACACAAATGATTATAATCAGCCGAGGGTTTACATAGTCAGCTGGAACGATCATTTCTTTGTGTTGAAAGTTGAATCAAACGCGTATTACATCATTGATTCTTTGGGTGAGCGGCTATTTGAAGGGTGTAACCAGGCATACATATTGAAATTCGATGAGTCGAGTTTGATGTATGGGAACGTGGCAAGAGAAGAGCCAGGCGATTCACAGAGGAAGGAGGAAAGTGAAGAAGAAATCATTTGCAATGGGAAAGAGTGTTGCAAAGAGTATATTAAGAGATTTCTCGCCGCTATACCAGTTGGGGAGCTTGAGGAGGAAGAGAAAAAGGGCACAGCTTCTACATTCTCTCTTCACCAGCGACTGCAGATTGATTTTCATTATAGCTCTTCTTCCTTGACCTCCCCCTACTCTCTCCTCTGCAACTGACTTCCTTTTGTAAAGCAAAAGAGTGCTTCTGACTTGGATAGATAAATTTTACACTAGTTTCGTTTTAATTATTGTTCATATACTCTCCAAAGTGGATCCTTTTGGCCAAGCAAGAAAACTTTTATTCCACAAATATAAGTTTTTTTACCACTGACTGAATTCGATTATGTTCTAGCTCGTTCGATTAAATGATATCACAAATAATGCAGCAAATTATGAAGCTGTCGCCCCCTATCAATAGCTTAGCTTTCTTTCATACCGTACTTTCCAACTTAGAATTGGTTCAATTTTGCTCCCATTAATGTACTATGCTCCATCATATATAAGGGAGCCAGATGCATCAGTCTTCTTAATTAGCTGTTGCCACCCCAATCTCCAACAAATAAAGAGGCAGAGCAGGGAAATAAAATAGCACTTTCCATTGATGTGAGTCTCAATCGTGTACAACAACAGCATGTGAACTCCCAGCAAATCCACTAGCTAATGAAAGGAACTTCGATCATTCTTGGACTCACTCTCCAACATAGTGATTACTCAGATTAATCTTATATCAACATTCCCCTCATGAAAAGCAAAAGGTGGACAAATTGCTACATACGCCCACTTCCCTGTCCTTTTTTTTTTCGTTATCTTCTCGATATCAACCTTGAAAGATGCCTGATGTTCCCAATTGGAGACTCACATAGACGAAGCAATAAGAGTCGGTCATTTTTACTCAGATGCCAAGAACCTTTGAACCTCCATCCATACTTTTGAAGATCTCTCCCTAAACTTTTTAAAGACAAAGTTACATAATCAGAAAGGTTCTTATTCTCCATCACAATCAAAGTTGAAACTTGAAACAAAGAAAGATTAGAATCTGACCCCACCATTGGCAGCCAGTACAAAACCTCCAGAAACACTAGCCGCAAGTCCACCATTCATACAAAGAAAAAAGCACTCCTCGGTCATACATTAATGATTTCTACCTTCCTAATTAGACCAAGTATATAGGGCCCACATAACAGCCATCAAGTACATCGACTCCAAAAAAATACTGGTTAGATCTTGTAAAGAGACCTTTGTCCCCTACGCATACAAACAAACACTTTTTTCTTCAAATTTGCATTTATTAGCGTCTGCCCTACTGCTTAATCCAACCAATCATACAAGTTGTCCACTGGTTAGATAACTTGTCCATTGATGAGATTATTTCTGGTAATGGATAAGTTCCGGTGCATAGAGAAAAGAACCACTTTTCCTCACGGATAATATAATGTCCATGTGTCACAACCACAACTATGCACAACTGATCATGCAAAAAGCCTGTGACTAATCTTGCCTATATTCTTATGCTTTTCTACTTTTTACTGTTTGTAAGGGTGTTTTTATCAATAAAAAGCATGGAGCAAACAGAGGGAATAGCGTATCAAAAGTGAATATGATAGGGTTATAAGTTCTACAAGCAGCAACATGTAAGACAACATTCTTAATAGATGGCGGATCAAGAGTCTGTTCTGTCAGTTTGTTGGTGATTGCCTCATCTAACTGAAACCCACTAAAATATTTACACCTCAAATTCTTGCAACATTTTAACACACTGCTCATTAACACGACTATAACCACAAAAAGATAGCAAAAAAACTAAAAGAGCATCAGCAGCACATACTCACCAAGGCAACGCCAATGGTCTAAAGGGCAGTCTAGTATCCTGCACTTTTCATTCTTCCAGTTAAATGGCTGTAAGGAAGCTTGGGCGTAAAACAAATTTGATGATCCACTGGTGGACCATAAATTGTCTTTCGCTTTCTTATTGTTGCATCTGCATTCATATATTCACCTTCAACACTCCATTCGTTTGAAGATGAGTTCAAGGGGTCATCTCTGTTGCTCCTAGGAAAGGAAGATAAACCTTTATCAATTGGTGGTGTCAGATCACTGAACTTGTTCCACTCTAGAAAGGTAGAACTAGTGTCCTCAATATCCTTAGGCCAACTGTTTCCAACACTCGGGCAAGGTGTTGAAAGAGGGCCCAACCGCAGCGATAGATCACAGGCAATTTCATGTGGGCTGTTAGAAGTATTTCTGACGTCCATTTGGTTCATCTTATTTGAAGGGTCCACATCAGGAGAGAAGAGGTTATGAACGACACCCATCTTAGGAGGCTCTACAGTGTTAGAAATCGACTTAGGGAAGATTCCAAAACCATGCCGCAGTTCTTCAACTTTAAGGTGGTTTCCATAGAAAAGAGGATAAACTGAATACAACTTAGGAGGATACCTCTTTACAGGTAAGTATTGGTTATTACTAGGAAAAGGACCATTCTCAGATGCGAAAGGAAACTTGTTAGTAGTGCAGTTACTGTTTTGAGCAATGTGTTTCTGAGATTCATAGCCCATATGAGTCACATTCTTGGTTGTGGGATTTATGAAGCCGGCAAAACTAGCCATGCAGTGTGAGTTAGTTGTGAGATTTCCTTGAGTAGTGTTCTCTGCTTCTTGAGTGCCCGGGTTTAGGTAACAACCTGGAGTACAATTGCGTTGGCTCCTCAAAGTTCTTCTTGCTGTGCAGCCCAAATTGAGAGCAGCTAACCAACAATCAAATAGATAAATCACATCTCAGAAAATATGAAAGGTACATTTGAAGCGAGTGCTCTTCATAATTAAGCCAGAAATTATCCCAGAAGCAAGAAAGACCCAATTCTAAATATGCATATTTGGCTTCAAATTCAAACAGAGGAAAATTAAGCACAAAATTGAAAGGGTACCTTCAATACAAGGTTGAAGAAATTGTCCAGTTTCGGTACTCTCATCGCGTCTAATGATTGTGTTAATGGCATCATTTGTTCGATCCCAGAGGGTTTTGAGGTCCATGTACTCGGCCTATGCAATAATTGGAATGCAAAATATGAGCTTGACAGATCAACAAAACCAATCCCAACCCACCCCTGAAGAAGAAGAAGAAGAAGAAGAAGAAGAAGAGAATACTACTAAGAACCAACAAGTTTACTTAGTTTCCCAAATAAACAAAAAACAGGCAGGTGCCAAATTATGAACGTTTTAACTCAATCAATTAAAAAACAACAGAAAATATCATGATCAAGGTTTGTTCTTTTCATTTAAAACTTAATATTGCATAGCAGAGGAGGATAAGCAGATAGTGGCTAAACGAGAAAAATTTTACCTCGGAATTGGCTTTGGAATACATAATTTCTTCTGCTTTTAAGACGACAACAGGGAGCTTCTCTTGCCATTCTTTGTTCTTCTTAGTTGCAGAGGTATGAATCTCATTTACAACTCTAAAGAAAATCAAATACATAAACAAAAAACTAGTGAAAAATCTACTGAGTAGAAATACATTTACATGAAAGAAATACAAAGTAAGAGTGGGGACGGACCTGAAAATTTCTTGAATGAGAGAACCTCTCATGGGTTGGTGTCTATCACTGTGCCAAGCTCTTCTCTCACAGACATAAGGTCTTGGACCTGGTCTAGGCATCTTCAATGATTCTTTGAGTGAAGAAAAAAAGAGGAGAGAAAAGGCTTTTTGTTTCTTCAAAGAGAAACAAAGGCCAGGCTCTATAGAAACTTGGGGGTTGCTTATGCTTTTGGTTTTCCTTTTCATACACTGACCAAACAAAATGCAGTACTGTACCAAGCAAAATGTAAGCAGTGAAAAAGACAGAGAATTAAAAAAAAAAAAATAGAATGAGAGGTAGAGGAGACAACAGTTTGGCTAACCTAAGATTCAATTTGATTTTTTTAAATGTTATATAATATTATAAAAATATAAAGTTTTAACTGAAGTTTTATTCAATACAAATGAATTAAATTAAATTTTATTAATTTAATTTATTAATTTTAAATTTATATATATTTTTTTTATAAAAAATTTAAGATAGATAAATTATTTAATTTTTAAATTAAAATAAGATATATCGTATCTGATAATTTAAAATAAATAATTATAAATTATATATTTAAAATAATTTCAATAAATAATTATCGATAAAATTCGAATCAAATATCTTTTCATCAAAAAAAATATTTTAATTTATTAAATCAATTATTTATTGATATAATATTATTTTAATATATTAAGTAAATTTTGATATAAATTTATTATTTTGATTTTATAAAAATTTAAAAAATATATTAAAATATGTTTAATTTAATTTTTTATTTTTATTTTTAATTTAAAATTTGATTTAAATTTAATATATATTTAATATGATTTATATAAAATAAAAATAAACCAATTCAATTTAAATTCAATATTATAATTTTACAATTTGTATTTTTTGATTTTTTTTTCTCACCGTTTATTGGTCTGGGGACCTTCTTTTCTGTCAGAAACTCAATAATTTCAAAGGGTTTCTGATGAGTTTGGCGTGTCCAGTGTCCCCCACTCATCCACATGCCTGCTTCCCCTAGCCCCAAGAGTCTCTCTCTCTTTTTTAATCTATTGTTTTCTTTTGTCTACTTTTTACTGTATCTTCCCGTCCGGACCATACATACATGCTAGAGGTAGGGGCAGTAGATTGATAGTGTCACTGTCTGTGTCATCTAGGGAACCCTTGCCTCTTACTCCTCAGTCCTCCCTCTGTCAAAACCTGTCAACATTTTTGGATAAACTTTTACATTTGATTATTTATTTATTCGTATAATATAAAATATTATATTTTATATTAAAATTTATATAAATATAAAAATATATTTATATAAATTTATATATAATAATTATTAAAATTTTTAATTATATTATTTTTAATGTTTTTTTTTTACATGGTGTCATCATATTTTAGATTAACATGTCTCACAATTCACACGCCCTTGGCACCAAGAAATGGTGAGACCTGGAGCCATATTTAACCTGCTGTCAAGCTCTGAAGACAAGCCTGCCTATAATATGATGATTGCCAAAAAAGGAAAAATCACGTCTATAAGGTAATGGAAGTTAGATGCGCAGGGTGGGTAAAGCATCAAAACATGCAGGTCAGCTGGTGAAAATCTTTTAAAGAAACTTTAAATTCATTTATTACGAGCACCCACCATTCACAAAAACATTCTTATGTGCTTTTCTGCAGCTAACCAAAACTCTCAATTGGAGTGTTAATATTAAATAAAGGGACTAATTGAAAGGCACCGTAGCCATCAACAATTTGTCTTCCATCACCAAATTCACCACTTCTACTCTTTCTTTTTTGGTTCATTCATTATTGGTTTCATGGCAGTATGGTAGAGAAGCTCTCCTGAAACTACAAACTTGTTGGGTGCGTGAAGTGGTGTGACTGTCAACAACACAAGCATTTCTATCCATCACTGAGTCCAAATGTTAGCCCGTCCCTTTTATTTTGGGCCAAGAAAGGCCCCATTGGAGATGGGTGGGTTGGTTGGGTTACAATGCTACCCACAAGCCGACAGCCCTTGTTCTTCATTTTTCTTTTCTGTTAAAGAGTATTTGATATCAGATAAATTCGTTTAAAAATTACAATGATTTATAGTCAATAATTATATTATTTTATTTTATAGTAATTTAAAAATTTTACATGATAATGATTTTAAATAATTAGGGTGATAAGATTATTATTCCAAGGAGTAATTTGATTTTCAATCTAAAAGATCAAAAAGTTTTATCATCATAAGAAAATAATTTTCAATATTATTTTTTAAATAATTTACTCTCATAAAAAATAAATTAACATTATTCAAGAAACTGATCACTAAAAATTTTAAAAATTAATTTTTTAATCACTTATTTTAAAAAGGTTTTATGTTATAAATTTGTATTCATTATAAAAAATACATATAATAAATCTTTTTAAAAATTATTTTTATGAAAATTGATTTATACTTTGTAATTTTCTACAAAATATAGTTGAACTATTTTATAATTTGTTTATTTAATAAGTATTAAATATTTTTATGATTTTTTTGGATATTTTGTACTATATAATTTTTTTCATATAATACCAATTAAAGTGATTTAAAAGCACTAATAATTTATAATATTATATCAAACATGATAATTTGATATCATTAAAAATTAAATTATTTTTTTGATCTTATTATCATAATAATTAAATCACCACGATAATCTTAAAAATAACACCAAACATTTCACCTAACTTAAGGTTATAAACAACCTTGTATGTATTAAAAACAGCCATATATGTAGTAGCTGTATTGTCATTTCTATATGTTGCACCTATGCTGTGAAATGTGAATAATGACGCAAGCATGTGGTATAAATCCTAAAATGTACAACTTTATAAATGAAATTTACAGCTACCCTGTCCTATTCAAATATAAATGTGTACCCAAAACAGCCGTGTATGTTTTTGTAAAATACTCCACAACTTATAAATGTGTACCCAAAAAAAGAAAATAAAACTTAGAAATGTAGGCCCACTTTGCTTGCATCCAGCCACCTTTAAATCCCCGTCAAGTTCCAAGTATCTATCTAACATTAATTTATGCGCGAAGAAATTTAAACCACCGATTTTTATTTTAATACGATATAAATTTTTATTTAATTTTTAAATTATTGTAGTTTATTAGATTTGATATTTAAATTAAAAAATTTTATGATCATATATCTAAATTATATTTTCACGTGTTAATTTGTTCCAACTGTTAATATTATTAATTCTAAATGTTTACGTAATATAAATATTTAATAAAACATTGATACGTGTTAAAAAAATTCAATTAATGTTATATCATCAATATTATGTCAACATTAAAATAAAATTTTTAAATAAATATAAAAAAGTCCTAAAAAATCAATATATATATATATATAATTCTTAATAAAAATGAGCTAAGGAAATATTTTTTATTGAAGAAATTCACACTAACAAAGCTTAGATGAAGATAAAACCTGAAGTGCTAAATTACCTTTTAAGTGTTTAAACAACTGCATTAATGGAAGCATCATTTAACAGAACAACCTCTGTAACTTTGATAGTTGCAACAGTCCCTAAATTAAAAAAAAAAAAAACTTTTTTTTTTTAAACAAAGAAGCATAATAATTGTGAAGAAAGTTAAAAACAAACTTGAAATTCTCTTTTAAAAGAATAATGATCCAAAATCTGGTTTTATAAAAAGGCGACAGAGAAAAGGCTTTTGTTTTCCTAGGCAACAGATATAGCAATCATCATAAAATAAATTTCTAAGATCAAATCGGACATGGAACAATACCCATAGCTTATATGAATTGAAAATTATTCAATGGCAAACCAACTGTTGTTGATGCCTGAGCATATTTTTTCATATTTTTGTTAGGATTTGCACTAAAAATTTGGACCTCATTATTCTTAGCATATAGTGTTTGAAATTAAAGCCTGCGTCAATGCTAATCTCCAGTATCTTTTTAGCCTATTTCTCTTAGTTTTAAAAAAATCAGTGACTTGTAACCTATAATATTGAATTCTTGACATATAACAAAAGAAGTTATAACTCATAACACATTCTATACAAAAAAAAAAAAAAAAGCCACATCCCTAAAAGGGAAACTACAAAATACCAGCCAAACAAAAAAAAAATTTTAACATTGAAATTGAGATTTAAGTTTGGATGTTTAGGATGGTTTTTAGACTAAATTTTTGGAAAGTATAAGAGCTTTGAGGAGAGAAACAACATAATAAAAAATGGGTGCCATCGGAAAAGTGAGATTCGATAAAAAAAATTTTTGGTCAAATCTAGGCTTCTATGAGTTTAAAAAAAAAAAATTAAAACTAAAACGTAAAAGAAGAGGTTGGAAAGAATCCATAGCTGAAATCTGAGTTTAAATTGATACTAGTGAAAGGCAACCAACGATGGTGGATGGCGGCCAACAAGGTGGCGAGCTACTGTTTATGGGTTTGAGAATGGTCGGTGTTCTTGAAGATTGAAAGTGTTTGAAGTTTTTTTAGAAAAAATGTTTTAAATGAATTGAAAAAAAAAAAACTTATGTTTTATAAAATTTTTTTAAACTTTTTAGATTTTTTTTGAAATTTTTTTTAATGCCGACATAAAATTGATGATGTGTTATTAATTGAATTTTTTAATATATATCAAATTTTTATTAAATATTTATACTATATCAACGTTAAAAATTAATGATGTTAACTATTGAGATAAATTAATTTAAATATCTGATTAAAATTTTTTTAATTAAATATCAAATATAATAAACTACTATAATTTATGGGTCAAATGAGATATTATCCCTTTATGTAAAAAACCATGCCTCAAAATAAAAGGGAAATTTTCACACTAAAATACCACAAAAGGCAAGTTTGTTCTTGCCTTAAGGATTTACATTTACAGCACCAGAAAATCATGCGTGGATTATTTTGCGCCGTCGATTTAGCATACCATAAAAAATGATTTCTAAAAAACCTTCCCCTAATATCAAAACGCCAAATCCCACTTTTTCTCTCTCTAAATGTCGCTCTCTTTCGCTCTCTAGACTTATTTTTTTGCTCTTTCTCTATCTCTGACTCAGTGTAACAAAGTCACTCTCTTCCACTCAACAGAGAAAAAGAAAAAACCATGCTGTCCCCAACCCCACTCTCTCTTTTGTGTGCTTTACTCCTCTGCTTGCCTTTAGCCGTTATTATTACTATCACTTCTCCGACAACCACCACAACCACCACTGTCTCCGACGGTTCCCAACCCAACCCAGTTCCAGATTCAGTCCCTGCAGCCAAAACCCACCAAAGATTCTCCTTTAAACCACCGTCTTTACTACTAGAAGATGACAAGTCACTCCTCCGAGTCGCTTCCCGAGTTAACTCCAAAACCCCTCCTGGTTCTCCTAAAAAGATTGCATTTTTATTCCTTACTGTAACGCCTCTTCCTTTGGCTCCCCTTTGGGAGCTTTATTTCAACCAAACCCCTAAAAACCTCTTCAATATTTATGTCCATGCCGACCCGACTTACCCTTATGAATCGCCGTTTTCAGGCGTGTTCGCTCACCGAGTCATCCCTTCAAAACCCGCTCTCCGATTCACCCCTACTCTCATCTCTGCGGCGCGGCGGTTGTTGGCTCACGCGCTGCTTCATGATCGCTCAAATTACATGTTTGCCCTTTTGTCTGCTTCTTGTATACCCATTCATTCTTTTAACTTCACTTACAAAACCCTAACTCGGTCCAAAAAAAGTTTCATCGAGATTCTGAACAACGAGATTGGGAGTTACGACAGGTGGGCAGCGCGTGGACCGGATGCGATGTTACCGGAAGTTAAGTTGGAAGATTTTAGGATTGGGTCCCAGTTTTGGTGCCTGACACGTAAGCACGCGAGGCTTGTTGTTGGTGACCAGTTGATTTGGGCAAAGTTCAATCAACCGTGCGTGGTTTGGGACACTTGTTACCCGGAAGAAAATTACTTTCCTACCCTCGTGCACATGCGAGATCAACGTGGCATTGTGCCAGCCACTCTGACTCACGTGGACTGGAATGGCAGCTTCGACGGTCACCCGCGCAAGTACACGGCGTCGGAGGTGGGGCGCCAGTTGATCGTGCAGCTAAGAAAGAATAAGCCTAGATATGGTGACGATGGAACCAACGACTCCGATTGTTCCGTGACGCAACGGCGTGACCCGTTCTTGTTCGCTCGAAAGTTCTCCCCGGATTCAATCCAGCCGTTGTTAAGTATAGCAAGTGATGTCATATTCAACGATTGATGGGATTTTTGTGTGTGCGGTCGTATCGTGTGAATGGGCTTGTTGTAAATTTTCTTTTTTCTTTTTACAGTCAAACATATTAAAAGGGAAAGCTGGGAAAGAACCCAGTGATTTTGTTTGTATCAATGTCTGCCTTTTTATTCGCGCCTATGTCTTGAGTGAACTCAGTCTGAGTTTCCCGATTTGCGAAAACAGACCTTTTTTTTTTTTGACGATTTTAATGTTAAAAAAATATATTTAAAAAACAAATACCATCAATAAAGGTTAATCCAAAATAGCAAATACTAAGCAGTAGTATGTAATTTATGATGTGCCAAACAGGGTGTTGGGATTTGGTGGAAACGAGGCTGAATTTACGGAGCCACAGCGATTTCTTTTGGGACGGGGGTGTTGGTAATCTTATCCATTTAATATTTCAAATAGTGACACGCGCCAGTACATCTGCAGCGATTTAACATTTTCATCAGCGATGTTGATTTGCTTCGCCAGGTTTTCAGATTTGACTGATTTTCAGGGGTAGTTATTTGTGACACGTGTTGCCACACGTGTGACTTAGTTATGAAATATAAATTTAGGGAGTATTTGGTTGTCATCGTACTTTTAATCCAAATCAGTTTTGCAACACTGTATTCATGCAAACAATAAAAAGTAAATACAGTGTTGCAAAAGCTCTGAATTAGTGAATCGTAAGATTCATTAAATAACATCATAGTAACAAAGAACCTTAGGAAATTCGGTTCTTCTTTGTCCGATTGTTGACTGTTGGCACTTTGGTACTTGGTAATAAGCATGTCTAAGGAATATGAAAGTTTGAAACCACATTTTGTAAAAAGATGAGAGGACTGCTGTTTGCTTTAGATTTGCTGATTAATGTCTCTGCTGCTTCTGCAGCTGAAGAAGCAAAAGCACCTTTACTTTCTAGCTTATTAATTATTACTTCATGGTAGCAGTTATCACCAAAAGCAATTGTCTGCTCAACCAATCCACAATCTTCATCGTCCTTTTGGACCCTGTTTGTTGTACATGTCTTTTTTTTTTTTTTTGACATGAAAAGAAGCATGAACATATTTTTAATTTGTATCCATTTTCATGCTTTCCAGGCCCATTGTTTTCTAAATAAAGCCCAACTACAGAATGGATTACAGGCTCTCTTTTCACACTCAGTAGCAGTCCCATTACCACAGTTCCACCTTTGGATTTGAAAGTCCAATTCATTGGGCTCGGCTGTTAAAAGACGAAATGGAAAAACAACATAAAACTCTGGTGCTTCTCCATTTAAACTCCCATTACATTGCTTCTTTTTCTTTTTTTAGCAAATTTATCTCTTTGATTCAAGCGACTAGGACTTGGAGGAGCAGGGTAATAGGTTTAAAATGCTAACATCAAGCCAGACTTTTTTTTTTTGGGCCAGAATATCAAGCAAGACTTGAAGTAATCGAATATTTATTTCTTCACGATTCCTTTCTCTTTTAAGTAGGATTCAACCCCTTCCCTAAATAAAGATGATCAAGCAAGCCCTCAAAATTAATCGGTCTAAATTTTTGGTCACACACCATCGTAAGATTTACAATAAAATTCCAAACCTGCCCAACATGTAAGTTTCGGTTGAGGGCTGCAATGGGCCACGTGGCTGATGAACATCAGAGTTATTCATGGATCGAATGGTCCATCTAAAATTCGCAAGACTAGCCATGTTCAATAATGGCTGAGATAACAATACAACTTTTGACCAAAAATCCAGCCTAGCGCAAATTAGTACTCAGATTTATTATTTGTATTTAAATAACAAATTAATTCAAAACATAAACAGAAAAATAAAAAAAGATTGGTAGTGGGACAGATCACCTGTCCTTAGTCCCAAAGGACCCACACACAACTGCTGCTGAGTTGACTTCTCATTGCCTTGTTAGGACAGGTACTAGTAAATTAGTAGGTGATCCGTCATGGCTTTACTACCCAACCAATTGCTTTCAAATTTCAGCATTTTTTTTCACCACCAGAAACCCAGGCTGCTATTAAAAAAACCGAGGGCATTTCTCTTAAACCATTCCCCAGCTCTTGAAAAAATCTTGCCCCTGACCACAGTTGCCAGGCTGCCCCTTTGGACTATACAATTCATGCATGAAATTAATATGACGAGCATATCCAAAAGAGAAAAACCCACCCAGTAAAAAGCACCTCAGATGCCATTATAAAAGTGTTTTAAAGTAGGCAGCTGTATCATTACTTAACAAAAGGAAAACGATAAAGATGCCATGAATGGTGATTGTGGTTCTATTCGAAAGCTTGTGGACGAGAATATGAAATAGAAAAACGTGGGTCATGGACTCGGTTCCCTGGGCGGTTATTTTCTACCGAATTCCAAACAAGACAACAGAGGTCTTTTTCAAAGCTATCAACATCATGATTCTTGATCTGAACTAAATATCTGATTCATGTCCGTTAGCTCGGCGAATGTTTGATTATGTTTTAATCTTATTCGCTTGATTTTTAAAAAGCTCATCTTAATCATGGAGCAGCTTGGACACAGCGGGGCCACCAAAATTCTGTGTGGACCACCATTTAGTTCCGGATTCCGATTCTCCTCCAGGCTCAAACAAAGAAAAGAATCTGCTTTCTTCTCTGTCAATGGGGCTTAAGAGGGCATGGGCATCCAATGCTTCCCTTTCTCCAAGAGTTCCTGCAGCTCCTGAGCCAGCAAATCTAAGGAGTTGCAGTAAAAGGGTATGTTTCAGGTAAAACCAAGTCCTTTCTCGGATGACTCCAGCATCCTTAATCAGCTGGAAAAAACTGAACTCTAGTGTCCTTGTCAATATATCATTTGGGGGCCGGGGGTGTTAATTTCAATTGATTTTTGACATCGAGGGCTCCAATCTGCACCAGACTAGACCGCATCGTTTTTTTTTCTTTATTTTTGATTAAACCTACCTCAATTATACTCTAAATATCAACTCAATTATTGTTATGACGACAATTTTCTAGGTTTTTCACCAGGTTACTAATAGAAAATATCAGACTCAATTTCTACCGTCAATTACCAGATCTATCCTCCATGTATAAATTTTATGTCAATCCCAATTTCTATTCAATCAATCTGGATGTTTATGTCGCCTAAGTTTAAACAATACTTATTAAATAGAGCATCCATCTGAATTAGAAAATAGGAGCATTGAACTCAAAGCAACCGATATGGTCAGCTATCTCATCAGTCAACCTAACATAATGAATTCCACCAGCATAGCTTGTCATGTAAATGAAATTAGAAGAAACATCAAAACCGAGCAGTATTACAGCATACTAATTTTAAGGAAAACCCCTCTTCAAATATGAATATAGATTCCACAAATATGAGCAGTGATCTCAAATAGCTGCCAAGATAAACAAATCAGGCATTTTGATTGAGAAGCTTAAATGCCTAAACCTAACTTTTTTGTCACTTCACCAACTAAATTGAAATCACTGGCAGACCTAAGCAGCGTGAGATGTTAAAAGTTGACATAATAATCTGCAAATGGTGACGAGAGAATAAAATTTTTTGGAAAATCAACCCCGACTAATTGCAACAACTACAGTCATTTTAATAGTCTTTAAGGAAAGGATCACACGATAAACATAAGAATGCCAACAAAATTCTAATATTACAAAGCACAAAGAGACATCACAATCAGATCATGAATCTCCCAGCATAAAAAATCCCCACAATCAGTATTAGAAAGCATTTGAGCTCAAGTCTTCTCTCTCCCCTCTCCTCCCCACTTTGGTGCACAAATTGCAGGAACAACATCATATAATCTCAATAGAAACGAAAAGAAAAAAGGGAAAGAAAACAAGAAAAGAAAATACAACAGATAGGCAAACAAAAGTCGTCTTTTATTTGAAGGAAAATCAGTAAGGAGTGTAGTAATACCCGGCTGGTGGCCCCATTCCATTGACTGGTGGCATTCCGTAAGGCATGATTGGCATAGGTCCAGGTCCATAGTATCCAGGATTGCTAATCTTTGCCAAACTAGCTTGGCCTTGCATCCCATCCCTTGCATATTGCTGCCATACTTGCTGTTCCTGGACAAGCAAATGTTGTTTCTTCTCCATGTCAGCCATTTGTACATACGAAGGAGGAGCAATGCTCAAAGATGCAGCAAATGGGTCCTGATTGACATTTTGAACTGTTCCATCTGGTGCAGGAAGAGCTAAAACTGGAGTTTTCCCTGGCCCTGGCAATGCCACGCTACTGGCACTCCCCCCACTCAACCGGGCAGTGCTAACATGCTGCCTTACCATTCCTTGATCGTACATGCCATTCAACAATAATGGATCGAGCCCACCACCCAAAGCTGCCTTTTGCCTTGACAAATTACTAGCTGACTCAACCAAAGCCAATTCCCAATCTGCCTTCCCCGGCTCAGCAGCTGGGGTTTGCCAAGCAGACGTCACCTCAGGCTGCCCATTTGAAGGAAAAGCTTCCCATGATCCATTACCATTATTAGCTGGAGGACCATTAAATAAAGCCAAAGCCAATTTGTTTCCCTGGTCATCAGCTGTGATAGCATCATCCCTCAAATTCACTAAATCCTCTTGTGGTTCTGGGGGTTTAACAGGCTCAGGCTCTGGTGGTGGTGGGGGCGTGTAATTCTCTGGAGGAGGTAGCGCCTTTATTTCATTCATATCTGGTTCAGGCTCTTCCTCTTTAGGTGGAGGAGGAAGCTCCTTCCTCTCTGGGCTCTTTGGCCTCTTAGCTCTATCCCTCACAAACTCCTCCAATGTCTCCAACAACTTACCCGTAATCCTCTGCACCTCAGGATACTCTGATGATCTAGCCACACCCATCTCCTTACACCACTTATAAAATGCAATCAACTCATCAATCTGCTTTGCTGCACTTGCATATGCATCAAATGCCTTAACACAATCCGGGTACTCCATATCAAAAAACCGATCAAGCAAGACAGCCAAAACCTCACAAATATCAGCATATAACTGAAAACTCTCTTTCACAACAGGATACAATGCAATCAAGATCATCCTACTATTCTTCGCCAATCCTGTAGGCCTACAAGACAAGAAACGATCTAACAACCTCTGCAGGTGATCCATCTTCCCAAAAATTCTCTCGGGCTTCATTTCCCTCAATGGGGTCACTGCTTTCTTCTCCTCTCTTCCATCTCTCCCCATTGCCTCACTCATATCACCATAGGACCTCGTTCTCCTAGTCATCCCGTAGTTTCCATATCCATTATCACCCCTGGAATCCCCATAATCATACTCGTATGGCCTTGGTGGCGGTGACCGGAAATTGTCTCTTCCACCGTATCTATCATCACCATTTCCATGACTACTCCCCCCAGCGCCACTGCCGCCACCACTTTTCCTATCGAAAAGCGTCAATTCAAGTCTTTGATCCAAATACATAGCATAAGTTCTTACAAAAGCCGAGTGATCCCAAGAACTTGAGTGAGCCTCATCTCTAAAATCCGACATATTCAACAACCTCGTACCTCTCCTCGTAGCATACAAGATCTCTTCTTGAAACACCGGATCTCCATCATTCATCAGCCTGTGAACAAGCATCAATGCTTTGAGTGCCACGATCCAGTCACGTGTCTTCCCTAGCCGTTTCGACACCGCCGACACGCACGCGTGAACATACCCTCTCGAGTAGGAGGTCAAATTCAGGATTTCTCGAATGTATTTCTGGTCAGCAGGGTCATCGTCGTGGCTCGTCGCTTTCACGATTGCTACCTCGAGGTCCGGCGCCATGTTGCTTGCTACCTTCGCTATTCCGATGCTCGTTTGGTCTTTAACAGCCCCAATCGCCTTTCGAATCGTGCTCGGTGCCATCTCGAACGTTTGATTTCAACCAAAATCACCTCCTTTTTTATTTTTTTTAAACTGATCTAACAGTATAGTCACTTTAAATGTTCAACTCCAAAGTAGAAATCTAACACATTTAATTAACGAACTCTAATTAAGATTAACTAAATCGTTCATGAAGTCCAAAAGTAAACGAGGAAAAAGAAAAAAAAAAAAAACATTTTCTTCCACTTACACTCTAGATCTGCGGCGTAAGACGGCGAAGAAACAGAAGCTTTGCCGGTCAGTCAAAACAGTGTTTGATCCGTTTAACTTCTTTCAGCGAAAAAAGACCAATTTAGCAACAAAACGGCGACGTTGTCTAGATTCTTTCTCTTCTCTGTGTAAGAAGAAAAGTGGAGTAGAGGACGGAGCAGGTGGAGGAGGAGGAAATAAAGAAAAGGTGGATTAGGTCCCTCTACGTGGAGAGATCAGGGCCGTTGGATTGGATGTAATGAAAGAGATCTGGTAAGAGGCAGCTATTTCTGCGGAGGTGTAGGAAGGGGAAGGGCGTGCGCTTGTTGTCCGAAAGGAACCATGCCATCCATGCTATGAACTTGCATTGGAGTAAAAAGAGAGAGAGAGAGAGATATTGGGTTTTGATTAGATGCTTTGCGGTGCATTATTTAACTTTGGCAATACCACCCGTACGGTTTAAGGTGATACCGACATTTTTTGAAAATAAAATTACTAAAATAGTAAATCAGTTTTATTATTATTATTATTATTTTTTACGATTTGTTGGTAGTGTGTCGCGATCCGTATGGTGGTACGTTGGATTTGAACATAACTTTTTAAATTATATTTTTGTTTTGGAATGCGTTCCTAATTTAATTAAAAACAATAACTAATTAAAAGCAGAAAATATAAAATATATAAATATATAAATGATATATTTGATATATAAAATTATGAATAAAATAGAATGATAAAAGATTAAATTATATAATATTATTTTATTTTTATATTTGATGTCATAAGAATTAAGAATATGATATGATGATTTTTATTTTACATTATGTTTGTTTTGTGTAAGATTAAGAGAATGATAAAATAATTTTTTAGTTAAAATTATTATTTTTTAAAGTAATAATAATTTAAATTTACAAAGTTTTTACATAAATATAATTTTAAAAACTCAATTAAAAATAGATGTTCTATGATAATTTCTATAAATAAGAGTTAAATTTATTTAAAATTTTAAATTATATTCTAAAAAACTATTTTTAAAATTTTTATTATTATCAAAAATATTTTTCACTATTTCCCTTTAATTTTTTCTTTTTTAATTTGTTTCCTTTTTATAATTTAAATTTAGAATAATCCTATACGATTGAGATCTAAAATTATTTTTATAAAATGGTTTTTTCAAAAAAAAATAGTTGAGTTTTTTTTTAATTATAAAAAACATAATTTATTTATTTTCCTTTTTTCTTTTCTTTTATTATCCCTACCAGGAAAAGGGAAAAGAGGATAAATAAAAGAGGAAAAAAGAAAATAAATAAGAAAAAAATGAAAATAAATAAGAAGAAAATATCTTTTTAAATTTAATAATTCAAAATTATCAACTAAAAAATATTTAATTTAAAATAGTTTTATGATTAAGAGTTAAAATTATTTTTTCAAAAATAAAGTTTATATAACAAAACTATATTTTTTATTTATTCTAAAAAAAGAAAAAAGAGAAAAAAGAGAAAAACAAAAAAAAAAAGGAAAAGGAGAAGAAATAAGAAAATGAAAAAGTGAAAAATTTTTTTTGATTAACTAATTAAATAATTACATTTTATAGTTTAAATATTTAAGTCAAAATTTAAATATAAAATAAATAATTTAAATGCATTTATTATCTAATCTCATAAAATTAAAAATAACTTTTTTCTTAAAAAAATGATTAAATTTTCTTATATAAAAAAAATAATTAATCTTCTTTGACTCTAACTTTTTTTTATATATACATCAAATATAAAATAAAATGATCCATCCTATTTTATTCTTAATCCCATGCCCATACAATATTTCTATAAAACTATATTTTCATTGTTTAGCTGGGGGCATCGAGTTTGTTCGAAATGTAAAGATTTATGTGGAGTTTGTTGCTGTGGTCAACGAAATTTTACGGCTGATACTAAAAGAGTCTAATAATCAACTTTTTCTTTTTCTTTTTTTTTTTTCCTTTTGGTGATGTCCAAGGGTAGACCAGGAGTTTAAAACTCTAGAGTGTAGACTGAGTTATAATTATGACTAAATTTCATCATTTTTATCTGGAAGTCAAATTTTGATCAGGACAAATGAAGAAAAAAAAGAAAAAAGAGAAAGCTTGTCATCATAGAATAAGGTGGCCTCTAGAACAGGAAATTGTGGGTTGACGTCCCAGTCTTCGGTTTGTATTTTGCTGGTTGACTACTTGGTTATTGGCAAAGAGAAAGAGAGAGAGTAATCTATATGCATTTGTGGGTTCTGTTCAGAATTGTAAAGAAATCGATTATACAGTTATACGAAAACCAAAAATGGGTGCATCAGAAATTACTAAGAACAAAACTTTCCAATGAAGAAAGTAGTTCAGTTTACCATCGCTTGAAGTAATCATTGTCTTTGGCCCTTGTGTCCTCCATTAATATGAACAAAACTTTCCAATAAAGATCATCCCAATATGGATCTAAACAATAATTTGATTTCAATTTCTCTTTTAATTTCAACTATTTTTGATGAATCTGATAGATTTCTTTTATTAACAGAAACTTGTTTGTGTCAGGCTATACCAAGAGAAAAACAACAGTATATAAAACAAAGAAGTGAAAATAGAAAAAGCTTCTATACAGAAAGTGGATGTTTCTGGTTAAAGCCTTTAGTAAAAGCAAAAATAATTTAAAGGAACAATGATGTTAAAGTGAAAGCGTCCCAAATCTTTGATTTAATGATTAAAATGTTCTTAAAAGAATATATTATTTTTTTTATAAACTATGTTCATGTCATGTAAGAAAGAAAAAAAAAAACCTGACAAAAAATGGGAGAGGCCCAAAATTCCAAAACACAAAGCTCAACACAAGTCTATTATATATTCCACTATGATTGATTTTTAAGGACTTTAACTGGGGGAAGCTTTCTTAAGTTGATATATTCATGGTCCGTTTGGTTGGTGTTATTAGTGTTTTTTAAATAAAAATTTAAAATGAACCAAGTTCATTATTGGGAAAAGCAAAGATGGTCCCGGATTTCCGGGTTCAGTAACATCTAGGCATCAAGAAAGGTACAAAAGCAAAGAAAAATAATAAAATGAAAACCACTAAAACCCAACTTCATAAATTCTACAACAGGGGATGATGGAAAGGTAAGAGAGCGATTGCATGATTTAAATATAATAAAGCTTGAGATAGCCACATGAAGCGGACATAAAGCTTACATTTAAGTCTTCAACTATGTCCATTTATGTATGGACATGGTTCAAGTTTCTGCTCGCCATTCCAATCATAGATTACACCACATGGTCATGGTACTACTGTTCATAGCTGGCCCTTTAAATGCCAAGGATGTCCAAAGAAACCTGCTTGACCACAATGTTATCTATGTTTATAGAATGATGCAGTGCAGAGGCATTATTCAGGATTTCATTAGGCACATATAATACAGCAGGCAGAGCCTGGAGCGGGACCTATGTTAGTGGTTTCCTTGGGGAGTCTCTGAAAATTCTCATGTGATCCTGAGGATCCTTTTTCCACCATAAGTAGAATATGGAAGACATTATCACGAGCCCAGCCGCAGCTCCAATTACAATTCCAACAATTTGTCCCATACGTTTGCGAGTGGAAGTGACAGCAGCACCTTCAGATACTGAAAAAATTTTAATGACATATGGTAGGGAACTAAGATAAACCAGGATGCAAATTGAAGGAAAGATTGGAGATGATATGGAAAAATTAACCTTGAGATGCGTGGATTGCTGATACTAAGGGGCCATATGTGCTTTGATATGGAATGCAACAGGTGCCTTTTCCAGCCCAGAGGAAGTGAATTTCCATGATTGTGTTTGTCACATTTGCCTCAAATTTTCTTATCAAGGCTTTTTTGGATCCACCAGCCTCTTTCTGGATGTTTAAATCTTGAAGAACTCTATCACCCTTAAGCAAACCATTTAAATTTAAAGTGTGATGAAGATAAAAAGGGGAAAATAATAAAACACTGTTGTGATTGAAGCCTACATATCTACCATGTCAATAGCTCTAACAAAAACTAGAGGTGATGACAAAATGAAGAAATCAATCATGTCAATAATCTGCAACTTGAAACTGAAAAAGTTAGATTTTTCCACCATACCTGGATGTACACATCAAATAAGCGTCTCCCCAGACCTTTCCAAGACACAGTGTCATCCATTTCTATCTCTGCAAAATGAAGCTCAACAATGTATTTTCCATTCTTTAAACCAAGGCCATAGTACCTCAAAGAGCTAGGTGAAATCCTTGCTGTTATATACAGCTCTGATTCTAAAGTTCCTGTGATCTGAGAATCTGTCTTTGCAGTATATCTATTTCCATTTGGGTTTGAAATGAAAATTCCAGCACTGCTTACTGCCCATTGATTGTCAGTGTTTGTGAAAAACGAGGCAGCCCCGAGTATTTCAGAGTCATCATCAAATTCAATGCCAGAAGCAGATTTTTGGGCTGTACCTCCACACTTGATAGAAAATGAAGCTGCACAAAGAAAAAAAACCTTGGAATTATCATGAGCAAATAGAAATATATGGTGCACGTGTATATATTTTGTCATATCATAATTTCTTTTATGACAATATGATTGCTTCATTTCTTTATTCTTGAATTGTTCAAATATTTATACTCAATATTATAACTACTCATATTTTTAATTCCTATGTACAAATCACTTTCAACCATTATTCAACGCTTAAGAATGTTAAAGACATAAATGAGAAGTTGAAAGGCTACACTCACTGGATGGAACCTTGTTTTTGCACTTGGTTTTGCCTTGGAGGCACTCCAACATCCCAGAAACCTTGCTGTATTCATCATCATTGGCATGGTTTTTCAAAACTAGTTAAAATATCTGAAGAAATTATTAAATGTAACTGGAACTTTACGTGGAATTATCTACTTATGGATACATTTTCTCTTAATTGATGGAAAAGTATACAAGCTTTGCTAATGCATATTGGATCTAAGGGAATGACTATTAGGGAGGATTCATGTTCATCATAAAATCTGCATGCACACAGACAAACAACATTCTGATGTGCACATCTTGTGCAGACAACCATTAAATGGTTGGAAATAAGAGAAAATTCCTATATATTGTGAAGGAGAAGAAGAAACATCATGTACTGTAATAGTTTTCACTATGATAGTCCAATCAAGAGTGCAAATGGATCAAATCATAATAGTTGTCATTAATAGTAGGAAGTATATAATAGGAGATAAAAAGATTAAAATGAAACTAATAATGGAAAAAGTTTAAGATAAAACATAAATATATGGATTTATATATGTGTTAACCTGTCCTGTAGATCATTTGCATTGATAGAAGTTCCAACAACATTCCTGAAAATGAAAAAAGGTAAGTCAGTTATTATTCAAACAGAGCAGCAAGAGAACATCAACGAACATTTGGTCTCAGGATTTACTAAAAGTGATCACTGTTTGATTTTAAACATAATGTTTGCCCACCAATAGAGGTATCTCTGCATGTTAAAAAGGAAGGGAAACTTACATTGATTTCACCTTAGCAAATTGTCGAGGTAAATTTCCAGAAAGGGGATTGAATGAAACATCCCTGCAATGAAGCAGTCAGTATCCATGAGAACGAGATGTGTGGTTGAAGAACGCAAACAAAATTCTAAAATCCCATAATAGGAGGGTTAATTTTTTTATTCTCTAGGGATGTGGTTCGTTAGGGATTGGATAAAATAGATAGTAGCTAAAGACATGATCTTGTCTACCAAAATGCTGCGTATAGATAGTAGCCTAAGGTCACGTGAAGCAACTTGAAAGCACTCTAAAACTAGTAACCATTGACATAACTCTCCCCTATTATGGAGATACCAGAATAGCTAAAAGCTTTTGATATCTGGAACAGCAAAATTGTAGCTAAGGTGAAATTGAACTCAACATGACACTTACAATGCAATAAGCTCTAGAGTTATGATGTCTTCAGGCAACTCCCCACTCAAGTTGTTGTTTCCAAGATACCTGATGAGAGATATATAATCAGATTCAAATGGACTGATGCAGCATCTGCATTTCCCCCACTACGTACAGGAAAGAAATTGCCTCAGGAAAATGGAAAGCTGAGGTGTTTCATTTAACAGGATAAATTTTCTTGATACCCTTATTTCTCTAAGTCACTTAAGATTTTGTGCAAACTAACTTTTCAATCAATTAAGCACAAGGAAGAGATCGGTAAAAAATTTTCAAATGAATGCACACCGAGTTATTCATATTTCTATTCTCCAGGATCCTTCGGATTTAGGATGGAAAATCTAATAGATAAAGACATGATGCGTTTGGAAGCTGTGTCAGAACTAGAGATGTCCACAATGAGTCACATCCTACCAAGTAGGAGGGTATAGTCTTTCCTTGATGACAATATAGGAGAGTGAGGAGATACAGATAGGAACTTACAAAAACTGTAAGGAAGAGAACCCCTGGAAAGAGGTTGGTATTTGACCTGTCAACTTGTTGAAACTCAAGTCCCTGAAATCATGATTTTATTTAGCTAAAAGTGAATGAACAATTAAATTGCTTTTAATGCACAGAAAGAAGAAAAATGCAGCGAAACAGTAGTGCCTCCTTTTCTGTAAGGAAAGAAAATTGAAAAAAGATAGAGATCGCATTGACCTGCAGATAGCTAACAAAATGAGTTCATAATAAGAAAGACTTACATGTATTTCAATTTGGTGAATTTGCCAAGACGTTCCGGTATTTGTCCCGACAGTAGGCAATCTCTCAAAGATCTGCATTCAAGATTGTAAGTAGCAGAAATATGACAGCAATTACAGCAGTGGAAAAATAAGAAAAAACTCTTTATAGATTCAATAACATGCAATATAAATCTCTTACAGTGTGGACAAACTTGTTTGGTTGTCCAAAAAATCAAGAGAAGAATCTTCCCCATTGAGATCACCAATTCTCCTATATATAAATAACAAACATGAATCAAACCCACAAATTGAGCATGATTATTTCCGGTGAGTCATGCACAAATTATATAAAATAAAAGGCACCACTGCAACATGCCGATGCTCAATTTGTCATCAAGTATAAGCTACTGTGACTTAATATCAGACCTGTACTTTCTAACAGAATTAAACTACTGAAAATAATCAATCAAAGTTTTCTTATATAGAAAGTAGAAGTTATCTATAATCGTTGGAATCACACTGTTTTCAAGTAAAAGGCCTTACAGATCCTCCAAGTTAGTTAGAGCAGCGAAACTGCTTGGGATTGGACCTTCAAGAGATGTCCCTTCAAGTCGCCTGTCAATTAAAGAAAAATCAACAGTAAATACTACAATGGAGTATAACTTCAGAAGATAGCATTACATGGCTAAATGAAAGTGTGCATACATGTCTCTGAATTCTGTAAAGGTCCCAAAATATTCTGGCAGCTTCCCAGTTAAGAGATTATCAGATGCCCAGCTGAAATAGGTCAAAATGAAAAATAAGCTTTCTAACACTTCCTTTCTGTTTCTAATATCAAGGAGATCTATTTTCAAAAACTGTTCAATAATCAATAGAGAAGTACAGAATCTGAAGGGATTTCAAATTTGCAAATTCTTGAGGGATTGGTCCACTCACTCCACTGCTATCAATATATCTGAAAGGAAAGTTTGATAATCAATTAGAACTGAAAGCAAATCGAAACGTAATAAGTTAATATTAACTCTAAAAGTGGTGCTAGACTATAAGTTCTTATATCACAGCATAATTGAACTAGGCTGCACCTATGTGCAAGCTGAGACAGATAAGAATTCAGTGCTTCCCATCTCATATCACCTAATTTGTATTCAATCCATGAACATGCACAGACATCCAACAGACTATTAGAAAATTTGGTGAATTATCACTGCCCATCTATGGTTTTCCAGGTCTTGTTAAATAGATCAATTGATAGTGATTATCAAATAAGTTATTACTCCTAAGAAAATATCAGCTTCTTTTTTTTCTTTAACAAACTGGACTAAAAAGGAACCCAAATCTAACTTTCAGGTTACCCTACTTACAGCTGTTGCAAAGATGTCAAACTTCCAAGCTCTTTGGGTAACGGTCCAAAGAAATTGTTTGAGCTAAAACTTCTGCAACATATACAGAAACAAGAAGTTCAGGATTTGCAGTAAAGAGCTTAATATTAAAACAAAAAAACGGAAAAAAATTCAAGAAACTGCAGATATGAACTTAACAGGGAAAGCAACTTGGTTAAATTGCCAAGCTCTGAGGGCACTGCACCTGTGAGATTGTTTATGCCAAGGCTACTGTTGATTGTCCAAACAAAAAGACATCAGTGATAGAAGTTCCATTACATATAAAACAAATTTGGACTACATATATACATTAATCCTTCAAATCCATAGGCTCAACAATAAAATTCAAACTAGCAAGTTATAACAGTTACAGGTATTGCATTTTTGATAGCTGTCCGATTTCACCAGGAATGGACCCGTTTAACACATTCTGACCTAGGTTCCTGTATCATAGTTAGGATGTCAGAGCAATCAATTTAAAAAATGGCTTTAAAGGGACTAAAGTTTCAAATTGTCTCATACAAGTCCATCAGCTCCTTAAGCTCAAACAATTCTCCGGGTATCTCACCCTTAATATCCAAAGCATATATCTTCCTGTAAATTTTTAAAAAAATCAGGATAGTAAAACTAGTAAAGCAGAGAAATGATAAAGATAACGATCATGGTGGTGCTTGTAAGCTGACAAATGGGTGACATGGCAGGGACTGCTATAGCAGTCACAGGCAACACGAGGATTTGAATCCTCCGAGGTCCACGGTGCATTCTGGCTGCAGGGGTCAATGGTTAGATTGATCTTACTTCCCAAGTTCCAATAATCTAAGATCTTGCTGAGTGCAGCCACTGAACAAAAAAAGCAGATAAGAAACTCATATATAAGTTCAGTTGAAATTATATGATACCACCCATAATCAAGTAACAGCTTGCTTATAGACCTTCATTTGGATCAGTGGTTTGTTGTGCTGAAACAAGCTGAAGCAACCCAAGAATGAGAAAAGAAAAGCTAAGAAACCCCATAACTGAGTAGCAGTGGAAAACATGCACACACTAGAAAAATAAGTACAGAGGACAAGGCCGGCCATACAATTTAGTCAATTTACAAATTACAAATGAAAGAAACAGAACGGAGAAAGAGATGGATAATGAAGATTCTTAAGTTTATGTAAGAACAAGGACAAAGCAGATTAAGCAGAGTCATTATTCAGTAGTCTTTTTTTTACTACCAATATTCAAAAGTATTACTCTATATGTAAGCGTAGACCAAAACCAAGTCATCCAAAATCTAACGGATATTTTACCTCCGAGGGAAAAGCTGATACTTGTATTTTATTGCTTGTTTTAGTTTCTTCGACGTTAACATAACAACTGCCCCTTTGTACCATTTTCGACATAGGCCATCAAGATTAAAGAGAGGATCCAAACCCAAATCCCAAATTTGTTTGTGAGTCCACCTAAGGCATCTCAAGCGTTTAAAAGTCAAGTTGGTTGCCATTTTATCCAGAACCAGAAAACAAGGGTTATAGCATTCATGACAACGTTTATTATAAAATGACGTCTGAATTTTGTATATATAAATAAATTCATACCTGTTTTTTCTCCTTCTCTAACTCTCTAAAACTTCTATTGTGAATGCTGAAACATACTACCTCTCTGCTTTTTCCCATTCACCATTGATATATATTATTTTCCCTGAAAAATCAAGCTTAGATCTGGGTGCACTCTTGCCCCAGTCTTCAAGAATACATTAAAACAATAGGCAAAGAAAAAAAAAAAAAAAACTAAGCCACCATATCTCAAAGAATCAGAAAACTAATTTGTATATGTAGCAGTAAATTTGTTGTTTTTGAAAGCTAAACTGATTGTCTTCATATAGAAAGAAAAATACTCTCAAATTGAAGAATTAAAGCCAACATTGTTTTATTAATTTTTAAAACTAATCGAAATTTCATTCAGTTTTCAAGCAGAAAAAAGGGTATAAAGTATAAACACTAAATCCTAAACCCTAAACCCTAACAAGAAATTCGAATAAGGAATTCATTTTTTTTACCTTTAGCCTTTTACTCAAATCGTTTCTGATTCCATTTTTACCCTGTTTCTTCGGCGTAGTTTTTCGCTTTACAGTTTAAATTAGAGCGTCAGTGAATCTGCACTTCTCGTGAGTCGTGATAAGTGCATCACTTCTCATAGACGAAGTACTTATCACGGATGATAAAATTCAGACATGTTTTTTCTTTTAATTAGTTCATGCTGACGTATTTAAAAATATATATACAAGCTTATTTTAAAATTTTTAATTTATTAATAATAAAATTTCCAGTTACTTATTAACAAAATGTGAAGCTATTACTTGACCCAAAAATTATTACTTTCTGTACCATTTTACTTTGTCAATGTTTAATTTTTGGGTTAATGTTATAAACTATCATTAAATAATAACAAAAATATTTAATATGATATTTAAATTTTAAAAATTTTAATGTGATATTTAAATTATAAATATAATAATTAATATAATATTTATTTTTAAAGTGAATAATTGTAAATGATGATAGGTGATGTATAATAATTATTTAAATATTATATTAAATAATATATTTATAATTCAAATATTTTATTAAAATTTTTAAAATTTAAGTATAATATTTAAATTTCACATAATTTAGGGATGATTTATAGTATTAATTTTTAATTTTTTTATCAAACTAAAATTTAAAAATTATTTTTAAATAGTATATCAAATTAAAAAAATATTTTTGAAAATTTAGAACTCAAAATTTACAAATTTTATTTTTTAAAATTTTATTAAAAATAATTATCAACATTAAATTTATTTGACTCAAAAAGTATAATAAAAATGAAATAAAGTGAGTATATTATAAATCGTTTGTCATTTATATATAAATTTTTTTGGTACATGAAATATTGGGTGGAAATATAGAAATCAAACTTCAGTAATATTTTGGAAAAAAATTTGTTTGTAGATATTCGATTTTTTTTTTTTTGTGATTATAAATAAATTGTTTCCTATACATTGAAATTGTTTTTTTTTTCATATTTTAATACTAATACCTTTTAAGTTTTAATTAATTCAAAGATATTTTAAAATTTGAAATTAATTTGCATAAATTAGTCTTATTACTTATGAAGAATTTAAGACTAATTGATTGTAAAATCTTTCTTTCTCGTAAATGTTAATCCTTCATAAGTGATATAATAATTAAGATAAATCTTGAATTTTTCTTATAGCAACTTAGAAAATATAATAAAAAAGAACTAAAATATTTTTAATTTATCACTTACTAAGATTTTTAAAATTTAAAATTAAACCATCTTTACCTTATCGTGCACTCCAACTTTCACACTAAAATTTATAAATTAATTCGAACATTTGATTCAATAATATAAATGTGTCCTCATACAAAAAAAAAAAAATCAATTCAAATAAAAAAAATGTGATTTCCCCAAACTTCGAAAGTGTAGTTTAGAAGTTAGAAGTATAGTAAATTCCCCGAATCTTAAAATGAAAATAAAAAATTTAAAGGTAGCAGTTCAACATCATTTGAACAAGCAAAGTAACTAACAATTAAAAGCAAGGTCACAAACATGATTAACATGAAATTACTTAAACCAGGTTCAATACATCAAATAAAGGCTGATCTAATTAACAAGCTAATTGTAATTTGTAATTAATTATGCTTCACTCATCTTGTCCTTGCTAGACTATATATATATATATATGCTTTCACACTTGATCACTTATTTTAAAGTCGACTGTAAATCAAATAAAATTGATCACCCCGAGTTCCTTACAATCTCCAGCCGCTGCACCGACCTAATAAAGGTTCTGCAAAACCAACCATTAGCTTTAGTTTTCTTTTTCTTTTTGACTAATTGTTATATTTAACAGAGATGAAAAGTATACTTACTGCCATGGAATATCTCCTGCAATCAACCAATCTCCTTCTTTGTCTTGGTAGGTGAGAGTATAACGTCTATAATCATCTTCATCAGATTTTTGACCTGTTCATAAGAGGAGGAGAAAAAAAATCAACAAAATGTTGAGATTTTGGGTGCTTTTTAATTTTGGATGAATTTTTTGTTGTGATTATATACTTACGTTTGGCAAACATGGTGATCAAGGAGTTGGTGAGTGATTGATAAGAGTGATAAAGCCTCATATCAATCTTTCTTGCTATTGCTACTCCTTCCATCTTCACCTTGACATAAATGGATCTACCACCATTTTCCTTCTCTGTCGCCCGGTTGTTCTCAATCCTGCCAGCTTGATTCTGGTGGAACATTTTCTTCCTCCATGACTTGATGGGTGGCCACCCCACAACTTGATCTTCCTCAGCATCATTCCTAGTACAATTCAGGAGCAACTTAATTACCTTGTGCTAGTTCATGTTTTTTGGGTGGAATCAATTAAAAGTTTTAATTATTTTATAAACTCAATTGTAATTAGTTTCAACCTAGAAAACGAATTAAAGAACTATACTTACTCATCAATGGTGGAAGAAGTTCTTTTCTTTTGATCTTTATGATCTTCTTCCTCGTTTGGCTGACCACTCCAAAGAAGCAAAGACGTTGCTTTACACTCTTCTGTGAAGTTTGCAAAAGCCTGCTCAAAACTACGTTTGTTTTTAACACAATCTTTGTCTCCGAAGCGGCCACCATTGTAGTTCCAACCCCTCATTTCTTTCAGCAGATCGAATCCACGGTTGTTCAAGTCGAACCCCTTGGTTTTGTTTGGAGTTGGGAGAGCAAGACCAAGTTGGAGCTCCATATCAGATATGGAAATAAAGTACAAATTAACAATGTTAAACCCAATAAAATATAAAGAAAAGCTAGAGAGATGGCGCTTAAAGCGAATGGAGTTTCTTCTTGAAGGTAAGGAAGTGTTTATATATATATATGGGAAGGAGAGAAAGGAAACTGACCTATGTCTTGTGAAGGAGAGGAAGTTAGGGACAGCATAGAAATTGGGTCGGCAAAAAGCCTAGCAGTGATCCGGACAGGTAAGGAAAGGAAGCACCAACTTGCCAGAACCGCCAACCCCAGGCTAGTTCCAAGTTTTCACCCTTTTCTCTGTCCCCATCAATCACCAAACTAAGCTCTCTCTCTCTCTATACATATCAAACTGTTTAATTAATATAATCTAAACAATCTAAATCCAAAATTGACTGTTATTATAGTTTGTGTCAAGCTTGAAAAGCACTATTTGCTTTGTTTCAGCTAGCATTTGCAGTGTAAAAACCTTTACCACAGTAAGTTATGCCTGCTGATATTCCCAGGAGATGATCCTTCTTGACAAGAGTCCATATTAAAAGTTTGATTAAGTAAAAAAAGCTCGAATGGAATTTTTTTTGGCACTTGACACTGATTGAATTCTGGTTATCAGAACAAGTGTCCAACACTTATCAACAGATCAGACGGCTAGGGACAACTCAAAGGAATTATTGGTGCAACAGGGGATCATTTTGCCCTTATAAAGTGAAAGAAATTGGCCTTAATTACTTTGCTGATGTATTTCAAAGAGCTCTAATTTCTTGGATTATGTCTATAACAGAATCACATTGAACCAGCCAATGTGCAATCATTGTCCTCTCTTTTATATTATTATATCAATTTCTCTATTTTTTTGAGTTCATGTGGTTATTTTAAATTGAAGTAAACTTGACAGTATGCAGTTTCAAAAATATTGTTCGTGCACATGAATTTAATTTCTAAACACGTGCCAACATGTCGGCAGAGGAACCCCAAACACATCATGATGCATGAACTCTCTCGTTCAAGAACATGCATACTACCGAGCCCGAGCGTATTAAAACATTCTGTTGATCTTCTTCCCTTGTAATGATTCTGATACTAAACTCTTCTCCATTAAAATAATCTCGATTCTTTTTGTCGGACTTTCGTTCCACAATTGTAGATCAATAATAGGAGAGAGACAGAGGAATGAAACATAGACAAAGTAGCCAACAACATATCATACGTTTGGTATGTGTTTTGTTAGTTTCTTTGATCACATTCAACTATGGTAGGGTTGCAAAACTAGGGCGTGAAGTACTTGTTTGGGAACATGGAAAGGGTTCCCTTGTGAAGTTCACGTGATGGCCGGCATTGGGTCGACATGTTAGCCCCGAACGCTGCACGGCTAGCGTGGTTTTAACACACATTCAAACCAGCCCTCGGAATTCTTCGAGTTCAGTCCCATCATGATTCAATCTGGCTTGGATCATCATGCTCGTGTGGTGGAACCTAACAGGAGGATAGACGCACACCAAATTTTACCCATGATTTACTGTCCCTTTAGCTGGCATTCTCACATAAATTCAAACGCGTTGTACCTCCAAACTCGGTAAAATTGTGGAGGATTTTCACAATGTTGAGTTGGTTTGAGTTTAACAACACCAAAACTATGTGCTGGATTGATTGGACGTTGTTTGAGCAAGTGGAGTACGAAGGCCAATTCAATTATAGAGAAAGTTCCAATTCCACCACTTGGCCACCATTCTGAAGGACGACTACCTAGGCTTCCTTTGGATGCACAATAAGAGTAGGTTTTACCCGCGCTGGAATGACATTGAACCCTTGATAACCCTTAATTATTATTATCGTACCAATTCGAAGTTGGTTGTACGTATTATAGTTTAAACGTGCAACGCAACTTCCTTCTCAGACACCTTCCGTCACTTCAAGCATACCATTCCAAAAGAAGGCTATGCCGTGAAGGGGTAGAACCTGCAACTTTCTGCTCTTTGAGGGGTTAGTTTACTTGACTATCAAGCATTGATATTAAGAAGTCAAATTTTCATTAAAGAAATGATCAACTAGAACACCTTTAAAGCGTGGCAAAATCATAGTTTCATCGGAATTAGCCTCCTTAAAGCAGTCCAATTCCATAATTTTCAAACCAAGCTTAGTTATCAATTGACCGCATCTAACTGTCAAAAGTTACCTACCTCGATGAATCACTCTCCGATCTCCAGCAAGGGGCAAGGTCCCACAAGCTAGGAACGCAAGTGGGGATGCTTTATGTACCCCCTAAAGCATTCATTCATGTTTTCTTATCTCTCAAACAAGGTCCCCCTTCGAGGGATCAAAGCATCCCCGAGCAATAACGGCTATTTAAAGGAGAGAGTCCTCTTTCCCTGGCAGAGATGATAAGATTCTATTCAACAGATAGTGACTACACTTGTAAAATTCAAAGTATTTTGTTGTAATTTAAAGTCTCTTGTTCATTATTCACTCCTTCAAGATGACCCTCGCTTTCATTAAAAAAATGCAACCTTCTCATATATGTGTTGGGAGGACACTCCTAGAAACAATGTCCCCAAAATTTCCTTCTAAATTCAACTATTTCAAAGTCACACGTGGGGGAGGGGGGGCTCACCTTATCTTTAGGGTACATTTCCTTTGTTATGGGTTAGTACTACTGCCCTTGTATATGCACTGTTTAGTTGCTGCTGGCTGGCTTCATTGAATTGTAATTGTGACATATTTGCAGCATCCAATGTGCTACATGTGAATGAGACCCAGCCCACCCTCCATTCTTGTTATTGTTCATCTCTTTACATTAGGTTTGAATACCCTTTTCTTCTCTTTTTTTTTTTTTTGCTCTGTTTAATTCAAAGTCAATATTCAAAAAGATTACGCAGTAAAATTCAATTTCATTTCCATCATTAGTGTTTGATTTTCATCAAGCAGCCGCAAAAATGTCAAGTTCCTGAGGGGGGGTTGGGATACAAAGCACAAACAACATCATTCCGTTTTGTTTTTGCGTATGATTTGGATCATCCTTGCTTGGTCCATTTACACTAATTTCGTGTTAATCTTGCTTTACTTTAACCTCTAATTACACTCCATCCTTCAAAAGTCATATTTCAATTATGATTAATGATCATTGATCACCCTGCTAAATTAATTTTAATCTCTATCAATCTGTGTTTAATATTATTCATTTTTTTACGAATTTTATTGATCTAATACTTTTTAATATATTATTTATAATAAGCATTATATGAGTAGTTATTTTTTTTTATTTTAATCATTAAAATTAAAAGTTTAATATTTTATTAATAAATTATATATTTATTGACAGTTAATAGTTAGTATTATAATTTTAATGTGTTAAAAAAAAACATAATACACCATTTGAAAAATAAAAAAATGCTATCTTAATGTATATCGAGAAGAGATCAATGTGCTTAAAAAAGAAAGTGGCCAATGTAAAACCTCAAAATTTGAAAAATCTCGGCCTTGAGCCCTTCAATTTCCACTATAGTTAGAGAAAATTTGGGGTGAGTTTCAAAGCAAATGTCCATAGAAACTACATGCATGTTGGCCACTCAGGGAAAATAATGTTCAAGGACCTCATATGACACCCTTCAACATACTTATTTCTAAAGTGAAAGATGTTTAAAATTAGAAAGAAGAAAGAGAAGTTGAGGAAGAAAGTTTAATTCCTAAGGTGGTAGTCATCTAATGGAATGAGTATTTACTTGAATGAAGTCATTGGCAACTCCTCGTTATCCTCTCTTTTTGCCTTTCTCATTGTCCCCTTTTTTGACTTTTTATTTTAGGTTTTCCCCCAAAAAAAGGGATGGACCTAAAAGGAATTAAACCTTTTTTACTTTGAATTTATAATTGTGGAATTCACCTAATGCTCAACATTTGACCATTAGGTTAGAAGGTCAAATATATACTTTATCATATATTTTAATTAATTTTAAACTCTTACTATACATATGAGTATATTTATATATCTATAAATTCATATATAGTATAAATTTTTTTTTCCGAAATTATAAGATACTTTTGTGTTTATGAACAATTCAAAATTTATATATTTAGAATAATGTAATATCCAACATAATAAAATAAAATAAAATATTTTATTTAAACATAAAATAAACCTTAAGCATTTAATATATAGGATGAAATTAAAATTAAAATATTAAAATAAACATTCAATACCTTATACTCAAGTTACACAAAAAAAAAAAAAAAACAATTAATAAATATGGAGGGATAGGTCTTAAAACAAAAAATTATGTCAAAAATATGGAAAATATTAAAAAATTTTATTAAATTCCATAATAATTTTATTGTTTGAGACTTTTTTTTTTTTTTTCTAGAATTGAGGATATGAGAGAACCAATCTCATATGCTAGCAACAACGTGAATAATTTTTTTGGTGGAGCATGACTATATATTATTGTTTCTTTTAATTGAATTCTCATTAGATAATATTTATAGTGTTGAAGAGCAAAAAAAAAAAACGTAAATAAAATTAATTAAGAGATATATAAGCTATTAAAAATAAATTTGATTAATTTAATAAAAATCAAATTAAATTAAGAATTTTAATTAAGAGATATATAAGCTATTAAAAATAAATTTGATTAATTTAATCAAAATCAAATTAAATTAAGAATTAAAATTAATTGAGAGAGATTTAATTTATTAAAAGTAAATATAATTAATTTGGTTAGAATCAAATCAATTAAAAAATAGAATTAATTGAGAGAGAAATTTAAGCTATTAAATATAAATATAATTAATTTAATAAAAATCAAATCAAATTAATTAAAATCGAAGACATTAAATAATGGATAGTTATTCACGTATAAAAATAATTACACTATTTATATAGAATAATTATTTTTTTACCAAAAAGTTTATTTTTTATATATTTATATAAAATGTCTATAGAACCTAAACCCATGTTGCCCACTAAGGGAAAATAACGTGGAAGCATATGACACCGTTCAACATACTTATTTCTAAGATGAAAGATGTTTAAAATTAGAAAGACGAAAGAGAAAGATAAGGAAGAAAGTTTAATTCCTAAGGTGGTAATCATCTTATGGAATGAGTATTTACTTGAATGAAGTCATTGGCAACTCCTCGGCATTCTCTCTTTTCCCCTTTCTCATTGGCCCCTTTTTTGACTTTTTATTTTGCAAGGTTCCCCCCAAAAGGGATGGCGCTAAGGAATTGAGCCCTTTTTCACTTTGAAATTATATTTAGTTATTTAATAAAAAATATTTCGTAGGTCACCTAATGCTCAACGTCTGACCATTAGGTTAGAAAGTCAAATATATGCTTTACATGATATTTTAATTAGTCCCCCAAAAATTAAAATCATATAAATATATAAAAAGAATACTTTTATATCATCAATGTATATGTTTAGTAGTTAATGAATTTAGTTGCATTTAATGAAAGAAAAAAATAATTTTATTTGGCCTGGAAAGAAATTAGATTCACGCAAAGTTTGTGCGTTAAATGAGAGAAAAAAAATTATATTTCCAAAAAATCAATTAGATTCAGTCAAGGTTGGGATATCTATGATCATATTATAAAAAAATAAAGAAAAGGAAAAAATTAATTTGGATTGGACAGTCGAGTTGGGCAAAGACAGTAACTTACTTAATTGGGCCCAACTTTATTGTACTAAAGATGGGAAAAAGGGGGAAATTAGTTTGAACTGGACCCAACCCAATTGGGCCGAGTTGGTAATTAAAGGGCTGCGGTCGATATTCGAGTTCCTGACACTATGAATCGCCCTGCCAATGGTGTAGTACAAGTCAACGTTGCCTTGCCGTGCTTTGAAGGTGCCCTCTCCAACGATCATCTTCCAAAGCACACAAAAAAAAAAAAAAAAAACGGAGAAAGGGAGAGATAGAAGCAAAGAAATGTCTATGATGGCGACGAATTCGGTCAAGAACCCGATTCTTCCGATTTCGGATCCTCCGATGGACGAGGAAGAACAAAAACAAAGGCTTCTCAAAAGAGGAGACGACAAGATTTTCAAAGGATCCGCCATGACCAAAAGAGGAGCCTACGCTGCCATCTCTTACATGTCTTGCGCTGGTTCGTTTGGTTCCTTTTTCTTCAATTTGGCTCGAATTTTGCGTGTTAAGATCGGTCCTTTTTTTAAGGCTGAAATTGGTATATTTTGTTGCAGTGCTTTTGATACTCTTCAATAAAGCAGCTTTATCTTCTTATAGTTTCCCGTGTGCCAATGTAATTACACTCTTTCAGGTAAATATAAAGAATTTTTCACCTGAGATTGATTAATTCATATGCCGGTATTTTAATTATTTTGTAAATTCCTTGTATTCTTTCATTGGCAGATGATAAGTTCGTGTTCTTTTCTCTATGCACTGAGACGTTGGAAGATTATATCTTTCGCAAACAATGAATCTTTCGCCATTTCTGATAGCAACACGAGTTTGGTTCCCTTGAAGACATTGATTCATACCCTTCCTCTTGCAGGAACCTATTTGCTTTACATGGTACTATATATGTTTCTTTCGATGGATAGTTGTTTTACTTATTGTCTTCTTGATTTTTTTACTGATGAAAAAAGTGGGTTCTTTCTCTTTGTACTTGAAAGCTAGTCACAGTGGAGTCTGTTCGTGGAGTAAATGTTCCCATGTACACTACGCTTAGGCGAACTACTGTTGTATTTACAATGATTATGGAGTTTCTTCTTGCAGGACAGAAGTATACATCATCGGTACTTGGAAGGTAACTGTTGCTTCTCATAGGACATTTGATCTTGTTGAAAATTGAGGGAAGCTGATTTTTTTAAGTCTGTTGCTCTATTTGCTGGCATTTATTTATAAAAGCTTAAGTTATACTCGATTGGGTTGCTAGGAGCATGGTACCACATAATTTTGAAGCCTAATTTTTTTTTTCATTATTTTTTACTGATGAGAGTGCTAATATAAATTTGAAGATGATCAATAGAAAGGCTTCTGACAGCTTTGATGTCTTCCTGTCAGAGGTGTGAGCGAATTCCAAGCTTGGTTTATCTAGTTCCCTTTTCTTTGACACACATTGAGGAAAATGGCAATAAAGATTTGTTAAAATTAGAATTACATTGAGGAAACACATGGAGCGAATAAATAAGTAATATGAGCTATATCTTAAAGTTTCTGCTGATTTCTATCTTATTTTAAGACTATGGTTATGGTAGGATCCAATTCTTTAATCTGCTATTAATTGACCATCTTCTAGGTATATAAGTGTTCAATTGTGAGAGTTTGACCTGCTGGTTTTTAAAACCTTAGATGCACAATGTTTGTGAATGGGAAATGTTAGGAGACATTTTACTTGAATAGCCATGTTTCTGATTTCTTCATTTAACTGAAAAATTTTAAGGATGTTATCAGTGTTGGGTTGATTGTTCTTGGCGCTTTTGTTGCGGGAGCTCGGGACTTGTCATTTGACTTTTATGGGTACTCTGTTGTTTTCTTAGCTAACATCACCACAGCAATATATCTTGCAACCATAGCCCGCATTGGTAGTACTCTCACCTTTTTCTTTCTTTCTTTTCTTCCTTTTATTCTTTTAACCACGTTTCCTCTTCTCTGTTTTGACATGATTGTTGTGTGCTGCCTATATTTCATCTTTTTTCAGGGAAATCTAGTGGGCTTAATAGCTTTGGGCTTATGTGGTGTAATGGTAATTAATGATACATATCCTTTTCTTCATGGTCACATAATTTTTGGTTCCTCCAATACTTATGATTAACTGAATTCTTATGATAGGTATAATATGTGGCCCGGTTTTGTTGTTGTGGACATTTCTCCATGGCGATTTGAGTAGAACAATGAATTTTCCTCACCTCTTTGCACCTGGATTCATGGTATTTTTGTCTTTCTCAAGCAAATTCCTGTATTAGATATTTGCTTTTATGCTTGGGAATTGCCTGCTTTTTCCCAAGTCCTCTCTCTTCTCTCCTTTCCAAGGAATTGCTTAAGGTAAAGGGGTTGTTTCTGAAAGTCTCGCTATAACTGGCAGTTGTAGCCTTGAATGCATTGTCCACAATGATTTACTTGTTAACAGTTTTCTTTTCTATCATTTTGAGGGATTATTGACATTATATCTCTATGTTCCTGGCATTATTCTCTTGAAGTTCAGAAAACTTAAAACACTGTCCTGTTTACCTCTTGTTGCAAATGCTTTTTATCTGTACTACAAATAACTCAAGATGGTTTTGATGATGCATTTTTCCCCTTTTTTTGGGACAGGCTGTGTTGATTCTTTCCTGTACACTCGCTTTCTTCTTGAATTACACTATATTCTTGAACACAACTCTCAATTCAGCAGTCACACAAACCATTTGTGGCAATCTGAAGGTTTGTTTATATTCTTATCAAATCCTGATTTATGCATTGTTGTCTGACAATCTGGCAGCCTAGGAAAAATAATGATATGCGGTTTCATTCTCACTCTTTCTAATTCTGTATAATTGAGGAACCTTCATAATGGAGTTCCAATGCTAAACAATTTAAAATCAATTATTTGTTACATTTTGAGCGTCTGACCTTGCAAATAAAAATACAATTCATTTTATTTCAACTATAAAAAACTCACTTTCGAATGTTAGAAATAAAAATGCAAAAGCTTTGTGTGACTTATCCTCCCTCTCACAAGCATATGTATTTTACAAATTATCACAAACCCAAGTTATTAAATTCAAACCTATCATTGATCCCGAAAATTTTTGCAATAAAATTAGGTTTTTTGATGTCTTGCAATGGATTCATCAAAATTCTTTTTTTCAATATAGTTTTTTTTTTTTGCATCTTTGATTAATTTAATGTTTATTTTGCCATTCTTTTAGAATTAGATGTCTTGTTTGGCCATGCTTATTGTCATGAAGCACATATTAGTACATGTTTTCCTCTATCAGAAAAAAAAAAACAAGAACATATTTTCCGATTTGTTCTCTGATTTGCTAGCTATTATGCTGTTGTAGGATCTTTTTACAATTGGACTTGGCTGGATACTTTTTGGTGGGCTTCCCTTTGATCTTGTAAGTGCACACTTTTTTCTTGTTCTTGCTGCTAGTTAACATGGCACCTAAATTGTAAATTCATTTCTTTCCCTTTATTTTTTGTTACAGCTGAATGTTATCGGGCAACTGCTGGGGTTTTTTGGTTCTGGTTTGTATGCCTACTGCAAGCTTGTCGGAAAATGAGCGGACAGGCTAAGAAATAAGTAATGTCTAATTGTAGTTTACTAATGGCTACTTTATTTTTGCCCCCTTGTCTGATTCGATCGTTGAGCTGTTGCAAGAAAGATACCATTCTAAAAAAAAAGGAGATTTATGCACAGTGAGAAGTTGCTGATCTAAAAATTTACATGAAATTGAGGTCCGGTTGCAACTAGAGCCAATGCAGTTGATTATATAAAGCTCTTCTCACCCTTTTTGACTCTTCTTTTTTCCTCCCTCCTGGGGTTCATAGGGACCATTTTTTGGTGAAAATGTGTAAAATCTGTTCTAGGGATCATTTTTATTTTCTTTGGTTTTATGACAAATTTCTGACAATGTACTGTAGGTGGCTTTCCATGTTTTCTTTTTTTTTTTTAATTTTAAAATAAAAGTTCAAGTTCCCCCTTCGATTTGTTTCATTACTGTGCCCCATTTTTACATGAATCTGATTCAACCAGAAGGTTTCCAAGCTGCATTTACACCTGAAACTTGGATGGTTTGTTACTTGAATTAAAATTTTCCTTTTTTCTGTTACTTTTCAAACTAATTGCTCCAATTGACCAATTCTCTAATTTTCTCGTCAACCAAACTGCCTAACAGTGAAGAAGCATTTACCAAAGAAAATTTTATTTTTGTTTTGTTAAAAAAAAAAAATGGCGGGTGTAACAACTAACTAACAAGGAACAAGCAAACCTTAAGAATTAAAATCTCTCTCATTCCAAACCTTAAGAACAACCAAACCCTGAAAAACCTTCCCAAAGAAAGCCAATAAAAGCAAAGGCAAACCCCCATTCTATCTTTCTTTCTCTAAAATCTCTCTTATTTCAGAATCTCCACCGACACAAAGCTCCTTAACGTTCACAATGATGTGTGCCGCTGCTTCCAAAGAATCAAAATCTCTTTGTTTCTCTAATAAACTTTCTCGCTAAAATGGGTTGAGCTTCTGATATCTGTCTTTTTCAGACACAAAAGCGGCATTTCTCCTGGTCGTTTTGTGTGTCTTTCCTTTTTTTTTTTTTTTACCTGACAGCATGTTGGGAATCGAAATGGAGGATAATGTTATCCCAAGGGCTTCTTTGGAGAAGCCAAGGAGGTCTATCTCATTGTCATTGCCTTCATTGGCGGTTGTCAATGGTTCCATTCGTAAAAGTTTCTCTTATTCTAAGCTTCCCGAAGAGCCCATCAAGCTCTCCGTTAGGAAATTGGATGCGTCTTCCTTTGGTACTTTTTTCTTTCTTCCCTTTCCCTTTTTCAGGTTTCTTTTTCCGCATGTTGAGAATTCAAGAATTTTCAAATTGAGGAAATCTCAAATGAAATATATAATTACATTTGTTATGACTTTTTTTTTTGGGTTCCATTGATTGAAATTATTTGGTAACGTCTGGTTTTTGTAGATGTTGAAGTTATAAAGTCGGCTACCATTTCAGAACTCAAGCTTGCGGTACAGGATGTCTTTTGTCATATGCCACAGAAAGGTCCTGGCAAGATTTCATGGTATGTTCTTCCAGTCCACAGTATATGAATTGAACAACTCTTTGAATTTTGGAGGTTCTTGCTCATCCTGCAACCAAGAACTAGATGAATTAACTAATCTTGATCGTTTGTGATTTGATTTGGAAAGAAATAGAATGCAAAAAAGAATTTTGATTGATGTGTTATTGACATTGAATTGTCTTTTTGTGATCTGATTCATACGAATCTGCATTCTCCATCATGGAGGCCGCATGTTTGGGGACATTTTTGCTTATGTTATGATGGTCAGAAGCTGGTCACCGACACTGACCATATCATAAACTATGGCATCAGGGATGGTGATCAGGTTTGTAGTTTTCCTCTGTTCTTAGAGCATAGTTTGACATAATATTTATTCCCACAATAAGTTGTATTAATTTATTTTTGGGGTTTTTTCTTTCTTTATTCTCTTCAGCTTCATTTTATTAGGCATGTCTCCTCTAGCTATAACCTGACAAAGATTCGATCAAAGAAGAGTGCTGCTCGAAAACAATTGTATGTAAGGCTTTTTAAATCGACTAGTCTTCCTTGATATTAACCTGATTTACGCATCTGCTACAACTGCTTATACAAGCAAGACGGACTTTGGCTGGCCATGCTTACTGCACTAAAATGACAATGTTTTCCTGTTTTCAAATTTGTACGGTGTTAGTGACTCATTACCTACCTCAAATTAGTTACTATTTCTGAACTCTATAGCTTATTCAGTAAACTTGATTTCCAATGACAGCATTGCTATTTATGGTAGGATTTGAATCCGACAGCAATCAATAAACAGGGTGGTTTACAACCTTGTGTAGGATGTATCAATCATAGCTGTCACGGAATGGTGCTAAGACCAGTCTAATGAAAATGTTAAGAGGCTTAAGGATATCCTCCTTTGCAGGCTCAATATCATTAAACTTTGAAAATTAACCTTGAAACTATATAGTGCTCTAATGTTGTCATCCTTTATCAAAAGAGTGGATGATGAGCCAATTCGAAATGTGCAGGTCGATATCAAGTTCAACGAGCTCTTTAGAGAGTGAACAGAATGATGAAGAAGATTGTGATTACGATAATATGGAGAATGGAAGATACCATAGTCTCAATGATAAGAATCAAACTACTATTGTACTACAAGAATGCCAGTTTGGTCACTTATGGAAAGGTTGGTCCTCATATTCAAGGATATCAACCATTACAAGAACAAGATCTAGCAAAGACAGGGGTTGTGATTTCTTGGATAATTTTAGGAAAATTATGCAGCTTTGGGGTAGTGCAAACTGCTTTCAAAAGCGTACATGGAGGGAAGACTAGGGGTTTGCCAAAATGCATCATTGTCTCTGTTGGTTTGGTTTAGCATTAAAGGCTGTTCTGTTCTTAATTCTCAACATGCTGTTGCATCTTGTAAAAATTTTGGATACAAATTTAGTTCCTGTCAAACATTTTGATTTGGTAAGCTGTTGTATTTTCCTACAAAAATACTCATTATCCTAACTGCATAAACCATTAAAGTGGATCTTTCAAATATTTGGGTTCATGACCTTCAAATTCAATAAGCTATCAAGTTTTTCATCACCTGACACGCAGAAAATGAACATGTTGAATCTTCCCCAGGCCTCCATTACGGTGATTCTTCATTAGGTTGAACAAGCCCAATTGAACCCTCTGAATATCTGATCTGTCCAAATCCAACTCTTAAGAAAAAGAGCCCATACCTCTCTATTGGACAAATGATGAAGTCCTGATGGACACGTTACCGAATACAAAGCCCACTTTCCCACATTCGGAATTGCAGGTGTGAAACCACTCCTCGAACGGTAGGGTTTCCCCTGTTGCCCACCACAACCTCATCAATTCGTGTGGCGAAGAATGCGATAGCCTTCTGCAAAACTTCGCTCTCCATCTCCACACAAAAAATCCTTTCTTTCAAATTGAACAGCACCATCCCACATTTCCAATCAAATACTCATCACCTCTCTTATTTTTATCAGAAGTCAAACCATGGCCAGCATGATCATGGCCTCCTTGAAAGCTATAATCCCCATTACAGCTTCCCTCCCTTCCAAACCCAAACACCAGCAAATCCCTCAACTTTCCCTCCAAAAATCCCCACTCCAAAATTCTTAAAGTCCCAACAAATCCTATCACTCTCTTCCTCCACTCTCAAATCCATCTCCCTCTTTACAGTCACCTCTTTATCCTTTGCCCCTCCTTCTCTTGCTGAAGAAATAGAAAAGGCTGCTCTTTTTGACTTCAACTTAACTCTTCCAATTATGATGGTTCAATTCTTGCTTCTCATGTTTGCACTGGACAAGATCTACTTTACCCCACTTGGGAAATTCATGGATGAGAGAGATGCTGCCATAAAAGAGAAACTTGCCAGTGTTAAGGACACCTCTGAGGAAGTGAAGCAGCTTGATGAGCAAGCTGCAGCTATCATGAAAGCTGCAAGAGCTGAAATTTCGGCTGCTTTGAACAAGATGAAGAAAGAGACTCAGTTGGAAGTGGAGCAGAAACTGGATGAAGGAAGGAAGAAAGTTGAGGCTGAGCTAGAGGAAGCTTTGGCTAATTTGGAGAAACAAAAGGAAGAGACTATCAAGGCACTTGATTCCCAGGTTGATGCTCTCAGTCAGGAGATTGTCAAGAAGGTGCTTCCTCTCTAAAATCATCTTTTTTATTCCCATTCTGTATTTGGTTTAATTTTGAGTCTAAATGTTTATATAATTTTGATATGTAATCATAAAATGAACGTAAAACAAGGGACAACTTTGTGTACTTATTGAACCCCTTCTTAATTCTTTTTGTTTCTTTTCTTTTATAAGAAAATTTCTCTGACAGAGTGGATGGGTGAGAAGCACCAGTTTTTCAGGTTTCAAACTTCTGTACGATGATAGAAAGTCAGAAACTTTAAAAACTGAGATGGGTTTATGTCCATCTGCTTGCTTTATATTGTGATATAATAGAGTTCTTCTAGTGATAATCATTTGAGTTTTGACTGGTGGTTTAAATTCATCTATTGATCCATACGTCAAGTCCACTTGAGTGACCAAATACTTTTTCTAGGTCTTACCAGTTTTAAGTATTCATCAAGGAACCAGAAGGATTTAGAATGCTTGAATATTACAATCAACCGCCTTTGAAGCAAGCGAAATTGGTTTCTTTGAAGGTTCACTGGGGCACGACACCATTGATGGCTGATGAAAACTGAAAATTAACCATTGACAAACAGAGTTACATGACCAGGGGTGCGAAATCAACCAATGAATCTGGCAGAAAAAGAATAGTTTCAGGACTAATATTCAATGAAAATGATTGGCAAAAAGGTTTGTACTATTTGGTATCTAAATATCAGCCACGACAAAGATAACTGGGATGCCCAAAAAAGAAAATACAGGCTCGCCTTGCCAAACGCCAATTGCCGGCTGTTGTTTTAACTCCTTAACTTCATAGTTTTTTGTTCAAGCAAAGGCCAAACAGTGGGATTAACAAAAAGGTACTTTTTAATCACCAACATTGACGCAAACTACAAAGCCATTTATCATGCTTAAATGAAGCATGTGAAATTGGCTTCTCTTACAAGAGTTTCACTCCAGACGTTTCCAACAGACAGGCTGTCCTGTCTTTAAAATTAAACACAGTTTTCAATTTTAAGTCCTAACCCCAAGTTGAAGATTAAAAAGGAGAAGCAAAATAAAAATATATGAATGATAAAATCGTTTTCGCCTTTTGGCTGACTTATTAAGTGGAAGCAAAAGGAAATTTGGGAGAAATCATTCATCATATAGAGTTTAGACAAGAAGATCATTGCAAATTCCTTTAAAAAAATTTTTCCTCTCAAATTGGAGCCTAGTAAGCAGTAATAATAGACCAAACTATTGGGCTAAATAGTAAATTGGCCCACCATGGGCCCACCTTCATGAATTTGTAATATCTCTTGTTTTAGATTCCAAAGAAACAGCTTCTTCTTCAACTTCTATCTTTCTCTCTTCCCAACCTCTTCACTTTCCTTTCATTTTTCTTTGTCGGTTCTCAGCATCAAATATCTAAACAATCCTTACTTTTTTCAATTATTTTTCAATCTTTTTTCGTTTTAATTCGTCGATATCTCAAAGCTTTACTCTTTCAATTGTTCTCTTTTTAGTTTAGTTAGTTCAGTCGATCGAATTTGGTCTTTGTTAAGGTAAGTTCTCGTCCTATAAAATTTGTCTGTCTGAATATCATAAGCGTCATGTTTTTTCATAATCTTCACCTCCTTTTATTATTATTATTATTATTATTATTATTATTATTATTTTGGGTTCTCTTTGGAAAAGAAAGCAACTTTTTTTTCGGTAGATTCCTCTTGTAAAGAGAAAACAAGAATAAAAAAAAGAGTTTGATCAGTATATTAATTTTTAAGTATCTTTTTTTATTCCTTTGTTAGTTGCAAAGACAGATTTTTTACTAATAATTAAAAAAAAAAGCTCAATTTAATCTTCTATTGTGGATTATCATAAATAAGACCTATTAAACATATTACATGCTTTGGGAATCCATGGTTTTAATATCAGTTAGCATTTTTTATGTTGTTTCTTGGGTATTTTGTAAAGATGTCTTTTTTTTTTTTTTTTGGATTGAAGGAATGGCTGGGAAAGTTGTCAACGCTCTGTCCGCCAGTTTTTCTGAGTATGAGTTTCTTGAAGGTGATGATGACCAACTTAGAACCATGGTTGCGGTTTCGAACCAGAGAATTTCATGGATTGACCCTTCAGTATTGAAACTTAGGCATAGAATTGGAAGGGGACCTTTTGGCGATGTTTGGTTAGCAACTTATCATCGTTGGACTAAAGATTATGATCAGTACCATGAAGTAGCCCTCAAAATGTTGCATCCAATTAAACAAGATGACATCAGGACTTTGTTGGATAAGTTTGATGATTTATATTCTAAGTGCCAAGGTGTGAATAATATTTGTTCTCTTCATGGAATTTCTATTATAAGTGGAAAGGTGCGTGTTGCAGATATTGTAGATGAATTTGATTCCCTAGATGACAGTTGATTATCTTTGCTAAGAAATTGTTTTTTTTTTTTTTTTGTTTGCCGCAGATATGTATTGTTATGAAATTTTATGAGGGATCAATTGGGGATAAAATGAGTCGCCTTAAGGGAGGAAAGCTTCCATTGCCTTATGTTTTGAGGTGATGTATCAATATTTGGAAGATTATGTCTTTTTCTTTTTCTTGTTAATACTTGAGGTAGCAAAGAGTAGTTAATTTTTCATTTACTGCATCTAATGTTTGTAGGTATGGGATCAATTTGGCACAAGGAATTTTGGAATTGCACTCAAAAGGGATCTTGGTTCTTAACCTTAAACCTTTTAACTTTCTTCTTAATGAAACTGACCAAGCAGTTGTAGGGGATATTGGTATTGCATATCTACTCCTGGGAATTAGATTGCCCAGCTCAGATATGGCACACAGGCTTGGAACCCCCAATTACATGGCCCCAGAACAGTGGCAACCAGAAATAAGAGGTCCAATATCATTTGAGACTGATTCATGGGGATTCGCATGCAGCATTGTGGAGATGCTCACTGGCTTTGTTCCTTGGCATGGGAAATCAGCTGATGAAATTTATGATCTGGTTGTCAGAAAACGGGAGAAACCACTTGTTCCAAGTGGTCTTCCTTCACCAGTTGAGAAAGTTCTTCTTGGCTGCTTTGAGTATGACTTCAGAAGTCGTCCTTTAATGAAAGATATATTGAATGTGTTTAACAGGTAGGTCTCTTGCATGTAACAACAATTTTAAATAATGTCGAGTGTTCTTGTACAGTTGTACTTATTTCCTGTTAAGGTACTTGCCTAATAACTTTGGCTGATCGCAACCACATTTTCAGCTCAGAGATTGGAGGTGAAGATGATGGGCATTGGACAGGTCTTGGGAGCACAACTGTATCAGACACAAAAAGTAGCACCACTGGCTACACAGAGTGGTTTCTTTCAAAGGATTGTTTGCAAGTGGGTGACATAGTGCGTTCCAGAAAGCCACCTAACTCCTGCAAACCTGAAAATATGGATGTCCCAGAAGGAAATGTGGTGGGTTTAGAAAATAGCACAGATCGGGATGGTTTTGTTTTGGTGAGGGTTCATGGCATTCATGATCCATTAAGAGTTCATGTTTCAACACTAGAAAGGGTCACTCTTGGCTTAGTAGCCGGGGACTGGGTATATTTGAAGGAGGAAGACAAAAGACACTCCCCAGTAGGTGTTCTTCATTCAATTGACCGTGATGGAAGTGTTGCTGTTGCTTTTATAGGGTTGGAAACTCTTTGGAAGGGAAGTTCTTCAGAATTTCAGATGGCAGAATCTTACTGCGTTGGTCAGTTTGTTAGGCTGAAATCTAACGTGCTTAGCCCGCGCTTTGATTGGCCTCGCAAAAGAGGAGGCATTTGGGCTACTGGGAAAATTTGCTGGATCCTGCCAAATGGATGCCTTGTCGTCAAGTTCCCAGGCCGATTAACTTTTGGAGAGGAATTCAGCAAATTTTTGGCTGATCCAGCTGAAGTGGAAGTGGTTTCCTTTAAGAATTGTCCTGGAGTGGTGAAAAAGTATCAACATCTTGAGGATTTTCACTGGGCTGTGAGGCCACTTCTAGTTGCATTTGGTCTATTTACGGCAATGAAGATGGGATTTTTTGTTGGAAAGAGAATTGGGAGGTCAAGGGTGAAGCCACACAGCTGTGTAATTCATAATGGTTTCCAACGTATAGATGGCCAGACTGCTGGCAACCAAGCATGGCTTCCACTTCCTGTGGCAAATATTCTTTTCAGGGAAGATGCTGCTCGGTAGTTTCCTGGCCCACTTCATACCAGGAGGCATCTTTCTAACTCAACAACTAACTCTGTTGAGTTGCAGTAGGAAACGATTTCTAGTGTAAATGGTTATTTACCTCAACAACTTGTTTAAACATCTTAACTTTCTACATTTTATTTCTTATATGCTATCTTAACTATCTACATTTTAATTCTTATATGCTAAGGCGTATATAGTTTATTGCATAGTCTCTTTGCTCTACCATATTCAGCTGATCTAAATCTAGTGATGATTATAGTCTGTATCTGCTTTCTAGGAACGTCTCGGTGAAGGGCACGATCCAATTGGTTTGGCTTCCTTCTGTCGGAATATTTTTGTTTGACCTTCAAAAATAAATGACGCATTTTAAGTGGTACTGCGAAGAATTGCGTTTTCATTGTGGTCTGATAATAAAGGGAGCTCAAATATCGTGTATTTGCGAAAGAACCCGCTTAGAGAGAGGTTGGCTCAAAAGATTGTATAGGTCTATTCAACAGCTCAAAACCAATATTCACTACGATTTGCTCAAAAGACACTCATAAAGCAACATTATTATAGTTTCACTCAGCATACAACAAAGAATATATAGGTTTTGCATATGCATGAGCATTGAGAACATAATTAATGGTAGAACATGCGGGTATCTAACCTACGACCCAAAATTTTGCATAGATGAACAGGACACCTCCTAATCCCGCCATATAACTGAAAGCTAAAAAAGGTCAGCTATCTATATACACAATCCAGTCAGCAGCTCAACTTTGCAGGTGTGAACCAACAATTCCGGCATCTTTCACCAGCTGCTCTGTCAAAGCTGAAAGCCTGGCTACTCCTGTTTTAACCTCGGTGAAGCATTCATTGTTTTCAATCATGTTAATCATAGGATTAGAACTACTTTGCAGGAAGATACTGGTATCAGAGTCAGCCTCAACACTCATGCTAGCTTTATTCAAGAGTTCCCAGCTCATTTCTGCTAGTTTTTGAAGGGCGCTGGTGGCAGCTTCAACTTCCAGTTGAGCTGCCTCAAGTTGAAGCTTCTCAATAGCCAAGTCACCAACACTTTTCTCCCCAATTCTCTCTTGTGCCAAAGCATAAAGCTTCCTCAGATCATTGGCATCTTCAACCATTTCTTCCTTTAGCCTTTGTAGTTCTTTTTCCCTGGCCTCCAACCTCTCAAGAACCATTTTGAGCTCCTCATCTTTAATTGTGAGAGCCCTCTGTGCAGCAAGAACTTCCATTTCCTTAACTTTTAAGCTCTCTTTGGTGAATTTGAGTTCCGTTTCAAGCTGTTTTTTCTGCAATCTGAAATCATTAGAAGGCCTATCTACCAGCTGATGCATTAATTCATGGCCCACTTCATCAACAGGCCTCAATACATTATTGTCTTCATCTTTAACAGAGATAACTAATCTGTTAGTGAGTTCTACTATTCGTTCTATCACAGTTTCAGCTTCAGAGAATTTCATCTTTGTGTCATTCAGTTCATCTTGTACTCTCTGAACATGTTCATCTTTTTCCTTCAATAAAGCAGTCGCTTGAATTAGCTGATTTTCTCTACTGCTCAGAAGCATCTTCAGCTCTGCAATCTCCTGATTTACTTGCTCTAACTTCTTCCTGGCCTTGGAGAGTTCGAGGTCTTTCTCCTCCGAGATAAGCTGAAGAGCAGCCTGCTCAGATTTCAGATGCTGGATTTCAAGCTTAGCCTCCACCAAATCTGCTTCTTTAATTTGCAGAACATTGCTCATTTCACCAAACTCAGCATTCTTCTGCTCTACCTTCTGTCTAAGAAAAGAGGCATCCTCAATAGCCTGCTTAAGTGAAGATTTCTCTTTCTTCAACTCCTGCTGTAACTCTTCTATCAGTTCCCTCTCCATAGATAAATCCCGTTCAAGCTCCTTGTTTCGAGCTTCCACAACTCTAAGCTTCACTCTCTCACTCTCAACTTCTATCTGGGCATTTTTCAAACTTCCCATGTATGATGCAACACTTTTCTTCTGCTCTTCAAGCTCTTCCAGTTGCTTTTTCAATAACTGCTCTTGTTGTTCCATTTGTTGTCTGGATGATGCCAGCGATTTCTGAGAAGAAACCAACTCAGACCTCACATCAGAAAGTAGTTGCTTCACTTTTCTGAAATCATTGAAGGTTTCACTAGCTTCTCCCGTGTGTCTAGATGCTTCTTCTGCCAGTTTTTTCAGTTCTTCTTGAGCTAATAACCACTCCATTGTCCGCTGCTGTAATTTAGCCCCAGCAGCTTTCAGTTTCTCCTCTTCAAGTTTCCTAAGAGTCAAAGAAGTTTCTAACTGCTCTTCTTTCTCTCGAATTGCATCTTGGAGTCCTTGAAGCTCAATTTCTTGCTTCTTCATAACCTCATTGGCTTCATTCAGGAGCTGAGACTTAGATTTAAGTTCAGATTCAATCTTGGCAGCTTCCTCACTCTTCTTCACCAATTCATTTCTCATTTTATCCATTTCATCTTCTTTTGTAGACAATGCAAATTGTGCAGTAGCAATCTCCTGGTCTCGTTCTTTGAGCTGAAGCTTCAAATATTCTATCTGACTGGCTTGAGAAGCGAATGCAAGATTTGCCTGCTTTAGCTCCTCTTCCAGTTTTTCATGCTTTGAAGATGCAGCAGCAATTTCTTTCTCCCGTTGCTCCAACTCATCCTTTGCACGGCTCAATTGACTTTGCTCCAATACAACCGTTCTTTCCGCATCCTGCAGATCATCTTCCTTTTTCTTTAAGGCTGTCAAAGCAGCCTGTAGATCAGACTCCAGCGTCTCAAGGCTAAGAACCAAGTGAAAATCCTTAAGCGGTTGACCATCTCTGCTCATTCCTTGTTCAAGTTTCTGGGTCTGTGCAAACAATCTCTCAAGAAGAATTCTTGCAGGTTCAGTTGCACCATTGTCATTAATGCTTGACTTGCTGTTATTTAAGATAGATTTTACAATCCGCATAGAATGACCTTTCCTTTTCGTCACTGCCAAAAAAGGTAGTGTTTTCTGTTTACAATCACGCCTCACCGATGATAACTGCAGAAAAACATTGCACAACCATAAATAACTACCCATTCACTTGGGAAACAATAAACACAAATCTACAACGATGATTGCCATCATTTCTGTTTGGTCAATTTACAAAATCATTCCTTTTTTTCAGTTCACTCAGAAAGAAACAAATAAATTACTATTTGGGATGAAATAAATAAAAAAAAAAAAAGGAAAGGACTTGATAGATAGAGAAAGAACCTTGGGGCAATGGAGAGGAGAGGTAGCTGGAAGACTGGGGCGAAGAGCAGCAGAGAAGCCCATGTTTTAGCTCTTGAGAACGTTCTCCAATCCTAATTTACTTGAACAAAAACCAAACCTTTAATCCCATAGCCATGATAAAATAAATGCTGACCTTTGATCTTCAACATCGACGAAAAATATACGGAGCTTCTATCACGAATGGGGTGTGTCTTCAAGATGGAGCAAGGGATCGGAGGGAAACTAAAAAAGACAGAGACAGGCTTACGTTAGCAGAGACAGAACACGATTCTACGCCACTGGCTAACTAGCACCTAAGTCAAGTGAAAACGAAATTTGTATTTCCGATAATGAATGAAAGCATACGGACTAGGCGAGTGAGAAATCAACTGCTTTTGAGATCAAAGATTAATATCGATTTACCAATAGGTGCCTGCCATGTGGCACGTGTGAAGGGATGACACGTGTAATAGTTAGACCAAGGGAAGAACACGAAGGGAAGGGTTGAGGACACAACACCGTGTCATTATTATCTGTATGGACCCTGGATGGATCAGTTCAGGCTGATTTGGATGCCGAATTCTTAGCCTGAAATTGCCATTTGGGCATCACCCATTCGATTTTGGAGGAGAGTAGCTAAAGGGCCAGCTGTGGCAAATTCTTGGCCACAGACTGCAAAAGGTTAGGCTTTTTTCTTTGCTTGACCTCTACACTTTGGGCTATGAAAGGAGTGCTTTTCATTTTTGTGAATCACATTGTGCCATTATTAATGGGGGGAGAAAAGTAGTCTCTAGGTACCCAACAAAAAATGAAAAACAAAGGAGTGGAAGATAAATAAAGTTGCCAAAAGGAAATAGAAAGAACGAGAAAGACAGTAAAATGCACAAGAGCGATTTGTTAGGCAGTTGGTGCATGATTTTTTAATTCACAAAATAATTTCCAATCTCTCTTTATCAAATAATAAAAACAAAAATAATTGCAACTCGTCAAATTAGTGTACAATTAGTAGTGAACATGTTTAAGAGTTTTTGTTTAGTTTGATGGATCTTACTTGATTTTGATTGGATCTTGGATTGAATTTTTTTAAAATTTTGATTCGATTCGATTTATATTATTATTTAATTAATAAAATTTATTTTTATTTAAATATATTTTAGACATTAATATTTTAATTTTTAAAAAATTACAGCTTTTCCAGCTTTGAGTAGGCTATTTTGATAAAACAATAAAACTTGATCTAATCCACAAATATTTTTATTTCAAAGATGAGAAGATAGAAAAGGAAAAAAAAGAGGAAAAAATTAAGTAAAACCTTGAGCATTTCCTTTTAATTTTTGGGTATGGGAAAAGATCACTTTCTTACAAATTTTTAAAGCTTCTTTTAAGGTCTAATATCCTTTTTTTTTTATTTTTTGTTTGTCTTTTTAAGAAGCAATAAAACTGTATTTATCGTCATTTTCCTGACAGGATGATTGTGTTTAATGTTAACAGCTCGTCCAATTACACAAGGAGTAAAGAACACGACATATGAAGGTTTATCTCTTTTGGGGGCAATACAATTTCACTTTTGTTCATTCCTTTGCAGTCTTAATAGCATGGGCCAACAAGATTGCAGATCCTCTCCACGATCTTAATCTAATGGGTAAGAAAACTAGCCCACATTACAGCCCAAAAGCCCCATCTCTAAGAAATGGCCTCAGCCAACCTATAAAGTATAAAGAAACAAAGAACGGCCGGAAAAGCTGTTTGCTTTATTTTTCTTGATAATTGAAAAGTAGCCATGAAGAAAAATATATCTTGATGTGAGATAGGGTATTACAATTTAAAAGCATGGTTCAAATTCCACTTTTTCAATTAAAATTTTATTGAAATCTCATTAAAAAAAATTATAGTAGATATCCAAATGCAAAGAGTAATTGAAAATTTTTACTGAAAAAATGCATGGATTTGTATGAAGTTGAACTAAAAAACAGACAACAAAGCCGAAAACATTGAAACCAAGAAAGACAATGGTTTTTATCATGAGATAAGGCCGTATCATATCGTAGTCATGACGATGATTATCTTTAAACATCATTATCAACAAAGCTGTAATGATACGATAATTAACGAAAATGAGGAGTAATCAATCATCTTGGGAAATCTCGTTAAAGTCAATTTTAATATATATATTTTTAAACAAATGTAAGAAACGGGTCCCATAAAATCACTTCTCTCTAAGCGACTTATACATCAACGAATCCATTAATATTTGATAACAGCGAATAAAACAAAGCAAACAAACAGCGAAAGTTGGTGGCTGGTGATGATAAGCTGTAAAGTGTTGGTGAAGGACTTAGTTGAGGTAGGTGTTGTAAATCATCTCTCAATCTTTAACAGATAAAAAGCTCATCATAATTTGGATGGTACGAGGTCCACGCCCATTTTATTTTTTTAGATCACGCTCTATTTTGTGGGTCCTAAACATTTTATTTTTCTTTTGAAATGGAAAGAGGAAATTGGGATTGGCTACAACGCAAATTTACATAACGAGAATCGGTATGTCAACTTAGCTGCAAAAGCCAATGATTTGGAAAATATTTGTGGGGAAAAAAAATCCAAGAGATGTAGAAATTTCTTTTGGTTTTGTTTTACGCGACCATCCAACAATTATATTGATCTTTACGTGCAAACAAGAGATCTGTCTAATTATAAATTTAAAATTCAATCCAATTAATTTATGTAATAATATTTAAAATTTTTATATATAAAAAAATAAATACGTCAATGATACACTTAGGTCAAATAGTTTGTGTATACCATCCTAATTTGAATATTTCCCTTTTAAGATTAGAAAAAAAAATCATTATAAGCAAATATTAAAATGAAAACATTAGAATAAATTATTTGGATTTTAATACTATTATTACAAATAACATTTATTTTGCTTTAAAAAAAATAAGTAGAATCATTTTTTTTATTTGAAGTAAGAATTTACAAATTAATATTAAGGAAATTCGTGAGTAGTGGAACAAGCCTAAACTATTTGACCCAAAAGAGTGTATTGAAGTGATAAATTTAAAATTTTAATTATAAATAATGATTAATTATTTATTTTATCAATTTTTTTTTAGAAAGAGAAAATTTTCAGTACCGCTAAAACTTCCGACATATCAGTAAATAAGGTACTAAAAACTTACCAAAAAAAAGAAAAAAAAGGTTCTAAAAAGTGACATGAGGTAGTGAAAAGGAGGGAGAAGCACATGAGATCAGAACTTACATACATGCATTTTGACTTTGCGTGAAGATATAAAAAAGAAGGAAAAAGGACGAGGATCACGCATGATGAAAATGGAGGGTGGAGATGGGAAGGAGGAATAGTGGAGAAGATCAGGAGCGTTCAAGAGGAGAGTGGACGTGGGGATCATTGTTAAAGAAAAGAAAATAATGGAAGAGATGTGAGAGGGTGGTGTGCGTCTGGTCCATCAAAAACCCGAAAAGTGTCAATGATCATGTTATCATGTTTTTTCAGAGGACACTAGCGTGCGCATGAACAGTGAATATCGTACGTCCATTTTTATTTTTGTGGGTCCGTCATATAAAACTGCGGCACCACGCCCATCCGCGTTTACCGCTTACGTTTAAAAACAGACAATGTCAAAATTTGCCAAGTTATGTATATTTTATAATTTTACATATTCAATTTGACTTTCCAAATTAGGTAAAAAATTTGACATTAAAGTTACCTCCAATAATGTTCTCTTTTTAATTAAACGAATGGTGATAGTGAACTTAGGATTTTGCTTGATTTATGATATTTAATAAATTTAAAATTTAAAATTTTTATACTTAAATTGTAATTTTTATAAAAATAATAATTATAAAAAATAAATGATTAAATTAGTAGTAAAATCGATAAATGCTTTATTTAACAATAAAAATTTGATATACGATGTTCTTGTACAACTATAAGAATATATAATAAGATATACTTAAAAGAATTTTGTTAATTAGTGATTGTTTAAAGTTGGTTAATATATTATTTATAATGTATATTTTTCATTGAACATGTACTCGATGATTAATAATTTAATATATTAATTTTTAATGCATCCAAAAAATATTATTTAATATGATAATTTAAAAAAAGTGTCTTAGGGAAATTTGTTAACAAGATTCATATTTTATTTTATTATTAAATCATTTAAAGATTATAGTTTAAGTAATTAAATAAATTATATTTAAACGCAGAATTCAAATATTGCATTTAAAATTCAAATGTCTCCTACCAAAATATGTTTGTTTCATGTACGCAATTGATGAATTATCGTACAAGGCTCAAGCATGATTCGTGTACAATTGGAATTCATTGGAATGTGTTAATAACGTGCATGGGTTGAGAGTCGTGGAAACTGTTATATATGATGACGTCATCCGTATCTACCGCTGGGGCCCTCGATATTAAAGTAACAATATATGGTCACTTGGGAAAAAGACAAACGCCTAGATTAAGAATCCATCTACGTGGCCGCATTCCGCCAGGGCTCAAAAACCCCACCACTTTCTAGAGCCCCACAGCAAAGCTGTTGAGATCCCTCCATCATCCCACGTGTACGGCCACATCAACTCATTCACATTGGCCGACTTGCCACGTCACAATGCTGTGAAAGATTAAAAGAAAAAATAAAAAAGAAAGCGAGGGACCGGCTCCCAAAAATCTGAAAAATCTTCTGCTAATGATTCTCTGTAGCCGTCAATTTATTTTAAATGACGAAATTACCCTTATATCGTTCTTCTCAAAAGGCTGAGCACTGCGGGGTTGGATAGAAAAAAAAAAGTCACAGTGCTATTCTATTTACGGTATTATATTGATAAATTGCCACGTCATACTCAGACGAGTTCGATAGAAAGGATAGGTTTTTAAGGCTGCGTTTGTTTTGTTTTATTTGTTTTTAAAGGGAGAAAAAACCAAGTAATGATGCTTTTAATACATTGGGCCGTGAATTGTAATTCATGGAATATTCCTTTTTAGATTTATGAGATGAAAAAAAAAAAAAAACCTTAGTTTTGGTTTTAAGAGCCTTAGATTAGATACGCTCAACAGTGGATAAATCCAGACATTAGATCTTCTATTGTAGATTGCATTTTGCTAATCCTACTTTCACGTCCCGGCGCGTGCTCTCACCAATGTAGGTTGAATATTGTTTAATGGAGCAAAAATATAAGAAATACAATTTTTTTTTAGTGTTAAAACTTGGAAAAGAGAAAGCCAAAATAGTGGTCGTACTGGCGGAGGCTTCCACTTTCTTTGGTGGCAGACATGCCAAAAGAGAAGACAGAAAAATTGTAGGACAACGATTTGTCCAAAACGACCAAAACTCCTGTTAATGATGTCATGAAGCTACAATTTTGAACCTTAATTTTTTTTCTTACTCTTAATCTAAAAAAAAATGAGAGTCAAAATTTTAATAATAAAATATATTTTTTTAATATTTGAGACAAATAAAAATAATATATTAATTTTATTGATTATTGTTCATTTTCGTAATTGATTATTGATAGTAAGCAATTTGATTCTAACATTTATTGAGCATATGAATTGTAATGAATGTAAGTAATTGTTGAAGAATCAAATTCAAAATTTTGAGATGGAAGCACGAGGAACAATGACATGTTTGAGGCAATAAATATAGAATTCAGATTTGCAAATGCCATGAATGTTTATATTCTATCAACGGGTATTTATTTCTAACATACATTGGAATTTAATAGGAGCATGAGTTATGCGTGAAGCGTGTTACACACGTGCTTTAAGACAGGGTGATAAGTAACATTGCCTCGTAGCAATGGTGCTTTGGTCTGGCCAACATAAATAGACAAAAGATTATAGTATTTAATGCACTCACCATCTCTCGCGCAGAAACAATAAGGGGAAAGATTTGATCCTTTTTGGTTCATTTTAGGAGGGAAATCCAAACAAAGAAGAAAAAAAAGAAAACCTCCCTTAAAGACTCCGATTCATTACTTCTACAGAGGCAAGAGGGGACCCCAATATAATAATCTTTGGCACAATCCTTTGTTTCAAAAGAGTTTAGTCATCGGAGAGATCAGAGAAACAAAGAAATCAGAGGAAAAAACTGAGTTGGAAGAAAGAATGTTTGCAGCAGAGAATGGACTCAAAGGAGACCCAAGGCTACAAGCCATATCTGATGCCATTAGGGTCGTTCCTCACTTCCCAAAACCAGGTTTTTTTTTTTTTTTCGTCCTCTTTGGTTTTGGATTTCTTTGAGGAACTTTGTTTCATCGGGTGTTTGTTTGTTTCATAGGGATTATGTTCCAGGACATAACAACGTTGTTGCTGGATCACAAGGCGTTCAAGGATACCGTCGACATATTTGTCGATCGCTACAGAGACATGAATATTTCTGTCGTTGCTGGTACTGTGTGTCTTGTCTCTTCTTCTCAAACACTCTTTGCTTCCTTTTTTTAATGGTTAAACTGAAAATTTGTTTCCGTGATTTCCGCTTGTACTTTATTTTTTAATTGTTTCTTTAGAAAATGTTTTCCTCCGAAAGCTGATCTTCAAAGCCGGACTGTTCTTTCTTTTTCAAGTTTTTGATGTAAATCCTTAATTAATCTCCTAATATTCTTGAAAATTTTGATATTTAAAAGTAACTTCTCCTCTCATATTCTTTTTTTTTTTTTTTGAATTTCGGAAGAAGGCTTTGAATCTTTTACATTTACTCAATCTGCCTTATTCTACGCAACCATTGCAAATCTCAACTCTCCAAGCTATTTGGCAACTTGGGTTATTTTCTTTTTCTTGGTCTGTCTCAGACAAAATTATGTAAAAATTGGTTGTTTGTGGTTTTCATTTATTGACTCTTAAGACATGTTTCACTGACTAGGAGATCATTTATGGTCAATGTGCTTATATTGTACTACTACTGTCATTAATTAGAACTTAAGAAATAATCCATCATTTTTTTTTATATATGGGTTGGGTAATCTTTTCTTTAAATCTCAGTTCTAATGTTGCAACATTTTCCTGCAGGAGTTGAAGCTAGAGGATTCATGTTTGGTCCGTCAATTGCCTTAGCAATTGGTGCCAAGTTTGTTCCTCTGAGAAAACCAAAAAAGTTGCCAGGTATTACTACTACCTTTAGTTATATTAGACAGAGAAGGGAGATAGTGCTGATTAACTATCAGATACTTTTCTTTGTTTGTCGATATTTAAAAAGTGAAATAGCTGGCTTGTTGTTAATGCATTAAACCCACAATCCATTCAATTATTTTAAAAAAAAGTTAGGGAGGCATGTGGATTTCAAGTACATGTTATTTTGGAAGAAGATCAGTTGAAATGATTGAAGGGGTTGCTCCACTGGTCAAGGGTGGGTGGGGTGACTTTCAGATAAATCTACAAGTTAATAAAAAAGACTTTCTTTGTGTTGTCAATCATGCAGGCATGGCCTTATCAAGATCATATTTTAGTAATTAAAAACTAGCAGTAGTATTTATCTGAAATAATGTCAGTAACCCAAAAAACAAATTGCAAAAGCAGATTATAGTAAATATTTAATTGCTTTCATCTTTTGCATAAACCTCTCTGATCACCTACCAATAATTGAAAGTGGACTCCATCCATTATTTTGATTTATGTTGATGGGTTTAATGAAATTTGAGTGGATCTTGTTAGCTTCTTCCCTTTTGAATCTTTTTAACATTCTTTTTTCATGCGTTTTGAAAATATTTTTTTATCTATGTAGGTGAAGTAATTGCTGAAGCTTATGAGCTGGAGTATGGAACTGACTGCTTGGAGATGCACGTTGGGGCTGTTCAGCCAGGAGAACGTGCTATAGCTATTGATGATTTAGTAGCAACCGGTGGAACTCTGTCAGCTGCCATAAGACTCTTGGGTAAGATTTCAGCCTCTTTTCAAGTATATTGATGATTGCCTTTTCATTTTCTTGGTGGTTTGATTAATTTGTTTCTGCTGAGAAATTCAAATTACTCATAAATTATGTGTAAATAACATGAGGTTACTGTTTCAATAGAACGTGTCGGTGCTCAAGTTGTTGAATGCGCATGTGTTATTGGACTGCGCGAGGTCAAGGTAAATTCTTCATTTTTTCCTTCTTGTCCTTGTCTTGTATAGTGATGAATTGGGGGATTCCTGGGTACACATTGTGCATTCAGAAGGATCTAAAATTACGAGTTTTACCCTATTTTTAGAAGTTAAAAAGTTTCAAAGAGAATCCTATGCTATTTCTGGTTGTAACTTCTTTGTCTTATCCGCTTCTCCAATGCTGCATTTACTTTACTGGTAAAGTAAATGATTAAGTGCATGGATTTGATTCTTTTGATGATTGTTATCCCTTTTCAGGGGCAACGTAGGCTTGACGGAAAGCCACTTTATATTCTTGTGGAGCCACGTGAAATAGATGGCTGTTATTAAGGTATTATTACATCATCTAAAGCTAGATTTGTGTAATAAAACAGTATGTGTAAATTTGTCCATACATGGATGAAGACTGATCAATCTATTCTCGCTTTATTTGTCTGACGAAAATCAATAATTTTTGGAGATTTCACTGGCACAAATAATTTGCTACCCTGGATTTGCAACAATGTTGCTAGTTGCTACTATATTAACTTATTGTTGCTTATAATAAATCTTAGCTTGACAATTTTGCCAAGTTGATATATTATCTTGTTGCACTTCTTGAAGTGGAATTTACCTGTCATTAAAAGTGGGTTGGGGTGTGTTTTTATGTTTACCCGTGTGTTTCTGAACTATGAAATTTCTGGCTTTATCTGATTTTTTATATCTCCTGGTTGATTTGCAGAGAAAGATGATGCAGGAGCAACAGCTTTGCTGGCTTATCTCTCTCTTAATTGTTTGGCAAAGCACTGCCCTTCACAAGGCTTATTTCGAATGATTCATTTTTCTTGTGAGATTATTGTTATCTTTTTTTCTAGGCTTGAAATTGTGTTTCCATCCACAAATTGTGAACAAAGCATCAATGAAGAAATGCTGTTTCTCCATTCTGACTACTTTCCATGAACTATGATTCGTTTCCATTTTTCGAGATTCAACAGATTCAAGGAAACTGCACGAGATAATCATAAATAACCCATCCTCCCCCCTCCCCCTTGTATCCCTTATATTAGGGATGTTAATTAAAGATGTCAATGGATGTCGATTAAATGTCATTGGATAGGATATGAATTCACCTCATATCTCTTATCTCTTATAGCAGGGATGTTAGTGAATAGGGTATGAATAAAATAGAATATTTTTTATCTTTATTTTTGAATTTTTATATTATATTTATTTATGTATTTATCCGTGATGAATATTTTAAATTTAATTTAATTTTTATGGATACTAAATAGATGAATAATTTTTATATTCATAATTTTTTAAAAGAAGAAAAAAAATTTCTTTTGTATATTTATTAATTTCCAATAAACATATATTAATATATATTTTTAATTAAAATATATTAATTTTTAATTAATTTAAAATAATAATATTTATTATTAACATAAATATATATAAGATATGAATTTAAAGTATTATATTATTTATTTTTATTCTAATATTTAATAAAAATTTAAAATTATATTTATTTTTTTCTCATATTCGTTATATAATATATTTATATTTTTTTTCAAAATCTTAATATAATACTTATTTTTATTTTCATTCGATAAAAAATTAAAATTTTCATTAAATATGAAAAAGATTGACATGTCTACTTAATATGAACTTCAAAGGATTGTATACGTCACAATCATGACCAAACCACACAATATATACATGTCTTGATCGTCTTTGTGCTATCGAAACTCAATACATCGGAAAATCATCTTTCTACACCCGGCCACATGGGATATGGGAAACATCCAACCTTGCTTTTGCTTTCATCTTTCTCCTTGTTATTCAAGTGATTAAAAAAAAAATAGAATACAGCAGTGTAATAACAGGGTATTTTCTCTGAATTACTGGTACAGGTGTAACCACAAAATTCACTAAGTATAATTGTTAAGATCATGCAATTAAAGCAGCGTGTGATTGATTACTGGGAACTGTGATGGACACTGTGGGGGTTGCCTTATCATACTCTATTAAGATAAAAGAATTACAATATTCAAACCCCACTTCATCTTTCTGAAGACTTGTTTAATTCCTTATCATTGTTCTTTGAAATGATATCACATTTGAGTCTATGCCGTAGAAGAAAATTCACCTGCTTTCTTAATTTAGCATTGTTGGTGAAGATGTCTGCTATGATCTTCCTTAACTCATCATCTGTTCTAGTATCATAGTGGTTGTCACATAAGCTATCGATATCCCCAGTGGCACTGCCATCTTCCTTTGCTAATTGTTGCACCTAATTCAATTTGTGCAGGGAAAAATAGTTAGTGCAAAAGTTATGGAAGACCAAACCTTAAAAAATTAACAAAAAGAAGAGGTGGGCGTGGGGGACACAGTTGGAAGAGGAAGATAGACAGAGGGCAAAAAAGTCGAGAATCCATTTATGTTTTTTACTTTATGGTGAAAGTATTATATTTTCTCGGCTAGCTTTTAAGAATATTAGTTGGGTACAAAAAAGAGGCAAAACTAACTTCTATTTTCAATCTAAATATTTCCCCAAACTGAACATAACTGAAAGTATTAAAAGATCAACTCAGGAGACAAGCGTTTTACATTGTTGAAAAACCAAAAAACAAGGTACCTCTGCAAGTAGGCAAGTGATTTTATCGTCAGATGTAGTCAACAAATCCAATGCATCTTCAGTTGAGGAATAATCTTCATCATTATCTGTAGACAAATTCACACAGCATCCGAGAAGTTGATTGTGAAGAAGCTGACACTCATTGAGCAGCTTTTCTCTAGCATTTCTTACATGCTTAATGGTTTGTCTTTCCTGTTCTAGTTGTACCTGCAAAATCCAAGAATTACTTCTGATAGCAAGAAACTTAAATTTAAATCAATGATTTGATTTGACTACACCTAATATCTCTAGAATCCTTAATAAAGAAGAAAATTTTCAACAGATATTAAGGGGTTTTTTTTGTTGAATAGTTGAATGTATAAAGAAAAAAACTTAAACATATAACAAATGCTTTAGTACAGACAGTTACCTCGGCTTCAGATTTTTCCGACAGTGATTGACCAACCTCCTGCTTCAGTTCTTTTAGGGATTTCCTGAGAGACTTGACCTCTTTAACAAGAACTTTAATATCTGCTTTTGATTTTGCCTCTAGGCCTTCATATTGCTTTGATATATTGTTCAGCTGTTCCTTAGTAGCATTTAACTCTTGCAGCATTGCATCTCTCTCCTCAGCGTCAGACTGGTTGGTTGTCACTGTTATTTGCTTATCAACCTGTCTCAAGTTTTATTGTTAATTAGTGAATACTTAAACATTCATAAGTATATTTTATTATAAGGGGCAGAAACTGCCTCAAAATCTGAAAATCGTATGTTGATAAAGGGCACCCAGAAAAGATTTGCAATGCTTGTCCAAGGGAAAGCAATGGCGGTTAATTTTTCAAAAAAAAATCTCAAATAACCTTGAATCCAACTTCAACAATCAGCTTCTATAATGTTCCTATCCAAAGATTAGTTTTGGCTTTATCTTGTGGGCGTGTGGGAGAGACAGAGTGTTAGATTTTTATTTGAACAAAAACATCAAACATCTAGAAACATACAATCACCAGTTTTAAGCAATACCTCTCCATGCATAATTTATCAGGCCAAGTTCATCATATACCTTAACTGGCAAAAATATCTGTACAAAGCATCAATATCGTGCATGTACACACATATGGCAGTTACAAAGAGGAATAAATTTCAAGAATAAAAAGGAGTTAAATGCATTACCTGCTCAGGATTCAACTTCAACTCCATCTCCAAACACTTCCGTCGAAGTTCTTCCATTTCCCACTGCATTTGGGTAAACCTTTCTCTTTCAATCAGGATAGCCTGCTGCAGGTTTTCTTTACTTTTCTGTTGGGTGCTTCCAAGTTCCACTTCCAAATCCTTAACCTGAGCTTCTCCAATTTGTTAATTCAACCTCAAAATTGCTAATATTTTACTAAGAATAAAGCTCATTCAACTTCTATTGGGATACTAAGCACCCAAAGACAAACCATTAGAAAATGGAATGAAATGAATATAGGGTTCTGGTTAAAATTTGCTGGAATGGACACAGTTCAACACATACTTGACCCAAACGATAGAAAAAATAGAAAATGCAATACAGATATAAACAAAAAACAAAAAGCTAACCAAACAAAAATTCCTGTTTTGCACACAATTCATCTGAATGTAGATCAAACAAAGTACATTATTGAAAGAAAAGGTAACCAATCCAGTGAAATATCAATAATTCAGCTTCACAACTATGAACTATCTCTGTCAATAGCCCCTGAATACTGAAAATATATCAAATATATTTGATACTAAACTATTTAAATTAGGATAACTTTCAAAATTTATCTCAGAAAGCATATCAAACTGCTTCCACACACCTTTGTCATAAGATAATTTTAACTGCTATTTCTTGATTTAATCTTGCTATAAGATCCTCCATGTCAGTTTTTGCAGTGACTAGTTTCCGCTGCATTGTCAAAAGAACCCTGTTCATCTTATGACGCTGGTCCAATGGAAGAACTATTTGTGTATCACCAGAAAACTGAGAATCTGAGTTTCCAAGAGTTCCCATGGCATGTAATACTTCGGCAGATGCAGGAAGGTCAAGAGAGCCATCAACAGATGAATTTGGAATCCCAGTGTTGGACATGTCACTACCTCTCAAAGAACTTATATCGCTCCCAACACTTTCAGTTGATAACTTTCGAGCATGACCAGCCATCTTAGCTGGCTCTGGCTCGGAAAAGAGTTCCAATCCATTTCCAGTAACAAAAGAAGCTCTGGACCCGTTTCCATTATAAATATCTTTCCCCAAAGTATTATTGATGTTTCGGGTGTGTGTTTTATGTCTAGGAAAATCTTCTAGCTGCTCCAAAATTGTCTGTCCCATAAATAGACCCTCATCAATGTTGGACATACCATACTTCACAAGCTTTTCTATTGAACCTGTCAAATCTTCACCCAATGACAGGTCTCCCAAACCAATTTCAGAACTGTCATCTCTCCCTAACCTAGGTGTCCCGAGCTCAGATATCTCATAACCAGTATCACTACCATAATCTGATGTGATTGACGAACTACCAGCAAAATGAGATACGCTTGAACTGGGAGGAATGTTATTTGATGAAATTGTGCTATTTCCAGCAACATTAGCTTCTGATGAGCTTTCATTTACCTCTTGGAATGCTGAAAAGAACAATATGAAAAGTAAAAACTCCAAGTTAATGATAAAACTAATCTTGATTATGGATATATATATATATATATATATATATCTTCAATTGGACATCCTATCACTTAGATTCTAATAGACATGCACTTTTATATGTAAATTGTAGAAGATAAGATAACTAAGTCTTAAAGTCCTGTAAATTAAGTAGAATTCCACATACAAGACCTCGCAGCAGCTTCCAGTTCAAGAAAGGATGCCACTGTGACACTTCTTGACAAGTCAATGTCAGATAACAGCTTTGTCATCCACTCCTCCAATGAACACCTTCTCTGCAACAAAACTAAGCCTTTTGAGGAAATTAGTCACCCAGATAATAAACATGACAAACATCAATAGGTTTAATTTGGAACCTTCCATTTTTTTCTTTCTTTGTTTTCCCCAAACAGAAAATTTTGCATCACACAAACAATTCATTGCTACTGTAGTAACTTCATAAATCAGCTGCTTTAGCAGTCTAAATAATACCTAAGAAAGACCTTCACTTCTGAAATTCAAATTTTTTTGTTCAAGCATAAATATTTGTCAAATAAAAACTCTAATTCAATACTACATTTGTATGTCAATACGAAACTATAGTTAACATATGGATTCAAAACTTGAAAGGTCAATAATGCTAGTTGCCAACTTTAGGATTCTTCAAGTTATATTAGACAATTG